GAGATTTCTATAATGAAATTTTTATGATGAAAATTAAGTTTGCGTTTTTTCTGCATATACCTTTATATATAATCATTTACTTTCACAATGTATTGTAATTTATATGTTATACACAAGTTTACGTAGTTATGTGCTTTATTGTATATATGCACTCATATGAATAGCATATATTAATTTGTAGTAATATTTATAGTTGATATTTGTAGTAATATTAATAATTGATCGATTTTTTTTTTTACATTTTGACTGTTGATTTTGTTACGATATTTTAATCAAGTTTGATTTAGAAAATTTTCCCAATATTAGTATATCTTTTTTCCAGAACTGTTTTAAGAAACGGACATTGAATTGAACATGATATGGCATGACATTTGATTGGAAAAGACCCTATCTTGAAACAATATTTCAGTTATATACCACAGAACAGTTAAAGCAGCACGCCTGCAGATTCATGCTGATTTTTATGAAAATTCTAAAAATGTATTTGAATGTGTCATATTGTGAAATAATCAAAAAGAAGCAATTTACACATTATGAAAGGCACTTACAACCCACGTAAATTACAAAAAAGTGGTCAAAATATGCATAAATAGCCCTTACTCGGTTAGTAACGCAGTAGAAATATAGTTGTAAATAATGAAATAATCAGTCATTAATCGCACATAACATGTAAAATATTACTCGAATCTTGAATCATTTTACTTTTCCTAAAATCTTAGTACATATTTCTCAAATTTGATTTTATTGAAATAATTTGACTCATCTGGAGGCATGCAGCTTTAAATGTGCAGTAATTACAAAAATATCTTACAGAATACGTGCACTTCTTTCATCTCTCCTAAAAAAGGAAACCTTCGTTCATTCAATTAGTTTAGGCTATGGTATTCAAATATTAATAATCATTTGTGATAGTGTCGTTTCACAATCTTATCAAAATCATCTCCTAATTTACGCTACGTATGGAACAAATACGTAGAATTGAACTTGAGTCAGATTGGGTCGTTTCGTGCCATTTATATCATGATTACTTTCTTGTAAATTATTGTTTATCTTTAACAGTGTTCTGTCATAATTACTTAACTTTTTTAACATGATAGTATATTTTATATTTTAATTTGTTTCATCATTCTTCAGTTGTGACTTGTCGCATGTTGTTTTATAACTTGAAGACATATTAGCAAAGCTTTTATGAATGTGTCTTAACTACTCTGCATGAAACTAATTTAGGTATGCTCTTTTACCAAACTGGTCTAATATAGTTACAGTTATTAATAATTTAACGTCAATTTTTCCAATCTTGGCCCAGTCTGACATTTTAAACTTGACACCAATTAGCTTAGGTCCTGACCATCAAATGTTGATGGGTCATTTGAGGTCATTCAACGTCAGCTGGTTAGTTTTGAAAATAAATTGATATGCAATTTATGAGCGCAAATATGCCAATACTAATTAGCTAGGCGGACTTTAATTTCAATTTCAAGCAATGCGACTTGCAACCTTCATTACAGTTAATCGCGAGGGGCGGTAACTCTTTCGAGGACGGTGTAGCATGATAATTAGCCGTGATGACAATTTCTAGCAAATTAGAAAGTAGAGAAAATGTGATGAGCGGTATTTTAAGTGATGCACCGTGTGTGGCATCAGTGTTGGCATAATTGTTGACCAATTCTAAATTGATAGGTCATCAGGTTAAATTTTCAGTCCTCAAATATTGACGTTGCCCTGTTATTTTAGTAATTTGTATGTCCAAATCATGTCTTACATTAAAAGATACATTGTAACTGAGAATAAAAATGCCTTCTTTAGGAAGTACAATCATGAGTTTTATGAAGTTACAATGTATACAATGTTTAAGCAAATGTTAAGGTAAATTACTCCCATATGCAGTGTATTAAAATAGTAATACTAAACTGTATGTGTTTATTAAATACTAACAAAAATACAAAAATATTTTGTCATATCAACTTATAATTTGATCCTGATTACAACTATGAAGCATTGCTAGGATCTAATTCATATTATTAATTTTGAATTTTTCATGATTTTGAATCGTTACTATAGAAGTTACTATAGAATTGGTTACTATAGCACTAAACAAAAAATTAAATATGCTTCTTAAGAACGACAATTTTTAAGTTTATTAAAATAAAGAAGGGTATTTTCTTCCTTTGAATTACGGCTTAATGAATGCCTCATTATTTTGAAATTAAAAACCATCAATTGAATTTTTATATATCAAAACTGATCACATAACGGTCGTTTTATTTCTGCTCAGGGTGATTCAGATGCAATATTAATGTCATCTCTCGCTATCAGGTGATATTTTAATAGCTTCAGCTAATAATCATCTTCAGGGGCACTGTCTAATTTTTCAACGAATATCACCGAAGCCGCGACTCCTCTTTTCAACTTCTTGCTGTGAGTAACAGTCCTTCTCCGAAACTACGCCTCATGCCTCCAAATCATGCTGTGTAACCATTCAAAATAATACAAACGTTCCGAAAGCTATCCCCGTATTATCTCCAGTCCCCTAGGGATTCGGGGGACACCTGATTTTGTCATCCGTTACCCGACTGTTATAACTTACTGACAGTGTTAAAAAGCGGGATGACAATGGTACTAGAGCATTAGAGGGTCTTCAAACGTATGGGGAAATAATCGCTACTATCAAAATAGCTGCGAAAATGATTGTGTTATGGCGGAGGAAAATTAATCATCTCATATTGTGTACTCATTTTTTTGTATAAGATGATTTTTATTTGAATAGATTTTTAGTTCTGTGTTTGTATGTTTGTATAATGGACCAGTCTCGATGAAAAATATAATTTTTTTGTTTGACTGTTTAAACTGATAAATTCCCTTGAATATTTTACCATATTTTATTATAGTTTTATTAAGACTTTATTGACTTCCTACAAGGAGTGACTTTTTGATGAAGGAAACACACTGCATCGGAGACAAAAACCATGTGGTCAATAGAAGAATGGAACAAAAAGTTCTATTAAAAAAAGGCAAAAAATATTCATATGATAACTGGGGCTCCTCTCCCGATATTACAGAAAGAAAGATGCCCAGCGTATCTTCTAACCAGATGTATAAATACAAAGTAATTCAGATCAACACTAAATTAAGAAATACACGTTTTTATTTCTAAGAGCCCGTTGTTTGAATCTGTAAATGATGATGATGATTATTGTGATGATGATTATGGTGATAATGATTATGGTGATGATGATAATGATGATGAGTGTGGTGGTGGTAGCGGTGATGGTGGTAAACTCGTTTTACATATGCAATACATAGAGATAAAACTGCATTAAAGGCCCATGTGTTCAGTGTGTTTAAAGACATTTCTTTTAACACTTTCTTTGTCCCATGTAGTTAGAACATTTATTGTTCATTTCATATTATTTTTATGAGTTTTATTTATACAAAGAAGTGAAACAAAAATAAAATGTAATAAAATGGCACGACTGAAATGTATCTAACAAGTGTGGGGTGGGGGGATTTATAATATATATGAGCAACATAATGTCAATTTGACGTAAAACTTTCTTATTATAGTTGGTATTTCAGTTACATAAATGTATATGTTTTATATACATTTATTTATAAATTTATACATGTATATCATGACTTACAGGGTGTGGCGTCGTGAAATATGAAATATTTTTTGTCTAAGATAAATTCCCTTTTATTCTCCCCGGATTATAGATCTATGTCAGTGACAAAATATCGCTTTAGGATATATTTTAATAATTTGTATGATCCGATAAAATATGTTAGATAAAGGTGTTTTAATCTTTGACCAAATGACGTAATATTTAATCTAAGGGCAGCAGTAAGATGGCATGTATGTTATGGAGTCATATTCTTTTGGTCAGTTTCTAAAGGAAACAAAAGACAACTATGTTAATTTACTTGATAAAAGAATAATGTAATTTGTCAAAATTATGCGATATTATATGAAGCAGAAAATTACAAAAATATTAACTTTTTACAAATTACTAATTAATTACAAATATAATTGTCACAATTATTAATTAATATACAATTTAACGGTAAAAGGAAATATTCAAAAGTAAAAAGGGGCAGGCGTTCTAAATATATCTTTCTGATACATACTTAATAGAATCATAATCTGTATTAGAAAGTGAAATAAAGTTTCTTTTATTTAATTTTACAAATATTTCGTATTTACAATGACTTTAGTAATATATTAAATATTTATAATTACTTACATCTTAAATATTTTATAACAATAAAATTGTCTATAAAGAATAAAGTTTTTTTTTAAGTTGATAGCAAAATAAGTAAAATATATGAATTGTCCTTTGAATAAGTTTTTCAATTTATACTGAAAAACGTTTCTGTAGTTTTGTTAACCCCACATTTACTATATAACGCTCTCTGAGAGAGTGAAAACAAAAACATCTGTATTATATTTCACCATTCTCGCTAAAAATTGTTTATCAATAATGTACAATTCCGTCATTTTCAACTTTAAATATAAAAGTGCGTTTCTATACTACACCTTATAATGACTTCTGTGACACCGATCATTTAAATACTTATAAATACACTAAAGCGTTAACTAAACAAATGCATCCCGACATTTTTTGTACTTCGACGTTTTTTTCATAATTAGAAGTTAAAAATGTAACACTTCTATCAAAACCATTCTATTTTGATACCGATATTTTTTATTAAGTCGTCAACGCTGTGAGGTGGTAACAATCGCATCTTTTCACACCGTGTCATTTCTGCTTGACAGTGGGATTTCATACCGTAATCCCGGCTTTTATCGCCGTATTGGACAAAATACGATCTTGCTAACAAATCTTTTACACAAACTTAATTATGCTATCATCGTTTTCAATCCATTTTTGTGGTTAGCCCCGCCTATCATAGAGCACGCGAATGAATACACAGATTGTATTTGACGAAGCTCGCGTGCGGCACTTCGTTTATTAAAACACGTCACGGTCTGCTAGCCTGTCATTGGCTGGCGCGTGTCATGTGACTTCCCGCTGAGCCCATTTCTGCTGAATAATTTGTGGAAATGAATAAAATATCCATGGAAAAATGATCATCAGCATATTATTGTGATTTTCATCGAAAGATCAAGTTTTCATAATACGCTTAAATTTGAGTTTTAAATGACAGTTATATACTTTGATAGTATCGAAAAGAAAAGACTTCCAAACGAGCAACACGGAATTGCAAAAGAAATAATTCAACGGCTTTTGGGATGATAATTATCTACAAGATGAATGGATTATTAAGTTGAAAATAAATTTGAAAAAGAAGATTAACAAAAATAATTAACAAAGAACTTAACTTAATTTTTTTTTATTTGTTATGAAAGCAGCAACATTTTTACTGTGCTTGTTTTAAAGAAAACAAATAAATAAGATAGTCTAAAAACATTAAGTACTTTTCAAAATGTTTCAAAACGCGATGTCGCCGTCTCAGGTTTACCAGAGTTTGTTCCGGACTTTACCACTGGTGCCGCAGCCGGTCCCTTCTTCGTCGGCATCGTTTTTAGTGGAGAACTTACTTCGTGAAGGACAATCTGCACTTATCACAAGGCCAATGACGTCGCTACCTGCCGGCGTCGTCGGATTGCCGGGAATGGGAGTGTCAACAGTATCGTCAGTTGCACGAAATATAGAGCAGTTAAATACTATGACGTCATTAACGTCACAATCTAACGTAGTCAGTAACGTTAACAATGTAACGCCCTACTTGAAGTTCGGAGTTAACGCAATACTAGGATCTGATAGCAGTGACTCTAAATCTAGTAAGTTCATATTTTTTCTTTATTCTCTAAATCAAAAAAATAATACATGAAAATTGAATTTGAATACAAAAAAAATTATTTTTCAATCTCTGAATCTCTTGGAATCTTCTTAATGCATGGAATAATTTTCACAAATTTTCTGCATATGTTAAAAATGGACTTAATATGAAATTTTGATGTTTACCAGGTCCCCCAAGACCATTCCTAACAACAACATCACAGATTCATCATCATCAGCAACAACAGCTTCAGCAGAGTGGGAGCCCGGTGTCATGCCCGAAACCCTGCAGTCCCAGTCTCGGGTGTCAGTCGTGCATTCCTAGACAACCCTCTATATATGAACATCCATTTCACGGAATGTTGCGACATCCGTATTTTGCAGGTATGTCATTTTTTCCCTCTTACATCCTAAATTATTATTTCAATTCTAATTTCTTTGTCTTTTCTATTACTTTCTTTTTCATATTACTCATTCTTACTTATCTTGGGCTTTAGATACCATGATGAAGAAGGCTGTTAAGTCGAAACGCTGGTATATTAAAGGGAATTTTAAGAATTTGCAGTTGACTACTTATTTTCTAATATTTATCTTTGACTTTAAAATACCAATTTAGTGGGTTTTTAAATACATTTTATAGTATAACTGCAGTAATAGTAAACGACTTCAAAAAGCTTCTTTTTTTAGTTTCCATAGTCAGTAATAATGATAACGGTCTGCAAGGTATCTTCAATAAAAATTTTCTAAAATGATTTATCAAATACAATTTCATGATTAATAAAAACATAAGGACACTTGTTTTTTTATAATGTTTCTAGTCTAATCTTTACAGACTTTATATGATTGCTTTGAACGATCACAAAATTTTGAAATACCCGAGTACAGATAGTGATTTGAAACATGCATCAGTACTGTACTGAGCCAAAAAACACACAAAACAACAACAACAACAACAACAAAAAAATACCAAATTTATACCAAGCCATAACTTTGCTGATGATGCCCTTGGTCAAGACACCCCGACCTGATCAAATTTGCATATCTACCTCGTTTATCTATATGAATATCAAATATATATACATTTACATTTAGATGTCCAGTAAAGAAAATTGTGGTGTTCAGCCTTACAGCAATAGAAAATTCACACTTAAATACTAAAATGATTTTACTTAAGAACGATTTCATACGTTTTTCTTACATTTCGTCCATAAAAAATGTATTAGTTTTTTTGTCTTGAAATACAAGGTCGTAATACTGAACTCTGGATAAATAAACTTAAAGCAAGAACATTTGTTTTTATTATTTTTTATATTTATTTATTACATTTTTCTTTTTGACCATTAGAATGCTTGTCACAGAACGGTTTATTATCAAATAACAAGCCTCGTTTAATTAATTGTAAAATGATAAAAGTGACGAATATCAGCCGTACGTGTATTGTATATTATCAATATTTTCATTCTTGTAAAATATTTCCTTTGTTTAGTATGTCGCCAATATTACGTAACAACCAACAATAAATAATAATTTTAATATTAAAATATAATCGCTGAAAGCTCTAAATTCCTCGTTGTTTAGAAATGTTGTAATTGTATAACCGGTCGTAAAATCTTATCATTTTTTGAAATAATTTGTCATTTTCATTTTAAAACCTAATAAATATGGGACTGCGGTAATAAAGTGTACATTAAGTCCACAAATATTCCATATTCATAAATTTTTATCTCTTGCACATTTATGTCTGTTTTTATTCATGACTAACTGACCAATTAATAAACTGACCATGAAATTTCGGAAAGGCTCTCTGGCCACTTGCAATAATGTCCCGCCCGCGGTGCAGAAAATCTCGGACAATATCTCTTAAATTACAGGTGTGACCATTAAAAATGTCTTCACGTGAGATTTAACAGCGATTAAAATAAAACCATAACACCATCTTGTTCATAGTCGTATTATAACGGTTCTATATATTTACTATTTAGAAGTCTTAATTGATTAAAAAAAGACATCACATGCGCGTGTTTTTTCTGGTTTTTTTCTTTTTCCTTCTTTTCTTAAAGACACAGTATGCCTCAGATATCCCTATTTTTATTTCTTTTGTATAGAAATCTCAAATATGTGTTGAAAGATATTTTATTAATGGATTTAGAGCACATTAAATGTTTAACAATTGAAAAAGTAGACTGAGCGTGCAGTAATAATCATTGCGTTAAAGAAGCAAAATGTAAACAAAGTAGTATTTTATCTGCCGTACAAACTAATTATTCACTATAATTATACCAATTGCAAACAGAACAAAATAAGCAAAAGTTAGTTCATATATGTGTCAAATTAGTTGTTGTTGTTTTTGTTTGTTTTTTTGAATCTGTAACAAATTACCAAAAATTAAAAGTTTTTGAGAAAAAAAATGAAAGCATATCTGAGGCATAATGGGCCTTTAAAGACGAAACAGAGAAACACAAACCATGGACACTGGATTCTCTTGTCTTAAAGGCGATTGAAAAATAAAATATAACATTGCTTTGCGGTTTCAAAACGCTCAAAAATGTGATTTAATTTGTTTGTGATATGCTTGTCATTTTATACTCTATTTTTTAAAAATAATTTGTCCCATGTTTCCAAATAATTACCGGACTCAGCGACAACATAAAGTCAACTCAAATAGTTAGTATTCAGAACTTTCGTGTCGATTAGTCTTCTTCCTTAATTTTAAATTGCAAAATAGAATTACATGACAATATGTTTAGCTAATGCGAGACAAATCAACGAATCAAATTTCTATTTCATTTACTTCAATGATCATTAATTTTCTCAAATATTTAAAAGTTTAATCTAAAGTCAGTCGATACCGGCAATTTTCCTTTCAAGTTGACACCGCCTGCTTTGATGTGAGCCGATAGCCACATTTTCGAGGATTTTACCTTTAAATTAATTATTGTAATGTCAAATATAAACTTAACACCTTATTAAGTCGTAATGATTATTCATAGACTAAGCGACATTAAAGATTCACCGATGTTGAGTTTAAAATTGAATGCTCGTTGTTTGTTTATCTCTCGTAGTTGATATGCCAGGAGTTATTTACTGTTTACATTTTACATGACTTTTGGTGAGAAAATCGCCGGAAATCAAAAAGTAATGAACTCCTATAAATATTTACAGAACGGATAAACAACCGTACAAAGTTTTGATGCGCCCTAGGTCTTTAAGATTACCACATTTGATTACTTAGCTTGATTTTAAAACCCGTTCCACGCTAAAAATGGATTTGGACTTGCCGGACAGTGGACTAAACCATTCACCGCTTAAGAGAAAATTTCAAAATATTTTTGTACCGACTGAAATAGCAAACAGTGCACACCATGATATAACGGCATGGTTGCATGTTTACCAACCTAGTATCAAAGTTAAACAGTGGAAATAAGCGACTTTAAATGACTAGCAATGCTGTACTATTCATCTAAAATCAGACAACGAATCACACATCCACTACTTGAATTAAAACAAATCAAAAACAAGAACCTGCAAGAATAATAATAAACAGAAACCAAATGAAACGAACGATTAAATTCACTAGAAATAAAAACGTGTTGGAACTCTATTTTTAATATTTTTTTTTATAAATATTATGTAAAAATAAAATAGCAGACAACTGTCCCGTGTGCAAAAATAGTTCGTGTGCAAAAATAGTTCGTGATTGAAAGAATCTATGTTGCGTCTTGCAGACAAAGAGTTTCTAAATACATCATTAATAGATAACAATTTAAATTAAAAATTAAAAATAAGTATTCGATAATATTTCATATGCAACTCATACGTAAATAGCTTGTAATAATTTTATTTCTTCAAAGCAGTTTCTTTTCTACGCTTGCTTTAAGTTTATCCTTTGTAATTACGAAATCAAAACAAAAAAAAATCGACACCGAGTCCAGATCACTTCCGGCAGGGACGCGTTTCAAGAATTAAGATCCTTACTCTTAGCGAGTGTATATTCTAAGGATGAAGATTTTTTTCAATTTGATCAATGTTATAATAATAATAATAATAATAATAATAATAATAATAATAATAATAATAATAATAATAATGATAATAATAATTTCTTTTATACTATCGAAAACTCATTTGGAGCCTATTTGTACTATATATTTTATGTTTCTCGTTATAAATACAATGTTTTCACAGTATATAAACGAAATCACTGTACCCTGTCTTGCGAGCATATACAATTCAATGTGTACCATGTCTTGCGAGTACCAGCACATGCTACTTCCGATCACTGTACCCTTCTGTGTTAATGAGGGTCCATCCTACCGTAAGGGCACAAAATGCAGCTTTCGCTGTCGAGTACGGACCCCGGACATGTCGCCAGTCATGCCCTTAAAGAGTTAATTTTGAAGCACAAAGTGGTGATAATTTACCTCCATGCAATTTCCACGGAGTATTAGCCAAAGATATGAATTTTGAGCCAAAAGAAGGTCACTGTGCGGCGGTCAATGAGAACCTAAATGTACAGTAACCTGAGGCAATATGTAAGGGTAGCCCTGAAAAGGGCTGTTGGTGCCAGCAAAAGGGACTACAGGAAGTAGACTGGTTTATATACTGTGGTTTTGTCTGCTAAATTTGAATAACAAGAAAATAAAATACGTATCTCGGTATCATGTCATGAAAATGCAAGGGAGGATAAAAAGAAGTTAAGCTTTATGTTTCTATTCAATTCAATATTTTGTTTGGCATTAAACTACATATAGTATATAGCCATTATTACATAATATATCTAGTCGTACAAAATAACAATTGCTGTGGGTATAAAGTGTATGTATCCTCAATATACAGTCAGTGTAATAGATCACTGTAAACATGTGCTGCTCACTATTTTATCTTCATTGTTTCCCAATTATCGGTTTAAGCATCAGTCATAATACACTGTCATAAAAATGTATAATAAAAACGACCTCTAATCAAATCATTTACCCATATGTAATGTAACATCTTGTATATTCATAACCCCATGCACCTCTTTGATTGTGTGTACTGTTCACTTCCGGCGGAAATCGATGGGCAGCTTAGATCGTGTAAACAATTAAATTCCAAAATTCCCGTTATCAAATAAAACCTGATGTAACTGAATACTCATTATACTGTACGGATGAGAAAATGATCGAAAAGGATTACTAAACAGTGCATTTATGCAAGATGTTACCAGCGTAATGTCAATTAAAACCGGTCATATTAAAGCGTAAATGCAATAATAGACATGGTTCCAAGTCGATTTCTCTAATTGCCAGATATTATCTTTATTACATCGGTAATTATGATTTTTCTTGTCACAGGTTGCGCATTATGGATTACGTTCATTTACGTCCATTTACCTTGTTAATCAAACATAAAAAATGTCTTTGATGTTATTTTAATATAATGAACACCAATATTTCTAGCTGCAACCCTGCTGAACAGATTTTTGTCCCGATTACTGATCTGAAAGAATAGACTTTCATTATAAAAACCACATATTTATTATATTAGAATTGGCTTGTTAAACAATAAAACTTTGATTGTAAAACCTCCGTTATTAGATACGAATATCGTTCGGTTGTAACATGTGGATATTAGACGTAATGGTCGAATTTGTGATATCCGAATTAACGCTTCATATAACAAGAGCATCGAAGTGTAATTATTAACATTAAACACTTATAGAACTTTATACGTTTGTATGACGCATTTATATTGTATGTAAATCTATTAGTGAAATGATACATGGGCTTTTTGTGTCTGTCATAGATTGATTACGGAACAACTGTGTTTTTAAATACTCTCTATGAACAATGGACATTCTTTATTTTGGGACTTTAATATCGCAATAAATGTCAATTGGTTAATGAACCCGTAATCGATTCCTAGTGTTTCTTTTGAAATTATAGAATGTCGCAAATAAAATCTGAAAGTCAAAATATACCAACCAAAGTTATACTGAATATTTTACAAGAAAATGAAATTTCTTTTTAGATGATTTTTTTAATATAAATTTCTAATTCCTTTTTCTAATTTCTATACTTACAGGTTCACCATTACTACCAATGCCAAATGCTTTCTCTTTCCTGAGTCAGATGCGAGGCAAGCCTCGCCGAGGCATGCTTAGGAGGGCTGTTTTCTCTGATATGCAAAGAAAGGGTTTGGAAAAGATGTTTCAGAAACAGAAATATATAAGCAAACCGGACAGGAAGAAATTGGCGGCTAAACTTGGCTTGAAAGATTCTCAGGTACACACATTTATCTATATTTAATATTAAGTTTAGAAAAGGATTGCATGTACAGTTTTGAAAAAAAAATAAACGAAATTCACTTCGAAAAAAAGGAAATGACGTCACCAGTACTCAAAGTGAACTCTGAAACAATTCCAAGCGTTTGAATGATATTGAGATATTGTTTTGTAGAACTTTGGTTGTTTCTGAAGACGGTCGTCAGCTTAAACGAATTACATCATTTTTTCTCATTTGTTTTAACTGTCTTTCAGTCAACGGCACTCTTATAAATAAGCAATATGGCGCCCTCGGTTACAGCCTAATCACATTCTTATTTGATGCAAATGTTTCAATTTGTTTCCTTTCAAAGAAACAAATACTGGCTTTATAAGACTAAGGAAATGCTATTTAGCTCAATAAATTTCGCCATTGGCTTCTCGTCGTCTAATTATACGTCATTTCCAGCGCATCTAATTGTCCGCGTATTTATTAATATCGGCTCAACTCGATTCACGCTCTCGGTCGGAATTGGGAGTACTTGATTAAATGGCAACATCTGGAAGTGACAACTTCTTGAAATTCTCCCCAGTGGTCTATTCTAATGGGAAATTCCACGGTTTATTTTATTCCATAATCGTTCTGTAATCGCCCGTTTATCTCCTATTGATTCAGTATGGAAATAGCAATAATAACGTGGTAGTTTGTACACTCTCATTTTAAATTATCAACTAATTATGACTCCATTTGTCTGTCTTCGTCTGGCACACAGAGAAAGGAATTGTTTTAATAAAAAATAGTTCCCCTTAATAGGGTTAACGAAATGGTGTTATTATTTCAATGCTGGTAGATGTAAAACAAGTATTTTTGTATGTCTTTTTCAGGTAAAGATTTGGTTTCAGAACAGAAGAATGAAATGGCGCAATTCAAAGGAAAGAGAACTTTTGTCGTCTGGCGGATCACGTGACAATACTTTACCAAATAAAAACAATCCTCATCCAGATTTGAGTGATTTGAATAAAAATAGTGACGTAGATGAACAATCTGAGCATGAATTTCACACAGCGCATGCGCATGAGCATAAGATAGACTCTCCCGAGACAAGTCCTTACTCACAAGTGACAATGAATTCCCAAGAAATATTTCGCCAAATAGGTGACGTCGATGATGACGTTGACTCTGTTTCCGACAGCTGTGATGAAGAGATTGATGTGTCATAGATGTCGTAATAATAAAGTTGGACCCATTTGCGACACTTCCTGCAATATCTATATGCCGTTCAATATTATATACATTTTCTTCCATTTTGTATTTTGCCATGTTATAGAGTCTTCCATTTTGTGAATTATTTTGACTGAGTATGAGTCTTTTTACATAACTGCCAATGAAATTTTTTGTCTATACAACTCAAAGTATTATGATCATAACGTCTAACAAAATGGCAAGTAACTGTATTTTATGGTCCGTTGTTCAATTTAAGAACAGAAATTTATGTTTTCATCACATGCCAATTTAACCCTTACCGCGCTAAATATCTTTACTGGACTTGGCTATATTTCAGTCTGGCCAAAGCCATTTATTGTTTAAGGTTAAGATACCAAAAATAAGAACTAACTGAAAAGCGAGCTGAGCAGATCATGATTTGGCGGCACGGATGTTTCGGCTGATCTTGGTCTGCACTGGTCGCATGGTTAATTTCAGTTGCCGATAGTCTTGACAAGTTACTTTTTTGAAACATTATCAGTTAACGCGCCTTTTGTTTCTCGGTGAAAGTCGGACTTTGCCTAAGTTAAGTGAGCACTTCCAATTAGCATACAAAGTATCAAAATTTCGCCTTTCAATAATTAGTGGTAACGTAACTTCTTGAAAAAAAGAAAAATATTTAGCTAAGCATTCTTATCGTTCACAAGAGAAAGTCTCGTTTATAATAATATTCAAAATAAACAAGTCATGGAGGTTACGTAAGGTTGGCTGATATTTAAAATTTCAAATGGACTGTTCTAAATTAAAAAAAAACCGGCCAAGCTAATATTCGTGAGAATTACACGCTAAAATTATAACTAGGAGGATCCGGAATTTTAAAAGTGTTTGTAACTACAAGAATTACTGTAATCTTGTTGCATGTTTTACTTATTTTTAATTTACATACACAAGGAAATGTGTTAGGAATACTGAGTTCAATATTTTGCAATTTTATTTCTTTTTTGAGATAAATCTGTTACATTTATTTATATTTCATTGTGGTAGAAAAAATAAACACAAATAAATGTGCTTCCATTCATTAAATTGTTTGTCCTATTTCTGTAGACACCAATAAAATATATATGGTGGTCGACATTTACTTCTCGAATTTTGGCCAATTTTTTGTCGTACTTTTGCTTTTTTTGTCTCGAGAATATACAAAGATATGACAAAATTTGACTTGGCCATATGTTCGTGTTTTCGCATTTTCGTGGCAAAAAAGATAACAACGTGGCGTAAAGCAGCCACCATAGATTTTTTTAGTTCATTAACTAATATATAATTAATAAAACAAACCACGGATTAAGCGTCATCATAACTGATTTTATAAATTAAAGCTGGCGGAAGTAAAGGCAGCAACGTGGGACCTTGGGAATTATATATGGTATAGATTTCGAGTTCCAAAACGTTATTATTTACAAAGCACTGAAAATGTGTATCAATTAGCAAAAATGAAACCGGAATGAAACAATTTTGTTTTCTTCTTATTTCATGCTTTCCAGTGTTTTATTGTAATATATCAGATGATTATATTCTGATAAACCACTAGTGAAATTTATAAAATATAATTTTCACTGTAGCCGGACTATATCTGAATGCGAATGAAAAGAAAATCATAACTAAATGGAATAACAGGCAGAAATTAATGCCGTCGTGCGTAAATTTTGCTTCTTTAGGAAAAGAAAGTCGATGTCATCATACATCATGTTAAAAACGTAACAAAATTAAAGAAATTTAACAGACCTATATTTCAAAATTGATTATGTGACGTCATGATGTGATGACGTCACAAAGGAAAATGCGTGACTTTACGCGGCAAAACAAGTAAAAAAATACTTAAAATCACTTAAAAAGCATGAAATAAAAAGAAAATTTATTTGTTTTACATATAAGATTGAAAAATATTTCATTCGTGAACACCAGCTATTATATTTTCACTCGTGGCTACGCCACTCGTGAAAATATTGCATCTGGTGTTCACTCAGTGAAATTATATTTCAATCTTACATGCAAAACAAACAAATATCCTCTACATATTATCGGATGGTCTATAAGAATATGTGAACAGATGTTGTATATTGTAAATGATCGGTAGCTTTCACATGCTGTTTATGGTTGCAGTTAATCAAAAATATAATAATTGGTTTAAGCCCAATTTTTCAATAGACACATTATAAACCATAATTGTCCATAATACATGTATATAAATAGTTAACTACTGTTAGCAAAGAAAAGTTTCTTATACGTATGTTGCATAATAACGTTATTTATAACGTGAATGCATGACGTATAAATGTAATACAAAATGTATGTGCCTCTTATATGTAAACATCAAATGTCCGACGGAACAGAAATGAGGGATTGACACACATATACGCATTTTAATAAACTTTACATTGTTGACGATTGTATTTTTTTTGTATGTCGGAACTTACTCCGAAGTATGCTAGTTTTGATTAATAAAATTATTGTTCAAAACTCACTCAAATACAGTCTCAAAGGTATAATCTGTATATACATGTATTGACGATTGACCACTGTATTCAAGTCAAATATACCGCTAATAAAACCTGTGTCTGCAACAGAAAATCCCCATTACATTTTAATTAGCGCCACTTACTGACTAATAAAGTTGTGCTCATTTAATTTCATTTCTGATAAATCAACGAAAAACTGTATGAGATTGATATAAATTACAAAATTTAACATTTAATCGTATATTAATGCGTTTTCGTCGCCCCGCCCTGTTGACCAATATCCATTTAGGGTCAATCGGGGTCAACACGGACAAAAAAGGCCTGTTTTGTTTGTGATGTGTCCGGAAAACTGACCAATTCGTGGCGACGTCCGTCTGTGGACAATTTTGACCAGTGTCCAGTAGCTTTTCATTGAGCGGACTTCATTCGGTCGAAATGACCGTTGATTATAAAGAATATGAATGTGAAAAATACGCTAATACAAATGGAGAAAAAACATCAAAGGAGTTATAGGAACTTTTATTGTAACAATGTTTTATTTAAAAGCCATCTGGAACGATTGGTCATTTTACTTGCATCTGATTTTGATCACCTTGGTCACGAACAATTCAAATAAATCAGCGTTCATAAATGTTCAAAAATCAGTATTTTATTACAACAAAAAAGAAACTGTTACTAACTTTTTAAAAGTAACAAAAGCACGAGAAAAATAACAACATTTCGTGTGTGCAGACAAAGCATGAAATGATCACCGACGACATTTAAGTCAACGGAATATCCCGCAAGTTTTCATATAAGCTCATGGTCTGCAATTAGAGAAATAACAAACGAGAGCTAAAATTGATGTTGCTTTTAATAAAAACTAAGTATAATATTTTGTACTCTGTATCATATATTATAAAACCTCCGATTCTTCAAACTATACGATTTATCTGTATGCACATTTTTTAATGCATGTAGTCCCCTTGAACAATTTATTTTGACCGAGACGTGCCAATTTTTGCGTGATGCAAGCACGAATGCACATTATAGTAAGGAATGAAAAACACCCAACTGTCTCCAGTGGTCTCTTCATATCTTTTATTACTTCGCACCGAATATCAAAAGAATATAGAAGAAGACGTCTATTGTAAATATTTCGAAACATTTGGTCATTTTTTGGGGTCTATCGAACCTCAAGTACCCTCGAAATTTGCAAAAGACCCTTATTAGAAATAACACCTTTAATTATTAAAATCTGTATTCATTTGCACGTTTCTTAACAGAAATAATATTATCAATGTCAATTGCAAAGTTTTCCGGTGGGCTAATTTAAGTGTCATCCCCTTTAAGAAAGATGCAAATGTAAATAAAGTAACGTCAACTATTAAAGTGGCGACACTTTGAATTGATACACTTCTCACGTGCGTGTAAAATAATTATCATCATTACCGTGCATCGTTTAAAATAAACACGTGCGGGAAAGGGCTCTTAAATTCATCAGTTTTTATGAAACATATTTATCTGTGTCTTATTGACAAGCCGAAAATTAAACAATCTGACCTTAAAATCCTCCGATAGCCCTAAATTCAAGGGTCACTTATAAGCGTGCGCGCGCGCAGGGGTATGGACATAATTGAATTTCTTTGAGATATCATCTTTCACAATGAGGTCGATATACCAAAGTGTTGTATTCCTTCCTTTTGTAACTATTCTATAATACTTTTTCTAAATATTGTCAATTTTAAAAGTAATGTGTACAAAATGCGTAGTTTCGTCTACATTCATCATATTTTGTCGTGAAATGTGCTTTTTTTTTTATCTTAATTGCTTAATTACGACCTATAAATTTGCATCAATTTTCATATTTGCGCTGGCTTTTTAGTATTGTTACAATATTTACTGTAAATGTTCTGTTCTGTTCTGATTACTTATAGACGCTTCTTTTTACTTATAGACGCTTCTGTATTATTCTATATAGCATTTCGATATCACTATTTGCTGTTTAATTGTGTATTTATTTCAGTGAAAAGTATCGTTTAATTCATTAGAATAGGAAAAGAATTATCGTTAATTTCAAAAACATATTGACTTTAAGTGAATAATGTCCGGTGCATAAAACATTTCGACCAATTGACCGGAGATACAACCCTGTTGAACCATTCCTGATGATTATTAAAATGTCTACCTTATTAATTAACACGCACGTGCATGTATTTTATTTAATAAGAAAGGCAAATTTACATAGTACGAGGTGAAAGGTTATTTTACATTATTTTTATCCGTCATTATTCTCTCTAAGTATCGTATAGGTATTTGATTGGGTTTAAAGTTCCGCCTCTTAATATATTACACAAACATGGTAACTTTTAAGTATCAAGAAAACGTAAAAAAAGATCGGAACCTTAATCTGATCAGGTTTCAAGCCTTTCCTAATCTTATTTCTAGACCAATTTTTGGATAATAATATTCAATTTAGATAAAAATCCAAGTAGTTTAATGGAAGTAGCACTTATGTTCAATGATTTGTTGAAATAGGATATTAAACAACAAAAATAGGGGAGGTTTATTTAACCGCCAATATCATTCTCTTGCCCTGATTTAGAAAATAATATTATTTTATTGCCGTACATTATGATAGAGTATTCAAATAAAATCACATTCTAAAAAGTATAACGGTAAACATCAAACAATAAATAACTATAGCAGTTACTAATCTACTGTGTAAATGTTTTCCAATATGGGCTACTACTAATTCAAATTTTTCAGAATTCAATACACGAAAGTATTTCATTTTTATTTTCTTCTTAACGAAATATTTTTACGATTATAAAAAGCGTCGATATAATGAACACTTTCAATATTTGTTGATCCAAAACATTTATGTTAGAGAAAATGAGCTATTTGGAAGATTAAGGATGTATCAATATATTATAATAGAGAAACACTGGGGGTAATATTTTTATAAGATATTTGTCGAAAACAAGGAAATGCAATATTTAAAATAAATACTTTAAATAGGACCGCGGTTTGTCGTTTCGAGGTGCACCTTTTATAGCACTGTACTTTTAATAATATATCAACGCTATGTTGCTATAAAGTTTTAAAGGTTAAAGGCACATTATTTCTCTGAAACAAATAAATTTTTACTTCTTGTGAAAGGGCCCACATCGATTTTATAATTTTTAAATAATTGTTTTAGAGAAATGTTAAATGCTTGTTACCTGGAAAAGTAGCGATAAATGTAAAATGATTTGTCATAAAAGTAGCAACATGTAAACAAAGTAGTACTTTTACTTCCATACCAAATACTTATTCACTGTAAATGTACTTATTGTCAAAAAGGAACATATGAAAATGACGGTTCTTATATTTGGCCAATGAATACGTTTTTGGAAACTATAAAACTTAAAGTATACCAAAATTAAAAAACTTTTGAGAAATAAAAATAAACATATTTCTTAGGCATAATGGGCCTGAAAGCTAAGGTAGATTTGCATAAAATAAAACAAAATAACAAAAAAACACGTATATCCGTTTTGCTTTGTATTATGCCACTAAATCATATATTAATTTTGTCATTAAATTGAGGAACTTGCAGAATCTTTCCAAATACAATTTACTTTGATTGATATATCATTTCAATATATTTTTTTTTTTTCTAATTCTTATTTCCTAGATATTTCCGTTTTTTATTCTGTATAGAATGTATGTTATTTCTAGATATGTATATGTAGGTGCTGATTGAATTCTTAATTCATTGATATTTTTTGTTATTTAATGTAACAGAACAGAACAAAAATCTACAAAAACTTAAGCATATTATCATAACAAAACATTCATTTTTATAAATAAATTATAGAATTATCCTTAAAAACAATAATATTATAATTGAAGCGTATGCATTATAAGAGCACACTGCCATAGTACTATCGATAACCTCATAATCAAACAAATTAAAAAGTTATTTACATAATTGTATGAACGCCTTTGAACAAGTAAGTCACAAATTGATTCATTCACTCATTTAAGTTCATAAAAGGTAACTCGGATGAGAATGATAGACTTTTGGAATATATGTCTCTTGATGTTGTAATAAACCACAAAAAACTTTTGGTAACGTAAACTATGATAAGTAACCAATTTATTATCAAACAGAACAAAACCAGTACGTCGTTTGTATGCAATCACGACATATATTTTACAACTAACCAAAAGTACCTATATATAACATCAGTTGAACGAAATGGGAGGAATTTAGCAATTATTGAAACTTAGATGTGTAATTATTCACAATTCAAGTAGTTTCTAATTGTCAAAGCATTTTTGTAATAACTTCCAATTATGTTTAAGACATGGCTTTTGAATAACCTTGCAAAATATATTTAATGAACGTGAATGTTTATTACAAACTTGTCTTGGAAAGCTACCTGCTTTCTGATGTGATTGTATATTCTCCTGTTATTTTACTTTACTATTTGCATGCGCATGTATGTTTATTCATATATGTGGCTGTCCATGTCAGAATATTTTTTGTAGTTGCAAATGTGTTGCTGATCTCAAAATAAAGTGAACCAACCTGAAACTGCTCTACATATAACTCTTTGCTGTAATTCATTGCATTAATCAAATAGCTACCATCATATCAAAATAAATATTTTGTGACTTTATGCTGAAACTTCGCATCATGTACAAAGGGAAGCTACTCTAATTGTCTGTTAGGAGAATTAACATTTCGCCTGTCAACGTTCTAGTCGTGGCCTCCTTAATTTGTCATGCCTAGGATATTAGACAACATTTGTAGAATATAAAGTAAAACCTTTATATGACACCTCCAAACTGCAGAATGTTGTTTCCTTTTCTTTCTTTTTTTCTTTCTTTTTGTGGTAAGAATTATACTTTTTTTGTTGTGGAAAGAAAAATACCAAAAATCTAGTACCAATATTGAAAGAAGATTTTTTATAAATGTCTTCAAAAGTAATTTGTCTTCTTAACTCTTGATATATTGCTTTTTAATACATACATATTCCTAACTTGATGGGTTGAATAAATCCAAATTTTGAAAAACAACTCTATGTTCTGTTCTTTATTAACGAATAACTGGTCATAAGATATATCTGAAACTAATGAAACTAACAATTTAATATATAAAAGTATCTTTAGATTTATATGTATAGACTGCATGTTAAAAAATCTAAAGTATTGTTATTTATTTTCAATTGCTTAAAACGTCCATGATTTCAAGCTAGCTATCTTAACTGTTAATCTATATGTGCGGTCATTGATTCCTGTAGGATTGAATACCGTTAAGCCGGTGCTGGGGGCGTGAGGGCTATATCCTTCATCTATTATTCCTTATAAACAGACTCTATCAAACCGAGTCTTCAATTTTCATGTAAGTTTCTTGTTTTTTATTGCTTCCATGGGTTCACCACATTTCCAGTTTTTTTCCAGATTTTTAAACTTCACAACAGCAAGTGTTAATTGCCGTGTTGAAGACATATTTCACAACAATGTTGTATTTTTCTAGTCCTTTGGAATACACCCAGCACATTAGGTATTGACGAATGACTACCACTTAAGCCGGTGCTGGGGGGGGGGTGAGGGGGCGTGGGGAATGTTTCGCTTTTCCCAGTATCCCTCACGAACAGAGACTGCAATTTTTGTGTTGTACGAAAAATTTTCACCTCTTCCAGGTGTTTTTTTTTTGCATTGTCACGGCGTCAACGATTGTAAATTTTCATTTGTCTTGAATGCTGTTAAAAGTACATTTGCTTAAGAGTGCATTAAGTCAAACTGTTGGTAGTGTAGAATTCAAAGTTGTTTTCTAAACTGTTTTGAATTGAAACTTATATCCCCGAACATTCTTACATCACCCATATGGCACAGAAGAAAGTGTTTTCAATTCATTATTAATTTCTTTTCGGTCTATCTTTAACACTTATCCAATTTCAAGTTCGTTGTATCTATAAGTAACATCTACTTAAATTTGATATTTAAACAAATACTGAGGTATCCAGTTTGTGTATTCGTTTCCTTTTTAAATAGCTTTCATCATATGGGGACCATAAGTTTTATTTAACATTTCAAATTGAATAAGTCACGCGAGGTAAGATGCACTTGATCTTGTTACTACCTCTACAAGAAACGACCTGTTACGACTGACTACTATTTCAAATTAAATAACATCCCTATCATTTGTATCAATACGGTGAATTGGCTAAGTTCAAATAAGTTAAATGTTTTTCATCAATTATTTAAAAAAAATAATAACCTAAAATGTATACAGTTCAATTTGAGAATTATTTAGTTATAATGTTACATTTTGTACGGCATTATCATTGAGCTCATACAATATACAAAGACAAATTGTAAGTTAAAATGTGCACAGTGCAGTCTGTAATCTAAAAGTGAAATGTACACCGGGCAAAATTAGTCAGCAATTTTAATGACATTAATCCTTAAATACATTCAATATATTTTTGTCTGCTTTTAGATATAAAAAAATGTTTAATACATAATTAAACATCATCAACTAAAAACTTAGGAACAAACGTCTTATTATAACTTGTTAAATGATTTAGTTTATACACGTAGTTTATTTCAGTCTCCAAAATGTATACTATATTCAAATAATTAAAAAAAAGACAGACACATACAAAACACATAAGACGATGTACATAAAAACGTTACATTGCATATCATAATAAAATTAAAAGGTTCGTAATAGGAATTGTTAATCTAAATGTTGTAAGAACTTGTTGCTCAACCCTTTGCATTTTAATATATACTCATCATTTGTATAATATGTTTGTAAACATGTATTTACTGCAATAAAAAAACTTAAACTAAACGTATAGTAGCATTCAAAATTGTTCTTCGAATTTCTATATATTTCCCCCATCCTTTAGAAGGCAAAGAATATTAAATCAACCCGACGCGTCTTTGCAAGTAAATGTACGAGTAGCCTTGAGCAAAAAAAATGCTGTGTTAGATGACAGAAATGTTTAAACACGTTATTACTTTTATCACCTATAACTTAAATACGAATTGATCAAATGTTTACAATTATAGTGAAAAGTAAACAGTTTATAAAGCAATATACCCCAGAGGACTTTAGTTATGTCCACCATGAATAGCAACTTAGTAACACTTATATTACATACTCAAAGAGCCGTGTCTTCAAGTACCATTTTCTATTTAATAACTAATAAAACTTGATACCCTCTCGAAAACCTTGCTTTTGGCAAGGCATTCCATTAAAAACTAATGGACTAACGGTTTATTTAATGTATTATATCAATAAATGTTTAATATTTCCATTTTTAAAGTATGTATTCTTATAAGTTATAAGAATTAAAATGTTACCCCACAAATACCTTTAAATGTGATTTTATTGCTGACTAAAAGTCTCAAGTAATAGAACATCTTCTGTTTACGAAAGTTAAATGAATCGCAAAGTGTATTTAATTATCAGCATTTGGTATAAGTTAATATATAAATGGATATTTTCATTAGATACGACCATATCTATTTTAAAACCGTTATTTTTCATGGGAAAATACAGAATATAAAAGAGAAATGTAATTATTCCCACATTGCATTTAATCGTTTAGGGCAATAACAATATTATAACCCCAAGATTTATTAGATAACATGAAGAAAATATCAATTATCCCAACGAAAATAATCAACATTCTAACCATATCTTATCCCTACAGCTTATCCTTAAGGATAATATTTATGTCAATAATTATACGACAGTCTGACGGTGTGTCCTTACAAGTTTACCATACGATTGGAACAAATCTTTTACGATGTGTAAAAGATTTGTTCCAAACGTGCTAAATATCAATCATGAGACCATTTCGTTATCTCGTTTAAAAGAAAAACAACAACAAATAAACAAACAAAAATATATTATTGTTAGTTGTTTGTTTGTTCAGAGTTTCGACGGTTCTATAAGTACTTTGTAATCTATGAAATAAAAATCATCCAGTGCATTTTGTTACATGAATTAATGGCCACTGAGAACATGGCTACGGAGAACATGGTCAAGGAGAACATGCATGGCCACGGAGCACATAGCCACGTAGAACAACATGGCCACGGAGAACATGGCGACGGAGGACATGGCCACGGAGAACATGGCGACGGCGGACATGGTCACGGAGAACATGGCGACGGAGGACATGGTCACGGAGAACATGTCGACGGAGGACATGGTCACGGAGAACAACATGGCCACGTAGAACATGGTCACGGAGAACATGGCGACAGAGAACATGGTCACGGAGAACATGGCGACGGAGGACATGGACACGGAGGACATGGCCACGGAGAACATGGCCACGGAGAACAACATGGCCACGGAGAACATGGCCACAGAGACCATACATGACACACTGCAACTCTTTGCTTTTATTTCTTTGTTTAGATAAAGCAATGCTCGATATCAGAAATAGGAATCAAAGCACTGAAGGCTCTGGTTCCGTGTTCACAAACATTCTCATAACTTATGTTACAAAATATCCATTGTTTATTGTGTTTATTATTATTATTATTGATTTAGATTTGATATCCAATATCTTCTTTAAAATTGTCATGAAACGGCATAAGCTCACGAAGTTATAGTGAAAAATTTAAGATCCGCAGTTAAAATTGATCATAATATTATTGATCCTAAATTTGATTTCTTATTTTGCTTCAGTTATTATTGTAATTTGTAATGTTGTTTCTATATTTTATCCCAAAATAAGTATTGTTTCTTTACGATTTGATATGGATGTCAGACTATCAAAAATGGAAACGATATATAGTGTGCGATATGGATTTTGTATGAACATTTTGGACTCTGGAAACGAAACAAGGCCATAATGGGTGTGATATGAATTGAATTTTTGAACCTTAGAAATGAAAACGAGGCTAATTGGTAAGATTGGGTCCAATAATGGTTTCTATTGAAACAGCGCGTGTTGCAAATGCATTGGTTATATTTCATGAAGTGAGGTATAAATCTGTTTAATTACAAATTGATATGTAACAGATGTGCTTATATAGCACACTATTTAGAATTTCAGAATCTATATATTTGCGTCGGTCTAGTCATTTATTAACTATATTATGTTCACTTATTACTCACAATTACTCGATTTATAGATTCTTCATTATTATTTACATAAAAGTCCTTGCAAAAGTGATGACGATGTAATTTGAAACTATTTTTTGCTGTTGGAAGGTTTTATGTTCATTTGAAAGCTGTTGTGTTTTAACTTGAAAAATGTCCGATTTTTGATATCTGGTCAAGTTGACATTTCATACCGAACAACAACGACAACAACAAAAACGGTGTTTTTTTTCTTCGATATTTTATCTGCCAATTGTTTAATCATTAAAAAAAGTACTTTGCTATTAAAATGGATTGCATTACATATGTTGTTATTACATTTGACGCTATCCTATCACTGCATTAATATCATTATATCTATGTCACTCGTAACTATGGTAGCACGTGAACATCCTGTTACATGTATAATCACGGCTTTAATTCCACGCCAGTGTATACACCGGTAGGGAACGTGTTACAGTATCGCGTTTTCCGGTTACAGGATAGACTTTTTAAGATGGAGGATTATTTATGGGAAGAGAGGTAGGTGATTTTTATTCAGGTCCATATTACAAGAAGTTTAGTTTCTAAAAGATGTTTTTGTGCTTTGCTTGTAAGGAACAGGATCCGGTATCTACTCATTTACTTATTCAGACCCTGCACCGCAGATTTATCTCTATATTGTCTCATAAACGTGCAGATTTGACAGTTTGAAAATTTGAATCGAGAGACCAACGCATTTTTCTCCCATTCCGACATTATTTAAGCATGCCTAGATAAAGTAAATCTGCAAAACGTTAGTCCTTTGTGTTTAGAAACGTTTATAAAAGTAAATGACCAGTTGAACCTATTTTCCTGTTCGTCAAATGCGTTTGAAAAAATAAACAATGTTACAGTATAGAGCGAGGTGAATTTTGCAGGGTTACAGCATAGACCTAGCGACTTTGATCCAATCTTGTTACAGTTTATACCCAGATTTCGGTTACAGTTTAGATACTTGCCAAATTTCAAACAAAGTTCGTGCATCCATTATTTTTATGAAATAACTCATACCTTTCTATTGAATACATTCTTGAAAGGTTGTATTACTTTTTTTTCTTTTTAGCAGAAAAGTTATAGTTTTGCAGAATAAGTAATGTCCTAAGTAAGGACTGTTTTCAGGGAAAAAAACAGAATACTTAACAGAAGTCTAACACGGAAAACATGAAAATGATGCTGGCTCAATTTGATTGAACCTGTTCATGGACGGTAGTGGTAAGTGCAAGCTACCGTCCACGACCATCGGCTTAAGCAGAATTCACATTAAACATGAACTGGTAAACTTTAGATTTTTTAACATTTGTGGATGTGTTCATATGGCGGTTATCATGGAACCTTCAATGTGACACGTTATTGCCATTCCATGAAATGCGGCATATTACCCCCAGGTTAAAAATTGCGAGTGCCCTTTAAACGAGAGTGCAATGAGTAAAACTAAATAAAATGAAATTTTGAGAGGGGATCGGAGATTATGAAGCCTGCATACCACAGATAAGCTGTCAAAAGACACAATTAAAAAGCAGGCAATACACTAAGGGTGATTAAACAGTATTTAAGTGAGAAATACTGCAACCTTAAATTTTATTTTAAGTTAGAATTTCCATCTACAATAATGTATTTTGTAAGTATTTAAAAAGGGTTTGTTACGTTTGGCTTTCTTGGATTTTAAGTTTCAACGACACTGAGGTCATGTGAAAATATTCCTGCTTTAGTGTAAAGAAAGACCCCAGATACCCCTTTGTGAAACATTTCAGACACGAGCGGGCACCTGACTAGAACTAACGACAGTCCGTTAACTAGCTTGCTTGATAGATTCCTCACATACAAAAAACCAAAGCCATGATTTCAACCACAGCAGTCAAGGAAAGATGATTTGAAGTCGGCGGCCTTATCCCGACTCTGCCACTATTATGTACCTCCATCAGGCTTACTGGAGAAGATATTGTAATTGTCTGACCTTAATTTATACTCTATAACATTCAATATCATTTTCTTCTTCAGAAACTTCTATACATCATGTCTGAAATAAACTAAAAAGACTTTTAATTTGATAATGACAAAATAATCTTAACTTCAACAAAGAAGCATTCGAAATGACGCCATGATCATGATTTGCTTTGAATGCTTTTGGTTCAAGATGAGAAGGATCTTTAAACATCCCCTTTTAAAAATCTATGTTTTGGGTTTTTGTATACCCGATCGCAACCGAATCCATTTGAATAACTTTGGTAGAAAGTTATGTATATTTCATCACATTAAGTCAAGTTGTTACTGAGCAGATGAGATTGCACACACATGTGTACGACAGACAGACGAATAGCCATCGGGCCAATAAGCTCACAGAGATTTAAAAGTCTATGTATCATTCATACATTTTACCTAGTATACTAGTATATAATAAATATCGAAGTCTAAGCTGTAACCAAAATCTGGGTATAAACTGTAACAAAATCGGATAAAAATCGCTAGGTCTATGCTGTAACCCTGTACAAAACACCTCGCTCTATACTGTAACATTGTTTATTTTTTCAAACGCATTTAACGAACAGGAAAATAGGTTCAACTGGTCATTTACTTTTATAAACGTTTCCTAACATAAAGGACTAACGTTTTGCAGATTTACTTTATCTAGGCATGCATAAATAATGTCGAAATTGGAGAAAAATGCGTTGGTCTCTCGATTCAAATTTTCAAACCTATTTAAGAGACAATATAGAGATAAAACTGCGTTGTAGGGTCTGTATAAATAAATGAGTAGATACCGGATCCTGTTCCTTACAAGCAAAGCACAAAAACATCTTTTAGAAACTAAACTACTTGTAGTATGGACCTGATTAAAAATCACCCACCTGTCCTCCCCATAAATAACTTCCATCTTCGAAATTCTATACTGAAACCAGAAAACGCGATACTGTTACACGTTCCCTACGGTGATATTACAAGTCAAGTAATGTTGTCTTTTCTTATAAAAAGCTGCCATTTTTAACAACAATATTTATAGTGTATATATACCACTAGTTTGTAGAATTTTAAACAGAACATATCTTCTTTGTGTGAAGTCAAAACATTTTATATTTACAAAGAAACTGTGTATTAATTATCAATGTTTTCTTATATCAAATTTGAGCATAGGATATTTCTAAGTGTGATTTCATTTGTTTCCATTTTATATAAATTCAGTTATACTCTGTTATATGAAAATTTGCGCAGTACATTCAATGTAGTATTATAAAGGCATGAAAGAAACGCACAACAGATGGTTAAATGACATTATTTATTTCAATCCTATAGTTCTTTTCTTACAATAACATTGTATAGTAAGTACATCTACATCACTATGTATTATATATTTTCATAAACATAAGTTATAAAATTCATATTCAAAGGCATGTTGTTGTTGTTCTTGTTAGTTCATACCATATAAACATGTATTTTATAATATAGTTTAACATTCTTTTAGAACGACTCAAGTTTAATACAATTCTTTTTGCGAGATCTCTTAAATCAAGACCGGTAACTCTGCGCTTCACTCATTTTTTTAAAATTATATCCTTGCAAATACGGCTGTTGTTAATTGAGATCAAATAACACGTCACCGTGAAACAGTATGGCGTCTTTGTACATGCCATCATACTTTCAATAATATTGCTTAATGTATGCATCTCGTTTCTTAGTAACATTATTTATTATAAATAAAAAAATCTTCTTCTAATACTGGTATTAATTATTTACAACTTAAACCGGAGTCAGCAATGAAGCGATTTCCTTGCACGTGGACATTTTTTCAGAAGTAAGATATTAAAACTGTTGCTCATACATTTGATTTAATGCTTTTATACATTAATTATGAAAAGTCATTTATTTTGTCTAACGTTTTGCAGGTGCACGCGATAACAAGAAATAGTCTATTGAAAAAAAAATGTCACATTTTATGTTAATTTCTCATTTATATATAAAATATATTTACTTACTTATATATGCATGTATAAGATAACTATTAATTGCGAAATGTACCAGAACATGCAGAAAAATTCAGTTGACGACACAAAAACTTAAAGATATACTAGCTCGTCCTTAAGTAAAATATTTAATCACAGAAATTAAATTTTGAAAGCATATTTTTCATGAATATCAAATTTGAAATTAAAGAATAACTATGGGGGAAAATTGCATTCTATTAAAGTCAAGTAATTTTGTCTTTTCTTAAAAAACTGATTTTAACACATATTTATAGTTAATAACACTAGTTTTAAATTTTTTAAACAGACAATTTTCTTTGTTGAAGTCAAAACATTTTTTTTTACAAAAAAACTGTGTATTAATTTCAATGTTTTTTTACATCAATTTTTTAGCATTGAAAATTTAAGTTGATTTCATTTTTTCCATTTATATAAATTTTAGTTATACCTTTAATGAAAATTTTCGCAGACATTCAATGTAATTTTAAAAGGGATGAAAAAACGAAAAACAAGAGGTTAAAAAACATTTTTTATTTTAACCTTTTAGTTCTTTTTTGTTTTTTCCATTTTCCGGACTCAATAGATGAAAATTTCACATATAGCTTACACAGAATTTTATTAACATTGTATAAGTACATCAGCATCACTATTTATTGCATATTTTCATATACACATGTACATAAGTTATAAAATTCATATTCAAAGGCATGTAAGTGTGTTGCTGTTGCTGTTTCATATCACTTATACATGTATTTTATAATACAGTTTTAACTTTGTTTTAAAACGACTCAAATTTAATACAACTCTTTTTGCGAGATATGTCTTTGATATATTTTAAATCAAGACCGGTAACTCTGCGCTTCACTCATTTTTTTTTTCCAATTATATCCTTGCAAATACGGCTGTTGTTAATTGAGATCAAATAACACGTCACTGTGAAACAGTATGGCGTCTTTGTACATGTCATCAAACGTTCAATAATATTGCTTAATGTATGCATCTCATTTCTTAGTAACATTATTTATTATAAATAAAAAAATCTTCTTCTAATACTGGTATTAATTATTTACAACTTAAACCGGAGTCAGCAATGAAGCGATTTCCTTGCACGTGGACATTTTTTCAGAAGTAAGATACTAAAACTGTTGCTCATACATTTGATTTAATGCTTTTATACATTATTTATGAAAAGTCATTTATTTTGTCTAACGTTTTGCAGGTGCACGCGATAACGAGAAATAGTCAATTGAAAAAAAATGTCACATTTTATGTTAATTATAGTATGTTAACATCATGTTTTGTGAAAGATATCATATTCAGTTTAACGAATACTAGTAATAGAGATGAAATGTTAACAAAATTGTTATAATATCTTAAAATCTATAACCCCGAATTTTTTAGGGGTTAAACTCATTTTTTATTTCTATAGACAAGCTGTTTAACTATTACAACCTTATCTCTTTTTCTTGTTTTTTTTTCATACGATTGTTTCATTTGTCATAAAATCATTTTTGTGTAAAAGACAGCGAGTGATTATATGCCTACAGACAGTTTATTGAAATAAAATATCTATTATTTAAATAAAAATATGTTTAGATAAAACATTTATGAAAATTAAGTAAGGAATATATTATCCATATTATATTATATATATCACTGATAGTGAACAGATATATACATGTCAATTATTTTTTCATCATGATGAGATTTAACTTTTAGTCCTATATTGTTCTATATAATGAAAATAAGAATTAAAATGCACAATGCATTGTTTGTTTATTTGTTTGTTTGTTTTTTGTTGTTTTTTTTTCTTTTTAAATTATTCGGTCGTTCGGTAAGTCAGTCGGTTGGTAAGTCAGTCGGTCGGTCAGTCAGCTCAGTCTTCTTCTCCTTCTTCTTCCTCCTCCTCCAATATACTGATCGCCTTCCACTAACTGAAGTTTACGGCCAGGTTAATGCGCAAGAGGGAAAGAAGGAGTAAAATAGTGAGGAATATATACAGTGCAGGTTAAAAACGGACAAGAGTGCGGTTTAGATAAAGAGTTGGTACGGAATGACTCAACTGTTCCGGCTGACACAGCATCCGGAGGGAGGCTTTTCCAGTCTTTGATGGTGCGTGGGAAGAAGGATCATTGTTGACGATTAGTCAGCTAGCTAGCTAGTACGTTAATTAGTTGGTTGGTTAGTTTAATAGCTGGTTAGTTAGTTGGTTCGTTGATTGGTTGGTTTGTCGGTCGGTCGGTCAGTCGGTCAGTCAGTTAGACAGGCTATGTTGCACACTGAATGCTAGGCCTAAAATAATCATGTGTGAAACAAATTACGCCTCGCACTTTTCTATTTTGTATAAAATGTTTATAGAATAAACAAAGGCATGTCCTTGTCAAAAGCTTATTAAGAGCGTGTGTACTATTATTTTCATTATTTCCTTTTTGGGTTTTTAATTTACGTATTGGGGCAGGGTCAATTTAGCACTATTCTGCGCACCTATATACCGATGTTTAAATTTCGTTGAGTTGAAATATAGTCTTCTTGGTATTATTACTTCTTTCGGTTCAATTCAGGTTTTTATCACTCTCCTAAAAAGAGAATATCGCGCAATTTTCCGATTTTCTTCAAATGAAAGAAATATTGATAAATGAAGCCCTTTTAAGAAAACTTGACAAACAATGTTCCTAAAATAACGAGTCAGTCATTAAATGTTTATCAGACAGGGCATTAAAAGTGCCTGTCAAATTGCTGAACGCAGATTTGAGACCAGTTTGTCTGTTTTTACTAGGCGTTTTGTTAGTTTTAGTTTTCAAAGGTTGCACGTAAATATGTCCTCATTGAAATATGAAATATCACTTGTCTGTCCAGAAGGTAAACATGATCCAATTAAAATCCCGCACAGAGAACTTCTGTTCATAGGGAGATCTCCAGAAACACGTATTGTTGATCCAAGATGCTCGAGAAAACAAGGTAAGCATGTCATGTAAACAGTATTTATAATTGATATGTCACAGGTCGATTTATTTGTAATTTACATTTAATGTCCATTTTGCCGGTCACTGTTAGTCAATTAAACAATGGAAAAATATATATATTATGTCCAAGCATGCGTCAATTAAGATTTTTTTCTGTGGCGTCTTAAAGGCCCATCAGTTACACGTTTCAACATATTTGTTTCGATTTTCATTTGTAAACAATCTGATATTTTTTACCCTGTTATCAAATTTCCATGTTGCGTTATCCCCAAGCTTCAAGGTCAAGATCACACTAAGAGGTACAGGGGTTTTTTTTGGCCGATTTTATAGCTGTTAAAAGTGTTATTCGGTCATATTCCCAATTGAAAATAGTATGTTTTTTTCCCAATTTTGATACAAAAATTCCCAATCGAAAACTTAAAAAAAAAATTTTAAAAATTGATCTTTGGGGAAAGTAAAATTGTGCGAATATACGGCGTCTAAACAACCCATGTGTTAATTTCTCAGTATAAGTTTATCGAGGGTCTAACAATATCGATGAAAGTGAAAGTAAATCAAAATGTCTCACAATAAAAAATATTACATTAAAAAGCTTAAAAAAAGCACTGATAAAGACAGAAAAATTGATCTAATGTTTAAGCAAGCGACTCTCTTGGAAAAGAGTTGTACTTTGGAAACGGTAACGGCGAATGAAACTGCAAGTACTAGTGAGAAATTGCCTTCAACGGTGACCGTGAGTTACCACAATGATGTTCCTTCTCGGGGTTTTAAAAGTTCTAGCGACGAGTCTAAGTCAGATACAGTTGTCCCTGTCACTGATCAAAGGTTATTTAGTTCCAACAAATACGAGTTGAAGTATGAATTGTTGTATTATAGTGGTGCAAAAGTTGGGTATTGTTGCAAATTGTGCAAGCTTTTTTCAGCTACAGATGAAAACATCTTCATAAATGGTACAGGTGATACAATAACACAGTTCAAAAATATGAAAACCAGAGACCTACTTTTGTGAACTAAATCCTAATAGCTAGGAATATAATATTGCCTCAGGAAACTTGAAAATTTTATTTATTTTTTTTCCCCAAATTTTGAGCAAAATGCCGCTAAAATTCCCAATCTCAAGGGTATGGGTCATGTTCCCAAAATATTGAAAAAAAACCTGAGGTAAAAGGTCAGCAGTTTAAAAATCATGTCTGGTCTATAACTGTCATGCATCAAGGTATTTTGAAATCAGCAGTTACCAACAGCCATCTGTCCTCTTACTTTCAAAGGTTTTTTATTTCTAAAATACCAGATATACTGTCCCATCATTGCATTTTTGTTTATATTATTCTGTGTCCTAACATATTTAGCTTGGACATTCACGTCTTTAGACACATTTCTATATAAAAAATTTGCATTTTAGATTCACCTTTTCAAAGTAGTGCTAAAGGTATTGACATGAAAAGTTTGAAAACACAAGACATGTCTTTGATCTTATAATTTTAGGTCATTATCAAAAGGCTGATAATTTACTAACATGACCTGATTGAATTATGGCCCTTTGTGAACTTTGAAAAATTCTTGTTAAGTTTTGCCTGCAAGCTACTGAATGCTTACACTTGTAACTGGAACCTCTTTTTGGGGATTATAATTGGATTTGACAGTCCATTTCCTATAATTTTAGAATTTTTTTTTATCTAAATTTATATGGCCCTTTTTAACTTAAAAAATCCTGGTTAAACTTTTGCATGTTTGATCTGTTTTGCTAGCAGCTTTCACATCTTGTTGATATGATTTCCAAGATAAATCAGTTTATTTACTTGCCAATTATAAACCCTCTTCACAACCACAGGGAAAATGAGCCAAGCTATTATAATAAAAATGGGTAAGTATCTGCTATGCCCTTAATATGTGTGGGATATAATGTGTTTAAAATTGTCTGACATTACCTTCAGTCAATTTAGATAAACATGATAAACAGTCAAATTGATAATGAAAATATTTTTACAGTGCAGCTGACAGCTGATTTGACAACAGGAGAGGTCCAAGCTGTACAACTAGGTCAGAATAGTTCTGCCATTGATGGCATTGAAATGATAAAAGATAAAGTATACATCATGACACCAACTTCTACTTTGCATGTCCTTACTGGATGTTTTCCACAAAAACTTGATATAAATAAGTTAAAGGTAAGGAGAGAGATCTTGTTTTTTGTGACAATGTGAGGTTTTAAGTCAGTAAGACAATTTAAAGATTAGTTGGGGACTTTCCAGCTTTCCAGGTCGAGAAAAACTTCATGCATCTCCATTTCATATTGTCAGGCACAAGTTTGCAGAACACAGACCTTCTGTATTAAGCTATTTGGATAGCATTCTTATATGACAAAAATTGACATCCTATGCATAGTAAATATTTCAAAGTTAAAACAATTATTGACTTTGTCAATTACAAATTGAAGATTTTACTGTAAAAATAATACATCAGTTGTAATGACAAAAATGTGTTTTTGAATTTTATATAATTATTAAGTTTATACAAATATTGTTAAAGGTACATTATGACTCATAAATCCATATATTTATACTCCCGAAATAAAGTTTGAGGGGTATATAGGAGTTACTCGGTGGTCGGTCGATCCAGCCGTCCATTGCATTTTCCTTGTCGGGAGCATAACTTGAAGACTAATGGTTGGAATTCAATACAACTTCATACAATGGTGAAGCACATTGAGAGAAAGTGCAGTGCACAAGAACCATAACTCCATCTTCACTAATTACAGAGTTATTGCCCTTTGTTACTTTTCCTTGTCCGGAGCATAACTTGAAAACTACTGGTTGGAATTCAAAACAACTTCATACAGTGGTCAAGCACAATGAGAGGAAGTGTAGTGCACAAGAGCCATAATGCCATCTTCACTAATTACAGAGTTATTGGCCTTTGTTACTTTTCCATTGCTTTCTTTTGTCCGGACTGTAACTTGAAGACTTATGGTTAGAATTCAGTATAACTTCATACAATGGTCAAGCACATTGAGAGGAAGTGCAGTGCGCAAGAACCATAACTCCATCTTCACTAATTACAGAGTTTTTGCCCTTTGTTACTTTTCCTTGTCCGGAGCATAACTTGAAAACTACTGGTTGGAATTCAAAGTACCTTCATACAATGGTCAAGCACAATAAGAGTAAGTGCAGTGTATAAGAACCATAACTCCATCTTGACTAATTACAGAGTTTTTGTCCTTTGATACTTTTTCTTGTCCGGAGCATAACTTGTAAAGTACTGGTTGGAATTCAAAACAACTTCATACAATGGTCAATCACAGAAGAGAAAGTGCAGTGCACAAGAACCATAACTCTGTCCAGAGTAATTATAGAGTTATTGCCCTTTGTTCCTTTTCCATTGCTTTTTTAGCTCACCTGTCACAAAGTGACAGGGTGAGCTTTTGTGATAGCTTTTCGTCCGGCGTCCGTCCGTCCGTAAACTTTTACTTTAAATGACATCTCCTCATAAACCATTAAGCCAATTTCATCCAAACTTTACAGGAATGATCCTTGGGTGGTCACCTTTAAAAATTGTTCAAAGAATTTAATTCCATGCAGAACTCTGGTTGCCATGGCAACCGAAAGAAAAAACTTTAAATATCTTCTTTTAAAAAACCCTAAGAGCTAGAGCTTAGATATTTGGCATGAAACATCTTCTAGTGAATGTCTACCAAGTTTGTTCAAATAAAAGCCCTTGGGTCAAAATTGGCCCCGCCCCGGGGGTCATTGATTTTCCCTATATGCATATAGTAAAAACTTAAAAAATCTTCTTTTAAAAAACCCAAATAGCTAGAGTTTAGATATTAAGCATGAAACATCTTCTAGAAGTGTCTACCAAGTTTGTTCAAATAAAAGCCCTGTGGTCAAAATTGGCCCCGCCCGGGGGGGGTCATTGATTTTCCTTATATGTGTATAGCAAAAACTTAAAAATCTTCTTTGAAAAAACCCAAATAGCTAGAGTTTAGATATTAAACATGCAACATCTTCTAGTAAGTGTCTATAAAGTTTGTCAAATAAAAGCCCTGGGGTCAAAACTGGCCCCGCCCAAGGAGTGTCATTCTTTTTAACTATATGTGTATAGTAAAAACATAAAAAATCTTCATTTAAAAAACCCAAATGAGCTAGAGTTTAGATATTAAGCATGAAACATCTTCTAGTAAGTGTCTACAAAGTTTGTTCAAATAAAAGCCCTGGGGTCAAAACTGGCCCCGCCCCAGGGGTGTCATTGTTTTCAACTATATGTGTGTAGTTACAAAACTTAAAAATCTTCTTTAAAAAAACCCAATGAGCTAGAGCTTAGATGTTTAGCATGAAATATCTTCTTATGGATGTCTACCAAGTTTGTTCAAATAAAAGCCCTTGGGTGAAAATTGGCCCTGCCAGGGGGGGGAGGGGAGATCATTGTTTTTCATTACATGTGTGAAGTAAAAACTTAACATCATGAAACATCTTCTAATGGGTGTCTTCCAAGTTTGTTAAAATAAAATCCTTGGGGTTTAAACTGGCCCAGCTCCGGGGGCCTATATACAGGTGAGCGACCTCAGGGCCATCATGGCCCTCTTGTTTCTTGTCCAGAGCATAACTTGAAAACTACTAGTTGGAATTCAATATAATTTCATACAATGGTCAAGTAAATTGAGAGAAAGTGCAGTTCACAAAAACCATAACTCTTTCTTGATTCATTTAAGAATTTTTGCCCTTTGTGATGTTTTATTGTCCAGTGCATAACTTGAAAATTAATGGTTGGAATTCAAAGAAACTTCATACAATGGTCAAGGGCAGTTAGATGAAGTTCAGTGCACAAGAACCATAACTCTATTTGGACTAATTACAGTAATTGCCCTTTGTTACTTTTTTTGTCCAGTGTATAACTTGAAAAATAGTAGTTGGAATTCAAAACAACTTCATACAATGGTCAAGTGCAATGAGAGGAAGTGCAGTGTACAATAGCCATAACTCCATCTTCAGTATTTGTAGAGATATTGCTCTTTGTTTTTTACTTGTCCGGAGCATAACATAAATACTAATGTTTAGAATTCAATGAAACTTCATTCAATGGTCAAGCGCAATGAGAGGATGTGCAGTGCTCAAGAAGCATAACTCTTTTTGGACTTAATACAGAGTAATTCAATAAAACTTCATCAATGGCCAACCACATTGAAAGGAAATGCAACATACAAGAAACACAACTATCTTTAATTGCCCACAACCATAACTCTATTTCAGTTCTTTTGCAAGGTTTTCTGTTACTAGTAACTTCCTCATTGCCGAAGCAGTCTTGCGGGGGTATTAATCACATTTAGTGATAGTTCTAGTTTTAATTGTTTAGAAATGTCAAACATATGTTTACTAATGTTTTAATGATGGATGTAGAGCATGTACATGTAAGATGTTTTACAATTGGAGAAAGTAGTGCTGAACATGCAGTCAGATATCGTAAAGGTAGCAAAATGTAAACAAAGTGGTATTTTGACTTCCATACAAAATACAAATTCACTATAATAACATCAATTGCCAACAGAGCAAAGAAAGCAGAAGATAGTTCATCTGTGTGACATATGAGTAATTACAATGTATGTATAACAAGATACCAAAAATAAAAAGTTTTTGAGAAATAAAAATGATAGCATTTCTGAGGCATAATGGGCCTTTAAAGGAAGGACTGTTCAAGAAGAATTATACTTAATAATAAGGTACCGGTAATTCTTGAATAACACATTATTTTCTGAATTCCACTATAGGATTCTGATGATAAGAAACCTAGACACAAATCAGACTCAGATGTAGCAACTGCAAACCATGAAAAAAACAAACACAGATCATCTAGTTCTGGTTCAACTCCTAAAACAACTAGCAGTTCATCATCATTAAAGTCATCATCCTCATCATCAGGTTATGAATCATCAAAGTCATCCGGTTCAGGTTCGTCAACAAAATCAAGCAAGAAAAGACCATCTACGGAAGATAGTAACCACCCTGTTTCTAAGAAACAAAAATTGAATAATGATAGTGGTTCTGGCAAGAAAAGTTCTTCAAAGGAAATTGAAGAAAAAGATGACGATAGATCATCATCATCAAAGTCGAGCAAGAAAAGAGAGTCTACTGAAGAAAATAACCACCCTGTTTCTAAGAAACAAAAATTAAACAATGATTCCAGTAAGAAAAGTTCGTCAAAAGAAATTCACGACAAAGATGATGATGGCAAACATATGAACGATGTGAAAGCCAAGTTGGAGCTCCTGAAATCTAATGCTAAAAATATAAAAACTCCAACAAAATCCTCAAGTTCCTCTTCAAATGGTGAAACATTTAAAGGTAAGTTCCTTCTTTTTTAATTCTGTACATTTTGTGACATATCTTGCTTGATCTGAAATTTATTACTTAATTTCTCTGAGCATTTGCAGTGATATAAGTGATAAAGTAGGTGGGGGATGTGTATGTGATCAGTATTGAATCAGGGCAGGCTTTCTCCTGACTGATATTCTAAAATGTTAATCAACTTTAAATCAAATGTTGAACATTGGTGCAATCTATGACAGCCCAAGTGAATCTCAGGTTTGCAATCTATGGCCATCATGGCTCTCTTGTTTATAACTTTGTTTCATAACCACAAAATGAAGACACTAAGTTACTATGTTTACTATTGTAGTGCCAGAAAGTCCATCTAAACTACTTCCATCTAACATAAAAGCTGTGCCTGTCTACAAGGGGCCTGCCCCAGAATCGCGATGGGATCAGTACGATACTCTCCATGTTTTTACAGCTAAAGGACTTGAATATAGGAAAAAGGTTTGTTTTACTTTTTCCTATAAAAAAAAAGACTAGAAGCTTCAAACGGTCAATTAAAAATTTTTGGCTCAAATATGTACATTCTAAACAGTATAAAAAAGAATCGTGGTCATACGCGAGAAAAAAGGATAAGAAAATATTTGATGTTTACAAAATTCATGAGTTGGTTTTTATGGTGATTTTAACACAATTTTTGGTCATATCTTGGCAGTCAGTCCTTCTAACCAGCTTTACTGCGTACCTCACCATTAATTATCAATATCTCAAAGTGACAAATTACTAATCCAACATGATACCTGAATCAGTGGAGACAAAAAAAATAATCATTAGATACAATCTTCTGGATCTTTAATTGTCAAAGAGAAATTTTACTTGAAGAATGGCTTTGTCCTTGATTACAAATCCTGTGCACTCTTTAAGGTAGATAAAGTAAATTCAGAAATAAAATTAAACTTAGAACATAAAGACAAAGCAGGCATTACAAACTCATTACTAACTACTTGTAAACCCGATGTTGTTTAAAATCAGTCATGCTGTTTTTATGTTTCAGGTAGCAGCATTTGATATAGACGGTACAATTATAACAACACAATCTGGTAAGGTGTTTCCAACACATCCAGGGGATTGGAGGTAAATAGAACTCTTAAATTTTTACAGCTTTTGAAACAGCAAATAATATGCATTGTTCTCTTTGGTTTAATACTTTTTTAAATGAAACTGTAATTTTGGTGCTGATTTCAAGCTCAGAATTTCTGAGCTTATTCATATTATTTAAATAAAATTTGAATGGTTTTAATGCATTTAGCCCTGAGCCCAGCTTGAACCAGAAGTGGTTGACCTTTGCCAGTAGTATAGAGCCAGACCAGTCCCCAAACAATTTTAGATGCCCCAGGTGATCTATGTAAGAAATTGGAAGTTCATGTCTTTTAGATTTTTGACCTCATTGGAGTTCTTTTAATAAATGATAATTAAAATTGATGATAGAAATTGCCAAAAATATAAGTCAAATAAGATCACTTTAGAAATTCAGCAGGACAAGGGTGATACTTCTAAACATGGCTTTAAACATTTGTAGTTAATGAAAATAATTTGTTGTGTTTTATTAAAGGCTGCTTTACTACAAGGAGATTCCCAAGAAGTTGAAGAAATTACACGAGGATGGTTATAAAGTTGTCTTCATCACAAATCAGGTAGGAGGACATTCCAGTAACAGTATCTTTACATCAATTATGTAGATTTTTTTTGCCCTGATTAACCTTTATGTTAAGGTCTATTTTCTCAGAAACTATCTGCTATATATATCTGCTATTGCTATACGCATGTTTGCTATCAAAATATGAAACCATTTCAAAGGGATTAATAATTCTAAATTTCATCCATGTAAAGAAATGCTTCTTTTACAAGGATGAGTTTGTATTTACTTTCGAAGTTTGTTTACTTCAGATGGGTGTGTCAAAGGGTAAAACAAATATGGCAGATTTGAAATCTAAGTTTTCAGATGTATTGGATGAGATTGGAATTCCAGTTCAGGTATACATAAATATATATCATATAAATTTATTAAAGGGACTCCACTGAGGTTTTTTGACATAACAGGACTGAAATAAATTATTTGCAATAAATGTTCCATTTGGTGTAGATCTAGACCAATAACTTGTGTGCAGAATTTCAACTCTTTTTCCATTCTAATTATGAAAATTAACCCAAAATTGAAATTCAAATGGTGTAAAGAGTAAAACTGAAATACGATTTTCAATTTTTAGCTCACCTGAGCATATGCTCAGGGTGAGCTATTAGGATCACTCTTCGTCCGTCGTCCGTTGTACGTTGTCCGTTCACACTTTTCAAATGACATCTCCTCTGAAACCATAAGGCAGATCTTAATGAAACTTCACAGGGATGTTCCTTGTGTGAAGCCTTAACAAAGTTGTTCAAAGAATTCCATTCCATGCAGAACTCTGGTTGCCATGGCAACCAAAAGAAAAAACTTTAAACATCTTCTTCTAGAAAACCCAAAGAGCTAGAGCTTAGATATTTGGCATGAAACATCTTCTAGTGAGTGTCTACCAAGAGTGTTCAAATAAAATCCCTGGGGTCAAAATTGGCCCCGCCCCGGGGGGTCATTGATTTTCCCTATATGCATATAGTAAAAACTTTAAAAAATCTTCTTTTAAAGAACCCAAAGAGCTAGAGCTAAGATATTTGGCATGAAACATCTTCTAATGAGTGTCTACCAAGATTGTTCAAGTAAAAGCTCTGGGATCAAAATTGGCCCCGCCCCAGGGGGTCATTGATTTTCCCTAAATGCATATAGTTAAAACTTAAAAAATCTTCTTCTAAAAAACCCAACGAGCTAGAGCTTAGATATTTGGCATGAAACATGTTCTAATGGATGTCTACCAAGTTTGTTCAAATAAAAGCCCTGGGGTCAAAATTGGCCCCGCCCCTGGGGGTCATTGATTTTCCCTATATGCATATAGTAAAAACTTAAAAAATTTTCTTTTAAAGAACCCAAAGAGCTAGAGCTAAGATATTTAGCATGAAATATCTTCTAATCAGTGTCTACCAAGTTTGTTCAAATAAAAGCCCTGGGGTCAAAATTGGCCCCGCCCTAGGGGGTCATTGATTTTCCCTATATGCATATAGTAAAAACTTAAAAAATCTTCTTCTAAAAAACCCAAAGAGCTAGAGCTTAGATATTTGGCATGAAACATGTTCTAATGGATGTCGACCAAGTTTGTTCAAATAAAAGCCCTGGGGTCAAAATTGGCCCAGCCCCAGGGGGTTATTGATTTTCCCAATATGCATATAGTAAAAACTTAAAAAATTTTCTTTTAAAGAACCCAAAGAGCTAGAGCTAAGATATTTAGCATGAAACATATTCTAATGGATATCTACCAAGTTTGTTCAAATAAAAGCCCTGGGGTCAAAATTGGCCCCGCCCCAGGGGGTAATTGATTTTCCCTATATGCATATAGTAAAAACTTAAAAAAATTGCTTTTAAAGAACCGAAAGAGCTAGAGCTAAGATATTTAGCATGAAACATCTTCTAATGGGTGTCTACTAAGTTTGTTCAAATAAAAGCCCTGGGGTCAAAATTAGCCCCGCCCCAGGGGGTCATTGATTTTCCCTATATGCATATAGTAAAAACTTTAAAAAATCTTCTTTTAAAGAACCCAAAGAGCAAGAGCTAAGATATTAAGCATGAAACATCTTCTAATGAGTGTCTACCAAGATTGTTCAAATAAAAGCCCTGGGATCAAAATTGGCCCCGCCCCAGGGGGTCATTGATTTTCCCTATATGCATATAGTAAAAACTTAAAAAATCTTCTTCTAAAAAACCCAAAGAGCTAGAGCTTAGATATTTGGCATGAAACATGTTCTAATGGATGTTTACCAAGTTTGTCCAAATAAAAGCCCTGGGGTTAAAATTGGGCCCGCCCGGGCTGACATTGATTTTCCTTATATGTGTATAGCAAAAACTAAAAAGTCTTCTTTGAAAAAACCCGAATAGCTAGAGTTTAGATATTAAGCATGAAACATTTTCTAGTAAGTGTCTAATAAGATTGTTCAAATAAAAGCCCTTGGGTCAAAACTGGCCCTGCCCCAGGTATGTCATTGTTTTTGACTATACGTGTAAAGAAAAAAACTTGACCAGCTAGACCTTAGATGTTGAGCATGAAATATCTTCTAATGGGTGTCTACCAAGTTTGTTCAAATAAAAGCCCTGGGGTTTAAACTGGCCCCGCTCCGGGGGCCTATATACAGGTGAGAGACTTCAGGGCCATCATGGCCCTCTTGTTTATGAGTATATATATAATATTCTTTTGTATATTTACTTGTGCTTTAACAGGTTTTTTATGAAAAATGAATATTAAAATTGCTTTACATTATTTTGAGTAAAGAACAATGTATTGTTTTCCAATGTTTATGATCAATTTTAGATTTTGGTGTCAACAAAAGGTGGTTTATATAGAAAACCTTGCCCTGGCATGTGGGACTTTCTTACAGATAAGGTTTGTGTACAACTATAACATACATATTTGAAGTAGAAATATATGATGAAATATTAAAATAAATGAAATAACATAAGATGTCAAAAGTCACATTTTGCATATACTGTTACAGTAATATTTTCTGTAATAAATATGCCATTTTAAAAATTAGTATGTTTCCCCTATTCTAGTGTGGGATATTTGTTTTAGAAGAACCACCAGAAACACACATGAGCCACTGACTCCAATTTACTGTTGGTACTTTAATTGATTTGATCGTAGTGTGATACAGAAATCACTCTATTCCAGTAAAAAACAACTTTTTTTTTTTGGTGCTAGGTCTAAAGTCATGTTACACAGAATCACAGTTTATTTAAAGTCTTATCAAATTTAAAATCTTATCCAAACCAAAAGATTTGGTAGTAATTTTTGTGAAAGTAGCTGGAGATCTAACCTGTCAGCCCTGTAATTGTAATCCCTCTTGTGGTAGACCTACTCTTACATTATCCTCCTGTCACACTGTCATTTTCTTTGAATGGAATAACTTACATATAATGTAGAACTCTTGTGGTAGACCTACTCTTATATTATCCTCCTGTCACACTGTCATTTTCTTTGAATGGAATAACTTACATATAATGTAGAACAACTGGTATAAAATGTAGAACAACTGGTTTAAATGTAGAACAACTATTATAAATGTGGAACAACTAGTATAAATATAGGATAACTGGTATAAATGAAGAATAACTGGTATAAAATGTAGAACAACTGGTGTAAATGTAGAACAATTGGTATAAATGTAGGAGAACTGGTATAAATGAAGAATAACTGGTATAAATGTAGAACAACTGGTGTAAATGTAGAACAACTGGTATAAATGTAGGAGAACTGGTGTAAATGAAGAACAACTGGTATAAATGTAGGAGAACTGGTATAAATGAAGAATAACTGGTATAAAATGTAGAACAACTGGTGTAAATGTAGGAGAACTGGTATAAATGTAGGAGAACTGGTATAAATGAAGAATAACTGGTATGAAATGTAGAACAACTGGTGTAAATGAAGAACAACTGGTATAAATGTAGGAGAACTGGTATGAATGAAGAATAACTGGTATAAAATGTAGAACAACTGGTGTAAATGTAGAACAACTGGTATAAATGTAGAACAACTGGTGTAAATTTAGAACAACTGCTATAATGTGTTACTGTATATGTAGAAAAACTAGTGTAAATGTAGAACAACTGGTATAAGTGTAGAACAACTGGTATAAGTGTAGAACAACTGGTATAAGTGTAGAACAACTATTATAAATGTGGAACAACTGGTATAAATGTAGAACAACTGGTGTAAATTTAGAACAACTGCTATAATGTGTTACTGTATATGTAGAAAAACTAGTGTAAATGTAGAACAACTGGTATAAGTGTAGAACAACTGGTATAAGTGTAGAACAACTGGTGTAAATGTAGAACAACTGGTGTAAATTTAGAACAACTGCTATAATGTGTTACTGTATATGTAGAAAAACTAGTGTAAATGTAGAACAACTGGTATAAGTGTAGAACAACTATTATAAATGTGGAACAACCGGTATAAATGTAGAGCAATTGGTATAAAATTGATAAGATAGTATTGCAGTAAGAAATCTTCATTAGTAAAATAAGTATTCAAGGCACCGCACATTTTAGAGAAAATAATAAAAATGTATGCATGTATAGTCATTTAATGGACAGGTCATCATGCATTAAAAGTAAAACTCAGTTGACATATGTCAGTTAAATCTGCAGGCTACTGAACTGATTGACAGGTTGCAAAATTCATGTACATGTAATATGAAAAAATTATTAAGAATTTAGACTTTTAGATAGAAATTTTAATAGCAATTTAATTGTTAAAGCCTTGATATGATAGTTTTTTTAATACAGAATTTATGTTAGTTTGATTGTGTTGGAAGCTATAAGGTTATAGAAGAACTTTCAAATTCATTCCTGGAACCAACCAGTATGGAGCAATAAGTGTAAAGTTTCTTGCTGAAGAAAACAACGACTTGCCCCTGATGGGGTTTGAACCCATGAGGATAGCATCCATTAGAATACTGGTCTGATGCATTAATCACTTGGTCATGCCCCCACTTTTTAGCTCGACTATTCGATAAGAATAAGTAGAGCTATTGTAGTCACCCGAGCGTCGGCGTCGGCGTTGGTGTCCGCGTCGGCGTAACCACTTATGTTAAAGTTTTTGTAATAGTTCAAATATTTTCAAAGTCCATTGACATATGGCTTTGAAACTTGGCACACTTGTTCACCATCATGACCCCAACCTGTAGACAGGAGGAGGTAACTGTATCAAGCATTTTGACAGAATTATGCCCCTTTTTCGACTTAGAATTTACGTTAAAGTTTTTGTAATAGTTCAAATATTTTCAAAGTCCATTGACATATGGCTTTGAAACTTGGCACACTTGTTCACCATCATGACACCAACCTGTAGACAGGAGGAGGTAACTCTATCAAGCATTTTGACAGAATTATGCCCCTTTTTCGACTTAGAATTTATTTTAAAGTTTTTGTAATAGTTCAAATATTTTCAAAGTCCATTGACAGTTGGCTTTGAAACTTTGCACACTTGTTCACCATCATGATCCCAACCTGTAGACAGGAGGAGGTAACTGTATCAAGCATTTTGACAGAATTATGCCCCTTTTTCGACTTAGAATTTACGTTAAAGTTTTTGTAATAGTTCAAATATTTTAAAAGTCCATTGACATATGGCTTTGAAACTTGGCACACTTGTTCACCATCATGACCCCAACCTGTAGACAGGAGGAGGTAACTGTATCAAGCATTTTGACAGAATTATGCCCCTTTTTCGACTTAGAATTTACGTTAAAGTTTTTGTAATAGTTCAAATATTTTCAAAGTCCATTGACATATGGCTTTGAAACTTGGCACACTTGTTCACCATCATAACCCCAACCTGTAGACAGGAGGAGGTAACTGTATCAAGCATTTTGACAGAATTATGCCCCTTTTTCGACTTAGAATTTACGTTAAAGTTTTTGTAATAGTTCAAATATTTTCAAAGTCCATTGACATATGGCTTTGAAACTTGGCACACTTGTTCACCATCATTACCCCAAACTGTAGACAGGAGGAGGTAACTGTATCAAGCATTTTGACAGAATTATGCCCCTTTTTCGACTTAGATTTACGTTAAAGTTTTTGTAATAGTTCAAATATTTTCAAAGTCCATTGACATATGGCTTTGAAACTTTGAACACTTGTTCACCATCATGACCCCAACCTGTAAACAGGAGGAGGTAACTGTATCAAGCATTTTGACAGAATTATGCCCCTTTTTCGACTTAGAATTTACGTTAAAGTTTTTGTAATAGTTCAAATATTTTCAAAGTCCATTGACATATGGCTTTGAAACTTGGCACACTTGTTCACCATCATTACCCCAACCTGTAAACAGGAGGAAGTAATTGTATCAAGCATTTTTTTTTACTATCAAGCACTAAGAATAGTCGAGCGTTGCTGTCCTACCGACAGCTCTTGTTAATATGATGGTTTGTTTATCTTTGCTCAGTTAAATGGTGGAGTAGAAGTGGAAGTGTCCCAGAGCTTCTATGTTGGAGGTAATGTAAGATGAATTCATCAAATATATCTTTATTGATGTTTTTGTTTAGATAAATTTTGCTATTACTCTGCAAGGCATTGATCAAAGCTTAGGCTTCTTTTAGAACTCAATTAAAAAAAAAAAAAAACACCTATGATACGAGGGTCCATCAAATATTGCTGGGACAACAGTATTTTTCTACTTTTTTTTGGATAACATAGATAAAACAATAGTGGACATAAATATTTGATATCTGTATAACACATGTATGAAAGCCGTCCAGTTAGCTCAATAGGTAGAGTGTTAGACTGTCAATCGGACGGCCCGAGTTTGATTCCCTGACGACGCAGGTCACTTTCGTTGTGATTGATCATGAAATCCTTTCTACAATTATTCGCACTGTACCTCTGCTCTGGCATGTACAGAAGTAATCAGTTACTTGCGAAAGTGAAGGCAACAAGTACTGGTAAACTGCTTGATAGCCTGCCCAAGAATGATGCGTAGGCTGAACTGCGCTGTTAATTCAATGTTGCTTACTGCCCTGATCCGGAGTGAATACTACCAACACCACACCAACACACATAAGATTTCACAGAAAACAAAGCAAAGGTTACAATTTTGTCAATTGAAACAAACCACTCTTCGCCACACTGATCACTAAATTTTAGAAAACTTTCATTGGTTTAATATAATGCTAAACTTTGAATATGTAGGACTGTATCACAATTTTTCTGTCCCATCTAGATGCTGCTGGCAGACCTAAAGACTGGGCTCCTAAAAAGAAAAAAGATTTCTCTTGTAGTGACAGACTGGTAAATATGTAACAGTTATCTCAATTGCTTAAATATGAAATAATAAGAGGTTATAGTGATCTCATTGCCTTAATGTGAAATAATTTTATGTTATAGGGATCTCATTTGCTTAAATATGAAATCATTTTCAGGCCTCGACACTAACTTTTTTAGCAGGTGGTTCGCCGGACCACTAGATTTGAAAGTTAGGTGGTCCTTCCAGAAGTCAGGTGGTCAGTTATCATTATTATATCATTTTACTGCAAATGTAGAAAAAAATGTTTAAACTTTATGACAAAGATGTGTTATTAACCTTTAAAGAAAACAGATATTTTTAGATATATATTTTTCATCTAATCAGAAAAGGGAGAGCAAGTCAGGTATTTTATCGTATAGTTATTTGTTTATTTGTTTTTATCTCAGTCAAAAATACACAACAGAGCTCTTTATTTATGTTAACTTTTATATTAAAGTGATTTCTCCCTCACATAAAGTTAGGGAATAGTGAAGCCATTTGTGTCTGTTATTTTCTTACTGTTATTCAAATATTCATTGCTGATACGTGGTACGTCTTATAATCATGATAATAACATATTATCTTTTATAGATTAACATTTTTAATGGAACTACATTTTTAATGGAACTACATTTTTAATGGAACTAATAAATTATCTTATTCTTGTCTTTGAAAACAAGGAAATATCTAAATTATTAAAATAATGACAACGTTATTATTTACTATAACTTATCTTATTTTTCTCACAGATTTATAATACAAAATTTTACCTCCCTGTTGCTTGTTGGCTGATATTCATTTTTGACATTGGGTATTTTTAACCTTTTGAAATAATTTATTACTCTAGAAGAAACAGATCTCTTATCGTTAAACAGTTAAAGTAAAGATAAATAGCATAGAATTACTAGATGTTTTTTTTCCAGTTCCTTTCGTTTGCTGCTGTTATTCAAGTATCTGAAATTTAAGTTTATCCAATATCATATAATTACCATCATCGGATACTCACGGTTGATTAACATGTAACATAACATAAATGTTAATGGTTCTGCCGTGGTTATCAGACGATGCATAATTACTAGCACCATTTGAATGAATTTTGTACCTAAATTTATATCGCAAATTCTTAACTCTTTTAACTTGATAATCAAAATTTTAGCGAGCGACTTAAAATGAAAGTTTTTGATGACTTAAGAACTTCTTTAACGAATCAGAGATTAATGAACCATATACATGTACATCGGACATAGATTTTAAACAAAATTATATAACATGTTTCTGACCAAATCGCCATTCTCCCAAATGAGCCTTGCATCAACCAGAAAATTCAAGTGGTCCGACGGACCAGTGGGTTTTAAAATAAGGTGGTCCTTGCCAAAATTAAGTGGTCTCGGACCAACGGACCACCGCTAATGTCGAGGCCTGATTTTATGTTAATGCAATCTCAATTGCTTAAATATGAAATAATTGTATGTCATAGTGATCTCAATTGCTTAAATATGAAATAATAATTTGTTATAGCTATCTCAGCTGCTAAATATGAAATTATTTCTTAATATTTTAAGGCATGTGTTAGACCACAGTTGTAAAAATTCTCAAATTTGTTCATGCTGCTGTGATCATGAAAGCCCTTGTCTGACAGCCACGTTCAATGAATAGCTGTATAATCATATACCTTTAAAATACAGAAAATTTGTCCTTAAATATATAATGTGCATGCAGAAGGAAATCTGTTTTACATTGTTTAATCTGCAAATGATGTATATTTAATGCATACAGTAAATGTATTTATCACATGCCTGGGCCACTTTTTCGACTCTGTAAAAACAGTATTGCACGGTTGTGTTTGTATATTTTGACATGAGGTCATTCGCGGTATACAAACATACGTGTAGTAGAAAGAGGTGCTGAATGTTAGCGTTGCACTATTAGTGCATCTGTGAAAAAGCAATTCTTTTTACTGTTAAAAGTTCTTATTTTAGATATGTGATAAATAGAATATTTTATTCGTGTTGTCCTGAGGCTTGCATAATATAATTTAATTCAACTTGTTCAATAAATTCAGTATTGAACCTGCACTCATTCTTCTATATACATGTACAAAAAACTTTTACGTCACCATCATACATGATGTGTTTGAAAAATACTTTGGTTTTATAATGAGTGTTGTATTGTTTTTGTTTTCTTTTAGTTTGCATTGAATATTGATTTAGAATTCAAGACACCTGAGGAGTATTTTGTTGGTTACCCTGCAGCTAAATACAGTATGCCAGAGTTTGATCCTGTAAGTATGATTATATGGTCATAAACTTAGTAAAGTACACTCAGTATTATTACTATAGTTAATGAGTATAGCAGTTAATTGTGGAAATTTATTTAAAGCAGCAGCTTTTCTAAAGGATAAATCTCTTATTTTTAGCTCACCTGACCACGAAGTGGTCAAGGTGAGGTATAGTGATGGGGCTGTGTCCAGCGTGCGTCGTTCGTCGTCAACAATTGGGTTGTTAACAGTCTAGCAGTCACAGTTTTGATTGGATCATCATCAAACTTTGTCAGAATGTTTGTCTCAATGAAATACAGATCGAGTTCGAAGATGGGTTATCTCGGGTCAAAAACTAGGTCACAGGAGCTAAAAATAGAAAAAGCTTGTTAACACTCTAGTGGCTGCAGTTTTGATCCAAATATTCTGGAAATTTGTCAGGAAGGTTGTTTTGATGATTTCTAGGTCAAGTTCGAAGATGGGTCATCTCCGGTCAAAAACTAGGTCACAGGAGCTAAAAATAGAAAAAGCTTGTTAACACTCTAGTGGCTGCAGTTTTCATCCAAATATTCTGGAAATTTGTCAGGAAGGTTGTTTTGATGATATCTAGGTCAAGTTCGAAGATGGGTCTTCTACGGTCAAAAACTAGTTCACAGGAGCTAAAAATAGAAAAAGCTTGTTAACACTCTAATGGCTGCAGTTTTCATCTAAATATTCTGGAAATTTGTCAGGAAAGTTGTTTTTATGATTTCTAGGTCAAGTTCGAAGATGGGTCATCCCTGGTCAAAAACTAGGTCACAGGAGCTAAAAATAGAAAAAACTTGTTAACACTCTAGAGGCTGCAGTTTTCATCCAAATATTCTGGAAATTTGTCAAGAAGGTTGTTTTGATGATATCTAAGTCAAGTTTGAAGATTGGTCATCTTAGGTCAAAAACTAGGTCACAGGAGCTAAAAATAGAAAAGCTTGTTAACACATTAGGGGCTGCAGTATTGATTCAAATATTCTGGAAATTTGTCAGGAAGGTTGTTTTGATGATTTCTGGGTCAAGTTTGAAGATGGGTCATCTCAGGTCAAAAACTAAGTCACAGGAGCTAAAAAATAGAAAAAGCTTGTTTACACTCTAGTGGCTGCAGTTTTGATTCAAATATTCTGGAAATTTGTCAGGAAGGTTGTTTTGATGATTTCTGGGTCAAGTGCTAAGATTGGTCATGTCCGTTCAAAAACTAGGTCACAGGAGCTAAAAATAGAAAAATCTTTTAAACACTCTTGTGGCTGCAGTTTTGATCCAAATTTCCTGGAAATTGGTCAGGAAGGTTGTTTTGATGATTTCTAGGTCAAGTTTGAATATGGGTCGTGTCCGGTCAAAAATTAGGTCACATTGCCCAAATACGGAAAAATCTTTATAACACACTAGAGGTCACATGTTTGACTCAGTTGTCATCAAACTTGGCCATGATGCTTGTTTAAGACATTGCTTGGATGCGGTTGTGTCAGGTGAGCGATCCAGGGCCATCATGGCCCTCTTGTTATATAAATCGTTTCATGTAATTGTCAAATCAAAAGAATTAAGGTGGAAAATGAAATGTACTGACGATAAAATACATAAAGAATAAGGAAACCACTCGATACCTGTAATCTACCTTACCACTCTCTATATTTGAATCAGTAAAACGAATAATTGGGTTCCACTATCTTGTATTTTTAGAAAGGAATGTCACTTAAGCGTTATAAATAGCTCTTAAATAGCAATACAACCTTGAAGCAACTTGGCAACTAATTTGGTGTTTGAAATTACATGTATTTTTAGAACCGGTCCATGTACTAGACTGATTTAAGCTTTAACTAACAAATCTACCTGTAAAGATTTCAAAATCTTTTAAAAATAGATATGATGATTATGTTTTCTACTGCCTTACTTTCAGAGAAAGTTAAGTCCTAAAACACAACTATTAGATCCAGCAGATGCTAGGCTGACTTCAGGCAGTCAGGAGGTACTTGGATTTGTTTATATCTTGCCGTGTTTTCCAAAAGTATTCTGTTTAAACTTGAATATGTTGAAACTGATAAGCTGGATGAATGGTAAAAGTTGATGACTTCTAACCACTTTCCCCTTACGGCTATGGGTTTGAATCTCGAAATTGACTATGGATTATTTTTCATGAGGAAGCTATCGAGTAAGCTTAAGGATCGTCAATGATTCTACTTAGGTGCTGATTAGTGCCTAAAATAATGCACAGAAGGGAACCTGAGGTTTTCCTCCACCAGTAAAGCTGGAAAGTCACCATAAGACCTAAACTGTGTTGGTGTGACATAAAACGAAACCAAAAACATATAACAAGTACAATTGTATCAATATAACTCTATTTTAACTTCTTGACCGAATACAATGTAGTTCTAAATCTGCAGGTTAATAGGTGGTTGTATTAACACTGTATACACAAAATATTCAAATATTCATATGGTTGAGATAAATGTGCGATGCTATGTACTGTATTAGATAACCATTGGTAATGCCTGGGATCATTATTCAAGTGCAATTTACACACTTAGAGATATTTTTTCTGTGATCATACAAGACAAATTAGTCTATGGCTATCTTGTCTGTTGCAAAAAAATAAAAATCTGGAAAAAAAAATGATCACTTGTTAACATTTATTACAAAAATTGCAGACTTGGTTTGAGTCTGTACATGAGGGATTTTGTAAGTGAACTGTGCAAGTTTCAGTTAGATAACAATGAACACTTATGCATAATTTTGAAGTAGTTAATTGCTTGTCAGTAAAATATGAAATACAAATTACTCCTTTATTTCAGGTTATATTGCTCGCAGGGTTTCCTGCATGTAAGTAAATTTGAAAACATTTAACATTGATTGTTTGCTTCTTTTTTTTTTATAAACATTTAAAAAACTATGTATTTAAATCATAAACATGTATCCTTTGTTTCCTTTAGTGAATTTTGTTTTGTCTTCATTATAAATTTTAGTTAAATGTTGTTTTACATTTTAGTTAGATCTAATTAAAACTAATATTTTATAATTGATTTTAACATTTGATAGATAGACAATAAATGTAACGAAACTGAAGTGCAATCTGTGCGGCCAAAATGTAGCCACAAAAAATTATAAATTGCCATTTCCTGAATATTTGATGAATTAAATGTCAAATTTTTTCTTGTTCCAGCTGGGAAATCTTTCTTTGCCAAGAAGTATCTTGAACCTAAAGGCTATGTTGTTGTAAACAGGGTATGTATTTTCATTTTGTTAAGTCATGTTAATGGTTCAAAATTAAGTATAATTTGTTCATTTAAATCGTACACGTCCTGGCACTGAATAATAGGAGTACTGTACTGTAATGTGTTGATTTGATGATACTTTAAATATTTGGTTTATACAGAATTTATTTTAGTTTGATTGTAATGGAAGCTTAAAGCTTATAGACACACTATCAAATCAGTTCCTGAAACCAACCAGTACTGAGCAATGAGTGCAAAGTTTCTTGCTAAAAGAAACAACGGCTTGCGTCTGACAGGGTTTGAACCCGGACGGATAGTAATCCTTAGATTACTGGTCCGACGCATTAACCACTCGGCCATGCTGCCACTATTTTTTAACCCGCAGAATTTCTAAAATGGACTTGTCCAGCTTCCATTCTGGGAGCTGCCCATTATCAGTTTTGGGGATATTAAAATGAAAAGAACAGATAGTCAGCCAACTGAATAGAGCTTGGTAAGACAGAATGGGTGTGTAGGCTGGCCTGGCTCTACACTAGTTGCAAAAGCTAATCACTTTCAGGACCAGCAGCGTATGGTTGAATCCGGAACAAATAAAGAATAGATATAATTATTTAAACAAGTAATCTAAATTCTTGCTGAATCATCTCTCTGTGTTTCAGGACACCTTAAAAACTTGGCAGAAATGTTTAGCTCTATGTAAAGATAGTTTGAAGAAAGGTTCAAGTGTGGTAGTTGATAACACCAATGCTGACGTGGAATCTAGGGCAAGGTATAAGTTTATTTCTGTATAGATATTTTAAAGTGAATTGGTCTACAATGGAAACATTTTCCATAAGTATTTCAAATGTTCATAAAAACAACAGAAATATTTCATTTGGATATTCTTATATACAACTGCTTGGAAAGAAAAATGTTGATAATGTTCTGAGTGATATTATACAACAATTTATTATGATTATTTTTTCTAAAATATTGTATCACTTCACAATATGAACAACATAATACTTGGACATGCATGGATCCATCATTTCATGGCTTGTAGTATTCTGATCTTAGATCATATCGCATGTTCTTATTATCTATATACTACCTCATGTAAGCCCAATTACTATAAAAATGGATCCTGATATATAATTATTGTAGTCGAAGTGTCGATATTGTCACCAAATCCATTACGTTGTTTTTCCATGACTATATATAGTGTCTTGTGAAGAGAAGCATAATGTCTGCAAATGTTTAAGATCAGAAGTTTTAAAACATATTTATTTAAGCTCGATTGCGAAAAAAGTTCTAGTTACTTATATTAATCACTTTCGAGTCTGCTTTGTGGACCAACCAGTACTGGTGTCATATGAAGAAACATGGTCGTGACCTAATTGGGCTAGAACCCATGATCCCTAGGTTGAGAGGCAGACACATTAACCTTTAGGCCACCACTCCCCTTGTCAGAGGTTTTAATCCTTGGCATGACATATTGATAAGTTAAGATGTGATTAATTTTTTTCCATAAAGTTGCTAAATGAATGAATGGACTTTTAAACATTACCAATATTATGAAACCTTGATAGTTGTAATTTTAAGTTTTTAGATAAATAATGAGATTTTAAAGATATTTTGCTCAAATTTCTAACAGAAAAAAAAGTATGCAATAACACAATGTAAATATTGTAACCGAAAAATTCGAGTATGTGTCTTAAAATGTGGGTCGTAACATAACACACCTAACATGGCAACAACAACACGACACCTGACATTTAGAGTACATATCTTACAGGTATTTACAAGCTGCAGCAACAAGTGGGGTACCATGTAGATGTTTTATTTTCACCACCACTTTTGAACATGCGAAACACAATGAACGGGTAAGTCATTATATATGACGTTTTTTTGTTTAATTTATTTAAGGGATGCTTTAAACACCCACTGTGGCATATGGAAGCTGAATTAACAAGCATACAAATATATTAAAAGACTTAGTTGAATTCATAAATGTATTAAATAATTCTATAAAATATATATGAAATAATGGCTCACTGATGTCCACTTATTAGCTTTCGCCAGTTTCTAGCAGATTTAAATAATAGGTAATAGATTTATTCACAAATGACTAACCCTAATTGCTAGATTCCTAGTTGGGGGATATCAAGATGTACTGTATAAGTGGTTAAGTTAGCGATGTGGAAATATTGGCAAATTTTCAGAATTGACAAAAATCGTTAAAATTTCCTGAAGCGTAAATATCAACCAACCTGTCATTAAATTCTACCCTGACATGATTGCTATAGTAATATTTTAACTCAACCAAAACGTCTGGAATTTTAAATTCGCTAACTTTTCAACAAGCCCAAATATCCACTTATACAATATACTCTTCATAGAAATTGAAATTTTTTGCCAGTACATGTTTTTAGAATAGAGTTTATTATATTTATTCATGAATAAAATGCACTACACCAACCTGCTGATGGCAAAATCTGCTTTATTTCTCATATAATTATACCAGTCTTTATTGTATTTCAGTTTCGGGAGATAATTGACAAGTCACATGCTGCTATTAATGATATGATAATGAATACATTTAGGTAAATTTTTTATTTTTACTTTATTATATATACTTGCTATGTCAAATAATAAGTTGGAAATACCAGTTCCGCTTTTGCGACTCAGTAAAAATGGTATTGCACAGCTGTGTATAAATTTTGACATGACGACATTTAGGTTATACAAACATAGTATAAAGACACGCTAAATGTTAGTGCTACTCTATAGGCGTGTCAATGAAAAATGATTATTTTTCTCTTTAAACAGTCTTTATTTTGGTTATGTTATAAATAGAATAATATGATCGTGTAGGCTCATTACTGAATTTATTGAACCCAATAATATTATGTGAGCTTCTGGTGAGCATAATATAATTTTATTCAACAAGTTCAATAAATTCAGTATTGAACTTACAATATTCAATATCCTCTATTTATAAAATGTGTTACTCTTATAAGTGGCCTCCGTGACTGAATTGATAAGATTATTGACATTAAATAAATGAGTGTTCTTGAAGTGACACTTGATTCTTCATGTGCTGTTCCTCTTCTGCAATACTTCAGGAAGTTAGGGGTCCAACTGGTGTGCCCATACCTGCAACAGTGCAAAGAATTTATATCATTCATTAGAGAATCTATAAGATAACATTTGAACTGTTAAGGGGTTTGAACCTTAGTTAACAATTTTCAATTTGAATCAGTCTAGCTATTTATGTATATGCCACAGGATGAGAAAAATGTGCAGACAGACTGGGACTCGAACGTCAGACACTCAGATAACCATTTCGGGGCTGTACCAACTGTTCTATCCGGCCACTTACACATCTTCCCCCCCCCAAATAGTGAACAGTTCTGAACTGTGGCATTCTCACCTGCTATATTGAAATTCGACTTCAAATTTCTCAGAGTTAGAGAGCAATATAAATTAAACTTTGAGCTATATATGATTGAATATTGATTGGAAAAGATCTTGACATCAAACAAAATTATATTTTTTATTTACTAGGAAGAAGTATGTCATACCAGAAAAGAAGGAAGGATTTTCAGAAGTTGTTAAAGTGAACTTTGTCCCCAAATTTAAAGACTCTAAGTTGGAGAGACTTTATAGATGCTTTCTATTGGAAAAATAATATATATGCTTAAGCAAAATGCACTGGAAAATGAAATAGTAATGTTACTTTATGATGAAGAAGAAATATAAACTGTTACTTCATGATGACTAAGAAATATTAACAGCTACTTCATGATGAGGAAGAAATATAAACTGTTACCTCGCGATGAAAGAGGAAATACCAATTGTGACTTAATGATGAAGAATAAATATAAACTGTTACTTCATGATAAAGAAGAAATATCAACTGTCACTTCATAATAAAGAAGAAATATCAACTGTTACTTTATGATAGAGAAATATAATCTGTTATTTCATAATGAAAAAGGAGATATTAACTGTTACTTCATGATTAAAGAAGAAATATCAACTGTTACTCCGTGATAGAAGAGATGGTTGAATACATTATTGTGTGTCAATCTGCTTGTTATGTCCATGGGTTGCTGTTACAGTAAACTTTCATTATGTCGGGCATTGTAGCTTGTAGTGTATTGACTAAAAACTAACAGAAGAATGTGGTTCAATTGTTAAATTTAACACTGCTCACTTCGGGCTTTTAAATTTTCTTGTAATTTAAGTCCTACCTGTGTTCATTGAATGCCACCTTTCCTTGTTGATCTTGTTTGTCGTATTTTACCAGTATTAAGTTTGGTTAGCTTTTACTATGGTAAACTGCCTAGTGTCTAAAGTCCATATAGAAAGTAATATATGTGTACAGTTTCGAGTGGTTAAGGTCATTGACTTCAAACCACTTGCCCCTCACTGCTGTGGGTTCGAATCCCGACAGGGACTTTAGATTCTTTCATGTGAGGAAGCTATCCAGCTAGCTCATGGACGTCGGTGGTTCTACTCAGATGCCCGTTCGTGCCTGAAACAATGCACGGAAGGGCACCTGAGGTCTTCCTCCACCAGTAAAGCTGGAACGTCGCGACCTATACTGTGTCAATGTGACGTAAAACACCCCCCCAAAAAAAAGTTCAAAGCAGGTGAAACTCATTATACAAGATTAGGGGTGTAAGGATTAAAGTTGTACTATGTTAATGTTAAGTACATGTTACCTTTATTTTGTTTTCTTTATTTGGTTCTGAATGCTATAAACTTAAGAATTTGAAATTATATGCATGTGAACATTTATTGATTGTTTTTCTGATGATTTCTTTTAGAATTTTCTGAAGGTATTAAAAACGTAACCAGTGTTCATTTAAATAATAAATACCATTGTTAGAATTATTGTATGATATACAGAAAAAAACAGAACATGAAAAAAATTAGAAAATAAGAAAGAAAATGAAATTTCGAAAAACAGAATTGAACTTTGATGTTTGGAAGTACATGTATGCAAGAAAAAAGTATAAGAAAATAAAAATTTGGTAAATGTTAAACAAGAAACAAATATGGTGTATGGTAATAAAAAGTAATAAAGGAAATGAATATAATATAAGAAAGAAAGAAGCATATTAAAGGATGGGAAAAAAATGACAATGGAAAAGAGATAATAAAGGAAGAGTTGTGTATAAGTATCATCCAAATAAGATTTTGTTTATGTTATAAATGAATTTTACTTTTAAGTTGATTGTAAGTGTTCTTCAGTTGTTGAATTATATGTATAAAAATTCATCATTACAAAATATATATTCACGGTTCTGTTATCATTTATTGACCTACCATATGACTGTATTGGTTGAAGGATTTTTAAATCTGAAAATAAAAACTATGAAAAATGTTTTATTGTCACTTTCTTTCACTTCATCCCCAATTTTTTGTACCTGTCATTAGCATAACCAGTCTAAGCTTCAATTAAAGCCATAGCATTATGTACAGAGTAAAAATTAAATTGTGATTTTTATTTACGTGCAGTGTTATATAAGCCGTCAAATTTGTGCACACATTAAAACTGTCTCGGAGAATGTCCAGCCATAACAAACCTTTGGGGGATATTAACTAGTTGTCACCTCTCCTTAGTTTGACTATACAAAGTAAACCGAGATCTGTCCTACTTGCACCATCATCAGCACCCTTGTCTATACTTCTGAATTTTTTTAGCAGTAAAATATTCTTTACTATATTTTTTATAGTTATAACTGGATTTAATTTATGTATGTTGAGGTTCATAACTCCTATTTTTTCCTGTAAAATTTTATAACAATAATTTATTGGTTCTAAAGAGATTTACTTCAAATATTATGATCCTATCACCACACTTACAATTTATGATAAGGTTTATAACTAGCATCCAGAGCCCCGTAATTGTGGCAGAGGGGTTGCCTTTAAAGGTTCAGGCCACAGTTGAACCCTGTGAGCTAATAAGAGGCGACAAAATGGATATGAATAACTGGAGTCTATGCATTGTTAGCTCTAGCAGGTGAGATGGTTTGATTCCTGGTGTTTCTTTAAGTTTGTAACACCTGAGGTTAGCCAAAATTCTTCCTCTGTTTCAGCGCCATATGATATAAACTGTATGTGTTGGTGTGCCGTAAAACCAAACAGAAACAAATATTTCTATAATTATCTTTCCTTTTAACTTAGATATTTACTTGAAAAAATGATTAAAGGATTTACTTCAAATATATGATCTTAATCATAACCTACAGTATATATGATACATGTAGTCCAACTAATTAGACTTGTCAAAGAGACACCGAGATAATTTTGGACGGGCGCTGGCTATGATTCATGATAAGGTTCATAACTCTACTAATTCTAATGTCTATGGATCTGTCATATATCATTTCTCTACGCATGGCACTACATTGATTTATAAAAGAGTTGCTCCTTTAGTTTTCAACGTACGCCTATCATGAATTTTATTTCATTTTTAAATATATCTTCCTATGATTATCTAATATTGACACGATTGTATTCTGAATCATTGTGGTGCTTATATTTCTTTACTGTCATTTTTTGTAGTTGGGTTGCATTAAATGTAAACAAACTTCCGTAACTGTCATATGATAATTTGTTAGAGGTATAATTCATTTTCTAAGGTTCAATTGTTTAAAATAACAAATTTTTCATCTTGATAAAATATAGCTTAGACGATTTATTTATAATCGGTAAACGATCGACAAGGATTTTTGATTATTTGTTCATATAAAAGTAAAGAGATTTGTGGGTGGGGTAATTTCTTCTAGGATTTTTTTGCCTTTTTTATGATATAAATACTACGCTAAATACTAGGCTTTTCATTGATAATGAGCACTAAAGAATATGGAAGGAACTAAGAATAGATAAGTTGTGAGTAATTTTCAGTTGACATCAACAGATATAAGTGTTAAACATGACGGAAACTATGTGTCTCCCCTTAACCATAGTCAAAATATATTGACGTGCCAAAGCTTGATTCTGAGATATTTTCGTTCTGGGGCAGAATCTCGCTTTAACGAGAGGCGAGATATTGCCCAGACACGAAAATAGCACAATATCTCGTCGCGCAGTACAATAAGTTGGACTACCCTTAACCACAGGGGTCCGACACACTTGAATGTGTTAATATTTTTTTTAATACATAGATTTCTAGTGTAATTATCTTACACAAGCAAATTGAAAAAAATAATTGCACTATGTATGAACGCACCATAGTGTTTCAGACCCCTGTGCCTTTAACTTGTTAACTTTTGTCAAACAGAAAGTTGAATCTGATTGCAAAATTGACGGAGAATATTTAAAAAGAACAACAATGAAAGTTTTATATTTTGCTAATATTAAAATAACATCATGACATATTTGCTGTTGTGCGGTAGGTATGTGTAGGTAGCTTAATTAAATTGCTGATGCCTTGGACAATTATTACGGTTGAGTTGATTTCATTTATATTTGGCAATGACATACACACAAGTCCTAAATTAGCTTAAACTATTATATTAAAACTGATTTAGTTTCAGGTTTGATCATATTCTGGTTTTGGTGGTCCCCAACCAGTATCTATTCACTGTACTTAAATGTACGGATTCAAGAGTGTATCAATAAGCTTAAAACTTCCAACGCCAACAAACTAAAAATTAATTGGTATAAACTAATGTACTTGAAAGATAAACTGTCATTAACTGTTACTTCTCATTTCAATATATTAATTATTATTGTCCACTGGTTCTATATATTACCAGGGCAAATTAACAATAACATTATTACAATATCCATGTATAATTATATACATTGTATATATGGGTAAATGTTGTTTCAGAATAAAGGGATCAAGTTATATGTGAGAGTTGAATAGTTGCTATGGCGTTATCAAAGGGAGGTCACCAAGGTTATGGTGCAGTGAGAGAATACAGAGATGATCCAAACTACGGTGAATATAGAGATAATAATGGTATATCTTTTAATTTTACACTAATTTATTGATAATACCACACATTTGTAATGTCGCTTTTCATTGGATAATCATTACATTTATATAGTTTAACTTTTATATAAACAGCTGCTGTCAATTTATGAAGAAATCTCATTTTTTTTACTCTAAAAAAGGAAATGTGCTATATTATGAATTTGATATAAAGATTCCTGAGAGGTTATATGGTTATAAATGTTTCTTTGCAATATATCCCGGACTGCTGCAAACATCTGTTTATTTATGTCGGGCCATATAACCTGTCAAAATGTTAATTTTTTTAACCTCAACTTTTAACTACATGTAGTTTTAGAAACTATCCTAATAAATTCATAGACTGGACACCTAGTTTTGAAAATTGCCTTTGTCACAAAAAAGGATATGGAATAGAAGTTGAATATACATGTAGTTATACTAAACAAGAAGTAATGAGAATAGGATTTGTCTGCAGTCAAATAAAACCTTATTTATTCTGAATTTTCACTTTATTTACTTACAGGAGTTTCATTTGATGAGCAGTTTTCACAAATAACTAGAAATATATCAAATATCAATAATGGAGGTATGTAACAAACTTTTAAAAAAACGTTGTACATGGTAGTGTGTGAAATAATGATTAATATCAACTTTACATGAAGTTAATAGTATTATTTATCAATTTGTTTAAATTTACTGCCATAGTATTCTATTGTCAGATTAATTCTTCCACACTATTTGAATTTATTAATTTATTATTAAGTAGATTTTTATAGAACAGAACCATGTACATGTATGTAATGTTTATATCAACCAATTTTTGTTGTTGAGGCATATAACTCACTGATACAAAAATAGATGCAATGAATTTAATTAAAATTGCCAATTATTCTAACAACTAGGTCTTGGCTGCCAATGAAACTGACTCATCATTATTCTGATTGGCAGAAATTGCCAATTACTATTATCATCATTAATGATTTCACCATATGTTATTGGACTTGTCACATTATTGGACTTGTCACACCAGACATGTCACATTTTTAGACTTGTCATCCTGGACTTGTAACATCATTGGACTTGTCACTTCATTGGACTTGTCACTTCATTGGACTTGTCACATCATTGGTCTTGTCACATCATTGGACTTGTCACATCATTGGACTTGTCACACCATTGAACTTGTCACATCATTGGACTTGTCACTTCATTGGATTTGTCACATCATTGGACTTGTCACATCATTGAACTTGTCACATAATTGAACTTGTCACATAATTTGACTTGTCACATCAGTGAATGCTTTAATTTATTTTAAAGTATCATGTGAATTCAGATATTGCCAAGGCTTCAGCAAAAATTAAGTAGAATTTGGTGTTAAAATGGACAGTGTCTGTTAGTTCTCAAATCCAATACTAATTATAATCAAATTCAAGAAAACTTTATTATAAACCAGATATTTATGATTTCCAGCTAATTTGATAGAAAAAGCTGCCAAGGTGATTGGGACAGACAGAGATAATGGGCAGGCTGGTGATAAAATGTAGGTACAACAATGTATAATAATAAAATGGTGAAAATGAATACTTCTTCCTGCTGCAGATATCTTATTTAAGTACATTATATCATATTACATCGCTACTTCTTTTACATAATGTGCGCTGCACTCAATAGTTGTTATTTGATGAATTTCACAAATGGGTTAGGGATTTTTTTCTATGTAACTTAAGTTTGAATGCAATGTATTGTATTTCACATTTCAGTTGCTGTGCATGTTTATCAGGACATGATACAATGATCGATATGACTGGAAGTTTAAATCACAGTTTTGATACAAAACAGACATCTGATAGGGATGTCTTTTTGTATAAATTTTAACCACAACAAATATTTTCATGTTTCCCCAAACTTTTTTTGATGGAGCAATTCACCGTTTTTTACTCACTCTTTTATCCTTTGTACATTTGTTATTAACTATTAAGTGGTGTCGAGGCCGAGTAGTCAATCGTCGAACTAATAATCTAAGGATTGCTGGTCGCATGAGGGACAAGCTGTTGTTTCCTTGAGCAATAAACTTTACATTCATTACTTAATACTGGTTGGTTCCAGGAACGGATTAGAGAGTGTTTCAATAAGCTTCCAACGCAACCAAATTAAAATACAATTGTATGAACCAACTATTGATAAAATATAAGATATTTGGTGTGTTGATGCCTTACATGGGTTCTCTACCTTCAGATTCTATATAAGGTGTATTAAATTTAAGATTATTTAGACTAATAATAGATATTCTTTCAATTTTTCATAGTAAAGCCATATTTTTATTACAGATGAGTAGATATGATTGGAGATACATGACATTGCATTGTCAATGAACCATAAGTTTCTTATGCATAATTTTGGAGTTATTCATATTGCCCTGTGTTATTCCGTGTACTGAATTTAATCCAGAGAATACCTTTAAGTCGATATGCTGTATGAATATGAAACCTAAATGAGCAGCACACAGGGGTTATCTTATCAAGGAAAGTGGCACTTCTAGTTAATTTTGTCAAATTGACATAGGGAGGCATACATCTGTGTTTTATACCTATTTATTAACATTCTGATTATCTTTTTACAGCCATCATGTTTCACAAGATACTACAAAAATTGTAACTGCCACAACCAGATTACTGAAACAACTTGGTAAAAGACGATTAGACAGGGTAAAATATACAACTCTTCCATATTATTTAAAGCCCCTAAAGTTATCCTTAATAGTTCTCTTAAAAATAAGTATTTCATTCAGTGAAAAAAAGTGTGATACATATCAAAATGCATATTTTTTGCCTAAATTTAATATGCTTCAATGATGAGTCATAGAATTTGGGTAAATAAAATAAAGATTTGAAATATCTGAAGTAAGTTTTAAAAACTTGGTTTTCTGTTGGGTTTTTTTCTACTATTTTATTAAGTAGTGATTGTCATAGAAAAAAAGAAATATTTGAGCCGTGTCACGACAAAACTAACATAATGCGTTTGCCACCAGCATGGATTCAGACCAGCCTGCGCATCCGGGCAGTCTGATCAGGATCCATGCTGTTCGCTATCGGTTTCTCTACTTGTTATAGAGCTTGTAAGCGAACAGCATGGATCCTGATCAGACTGCGCGGATGCGCAGGCTGGTCTGGATCCATGCTGGTCGCAAACCCATTATGTTGGTTTTGTCATGACACGGCTCATATATCATTATTGTGTACATAGAACAACACAACAGTAGAGCCTGGTCAGTCTGGATAAGTGCAGGCTGGCCTGGCTCTATACTCGTGGCAAAGACTAATTACTTTCGAGCCTACCAGGTGATGCGTTAATTTTCATGAATGCTTACTTCCTTTGTGTTTCAGTCCCAAAAGTTACAAATTGATAAAGTGACTCATGATTTTCAAGAAAGTTTACAAAGATTCCAGTCATTACAAAAGGTAAGGTATTAAAAGCTACATTTTAAACTTTATTTACTAAGTCTAGAAACCTTATATTTTAGAACTTTTTATAAAGTCCTGAAACTCTACCATAATAAATTAGTATGAATCTGGAGGCATATTGCTTAAAGCATATGTTGCAGAGCAGTTTATCCTGAAAATAGCAGCATTTTAAACTTTATTTACTTTTATAGAGTCCTGAAACACTACCATAAGAAAATTAGCATGGATCTGGAGGCATGCTGCTTTCAATAAGCATATGTTACATAGCAATTGACTCTCAAAATAGCAGCATTTTAAACTCTATTTTATTACTTTAGAAACCTTAAATTGTAGGACTGTTTATAAAGTTCTGAAACACTACCATGTGGAAACAAGCATGAATCTGGAGGCATGCTGCTATATAGCAATTGAATCTCAAAATAGCAGCCAAGGGAGGTAATGCAACTTACATGAATTTATACATAAACAATTATTTTATTTTTACAGAAAGCTACAGAGAAAGCAAGGGATTCCAGTAGGAAAGAAATGCAGAAACCAAAGAAGTCAGATTGGCTGGTATATACTTTATTTAAAATTTTAAATTGATATTATGCCAATCCAAGTGTAAATAATTTGTATACAGATCAAAGTCAAAATAACTTCAGATTTTGTCATAATTGTTTTCAATTTTATAGTCTAGTCCATGTACATAATAACCCACCTGCCTCATACAAAGTTCTATTAATAACCTTCGAAATGTTTTGTTATTTTCGTATAACGCTGTTCGATTTTCGCACCCTACTGTTGCGAAGATATAGAAATTAAGTCAAATTTAGGTCAAGTTAAGAAAGTTGGCTTAAAAATCTGTGGCTCTACTTGTGTATATATATTGGAGTCATGGAAATTAATGCAAAAAAAGAATTTGCATATTCCTTGAACGTTTTCTATACCAGGGAAAGTCATAATTTAACCATAACTTCAATTCAATTTACTTCTAATATAGTCTCTGAAAAAGATGTTAGCAATGAACCATTTTTTTTGATATGATTGATAAAATTTTCATGTAGCTTTCATTACTTAAGAAAATACATCGGCCTGGAGAAGTGTATTGGCTATTTAACACCGGTTTTGGGAGTTTTTGATGCGTTAAGGAATTGACCACGAAGGCCGTAGGCCTGATGTGGTTAATTTTGTCGCATCAAAAACGATAAAACCGGTGTTAAATAGCGATATACACCTCTCAGGCCGATGTTATTTCGATCTAACATTATAAAATAAATGAAAAATCACTAATGTTATTTTTCAAGTGGAAATAACTTCCGGTGCCGATTTTCGTATAACGCTGTTCGATTTTCGCACCCTACTGTTGCAAAGATATAGAAATTATCAAACAAAAGAAATAATAATAAAAAAACGTTATTTTATCAAGTTTCAACAATAAAAACTTACGTCGTATTTTGTTTACATCAGGGCCCCATTTATCATTCTTGTACGTATGAAATAACGTCAGCTTGTTTATGAATGAGTTGTTTACTTACGATGACGTCATTACGCTGTTTACGGATTGGCGCCGTTTTGTCAAAATATTTATTAACTGATATGGATCTAATATGTGGCGTTAGTGTATGTGAGATATTATTTCGGTATTGTATGAAAAGAAAACATTATACGAACTGAAAATATAAATAAAAATGATTTTTATTGTTGCTTTAAAATGCTTTGTAAACTATACAATCGAGGGTGAAAACATAACAGCGCATATACAAGTAGTCCCTAACCGGTGTTTATTGGCAGTTTAACACCAGTTTTTTTCCTTCTTTGTCTATAGTGACAAAATCACGTGAGTGTTAGAATAAATATTTTGAACTCATTGAATAAAAATACAATGCTTGCCAGAGATTCCCATATTATAATATTATTCAACATGTTTAATAATATACAATTATTGACTAATGAGCCATTGAATATGATGTGATATTCACCGGCAGATGACATATTGACTGAGGCAGCCGGGGTCAATATGACTTTCTGCCGGTGAATATCACATTATATTTAATGGCTCACTAGTCAATAATTGTTTTATTGGGGAGGCTATGCCGACCCAATGTTAATAACTGTCTGTCAAATCTTACTGCCGCGGTAATCAGGTCAAAAAATAGTACCTTGATTTTTTCTAAGCTGACTCATCACTCATCACAGACATTTACAATATGAAAATATTTTCATTCTTTAATTTCATATCTGCAATTTGTAAAGATAATAATTCTCTGAAAAATTCTTGATTTTTGTTTAAATCACTACTCCGTGACGTCATACTGCCACGGTAATCAGGTCAAAAAATAGTACCTTGATTTTTTCTAAGCTGACTCATCACTCATCACAGACATTTACAATATGAAAATATTTTCATTCTTTAATTTCATATCTGCAATTTGTAAAGATAATAATTCTCTGAAAAATTCTTGATTTTTGTTTAAATCACTACTCCGTGACGTCATACTGCCGCGGTAATCAGGTTTAGGCATATTACGTACGTCTGTATTAAATAGTTCTGGTATGAAAACCCTTCAAAATAATAACTTTATCCATATTTTTTTAACAAAAAGCATAAATGAAAATTTATAAGTAAATGCTTTTATTCAGTGGCAAATATTCTTTATTATTTTTGATAACAATTTTCCAATTACTACGCAGCGACCAACTGTTTATGACGGGTCATTAACTAGAACGTTGCAACTACGTATTCTCAATATCATGCATGTGCTTTTGTTGTTATAAACTATTAATAGTCCTTAATATTTTTTTAAAGACAAATAATTGTAAACTGTCGCTTACATCAGAGACATGGATCATGCTTGCGTGATAACTAAGGAAAACTAACTTATTTGTACACCCCAGGAGGCTGTACGCGGAAAACGCTCATAAACCGCTAAATCATATAGCTGTTTAGTAAATATTTTGCATACATTTAACTAAAAATTCACTGATGGTGATGAACATATAGTTTAAAAACATTTTATTCTTTAACCATTATCGCCGAAAAAAAACTATTTAACTACAAAACCCCTAAGGACCTCCGAAAAAATCCCAGCACAATATTACATTTTACATTAGCAAAATAAAAAAAGCAATACTTATATTTTCATCTTACATAATTCATTAATCAAACTTTTAACATAAAAGTATCTTTGGTAATTGACAGATCCCTACTCTGATCTTCAATTTGTATAGGAATAAATTTAAACATGTGCTCTTTTGTTTAGGAATATTTTGTAGTGAAAGTCTTATATATTCACTAATCTCATAATTAGAATTAGACAGGTCAGGAATTTATACAAACAGTTGTTTAGTTAACTATGCTCATTTTAATTCCAATAGAAACATTCAAATATTTGTGGTAAAAAACATGACCAAAGTACCTAGTAGTCGTTTACCCGGTGGTGATCCCATTAAACTGATTATAGATTCGAATTGATTAGAAAACACAAATAGAAACATGTGTTTCCGTACAACAAAATCGGAAGTAAAGTGAACAGTTAATTGACAGAAATATGTGGTCAAATATGTTTTAACAAGGAAATAAGTATTTCAGAGAAAGACGCAAAGATCAGTATGACCCCGTATTGTGTAATTAGAAAGTTTATTCAATTCTAGGGCATACATCATAATTTGATAGTCCATTTGTAATAAAATTCAAATTTTCAATACAGATTATGAGATACATAAAAAATATTAAAGAATAAGAAGCTTTAATTAAAAAACAAAAACAAAAAAACAAAAACAAAAAAAAAACCGCATACATATACAAATTACTTACAGTCGAGCATCGGGAAGTCATTAACATATCTTACGAAACTTTAATTTGAAACCGATATTTGCTCGCGCTGAAGTGATAAATGTTTATTTGAAAAATAAAAAAAAAGAACTTTTATGGTTGTGTTCTAAAAATAATGGGCGGCATAAGAGGAATTTCTTATTCATTTTACAACACTTGAAAAATGACTACAGAAAATGTGATGTTGTTTTGTTTTCAACAAAAGTGTGTGTGTTTTAAGTTTATTTATACTCGGCGCCGGAATAACCATATGTCCGAGATTATAGCATCTGGGACGTCTTTTTCAAGCAGATTCTTCCTGGAATCCCATTCTTCGTTCTTTGGTGGTAAAGGAGACGACAATACCGTCAAGGCATCAACTTTCTGACTGACGACAACAAAAACGGCATCTATTAGCGCCAAACCTCCAGAGTAAGTCACGACAGGTCAACCAATCACCTCTGGTACTTATGATGACTTGACTATGACCTTCCGTGTGCCTTCTCCGCGACGTGCACGCCTCTGGAGGTATTTGGAGAAGTTTCAACAAAAACTTCCAAAACACGCCATTTACAACACCATTCATAGCACTGACGGCTTCGATGTTCTCATCTATTTGCGGGAAATGGTCGACAGGGAAAACCCTACGTAATAACCGCACACCCTGTTAACAACAGATTTTCCGCAGTATATATTTCAAGCTAGTGAGGTTTAAAAATACACGTAGAATCTATCGATTAACTACCATAAGTTGGTTGAGTGTTGAGTGTTGGCGCGGTAAAAAAAGAAGATATAACTTCCTGATCAATTTTCACTTAGGTTGATTCAGTTTTGAATAAGCTTTGCAGAGATGTATTTTTTCAAGAAATATTTAGCTTTAATATTATCCGACGCCGTCAGTAATGAAATGGGATTAATTTTCTGAAACGTGATTTTATTCGAGATTTGCTTCTGAAGAAGACAACCTTCTGTCCGTAGAGCATGAATGTTAATACTCATCACAAGACAGTATCTTATTGATCTCAATTATGGTACATCTAAACGTGTATAATTTTTATGTTCAATAAAAATGTTGCATCACTGCAGTTGTTATTATCATTCAATAATATTAAAATGACATAAAATATTTATGATGAACAGTCCTAGAATATTTTGATAAGGAACCGTCAGTTGTAAAATGTTATTGTTATCTGATAATGAACAGTCGTCATACTTGCTGGTATGTCATTTATTATTGACAGTTTAGGTTTTTCAAAATTTGCATGATGAACAGTCCGAATGTAGACCTTAATTAAATGTTCTGGAATATTAACAAAATGAATAGTCAACCTCATTAACCATATATATGAATGGTTGAACACAACAGTAAGGATAAATAGCGCAATGTGCATATCTTTTTTATTTTGGTAGCATATTTTAAGCAAAAAGAAAAGAAACTATAAGTCTGAAACATTCTCTCATAGCCTCCCCATCAGTACATTCAGTGCTTTGATTATATGAATAGGCTAAGAAATAATAAAAAAAATCACAAAAAGTAAAACCTTATATACATGTATAAATTTTGCCTTGTGAAGGGCAGGAAAAAAGATGCACGTGTTAGGCGTGCAACGACTAGGCGAACGCAGCGCATATAAAAAATAATTCAAGTTTACACTCATCATTGTGGTGTAGCCTTTAAGTATAATAGTAGTTATGATATTTTAATCGAGAAATATGCCATAAAGAACAAAAAGCAACAATTATTTTTTTATTAACACGCGTAAGTAACAGTCTAAGGTGTATGGTCATTGAATATGCGTCTCAATCTATTTTTAGACTGGGAAAATCCAATTCAGCCAGTTAATATGACACTACACCCAGTGAATATGATTTTATAAAAAGTCCTGTTGACTACTGTTTGGACCAATGAGATTGCAGCTATATTTAGATCATATAAAAAAATTCATTATCATTTAATATCCTCTATATATTGTATATAATGATGTGGAGATATAAAGGTATAAGATGATTTCAGGATGATGATGAACCATTGATAGAAGATGACAGCAGACGGCAACAGCTGATGGCTCAAGAACAAGTTATAGATGATGATCTAGCTTTAATACAAGATAGAGAAGAGCAAATCAGAGCTTTAGAGGTGAGATAATGATAATTCTGTAGAATTGTGATATTGATATTGCTGTAGATATGACTAATAATATGTGTCATATGTTGCGGTTTGGATTGAAATATCCGTCTCGAGGGACCCACCCATTGGACGGTTATAAGGCTTGCCGAGGTACAACCATTGGGTTAGTTCCCGCGGGAAGAATATTCCAGTACATATGTCAAGATATTTTTTCTTGCATATTCTACCATATTCCATCATATTTTAAATTCTTTACCTTGATAAAACAATTTTCCATGGAAATAGCCGTAGATATTTTCTTACAACAGCATATGAAATTATAACATTCATAATGATGAAATTACTTCATTCTAAGCATGCCATTGTATAGCACAGGACTCAACTAGCACCCCCATGCCAAATGAAATTTCAGGCATGGGTAAAACTAACTGAAACACCAGTCTGATATGCAAGAAATATTGATATTGCTTTAGAGATGTGATTTTGAAATAGTTTCAGAAGTGAAATAGTTGTATAGCTTTAAAGTTTAGATATTGAAAAAGCTTTAGAGGTTAGATATTGACATTTACTATCAAATCAGAGCATTAGAGGTGGGACGTGAGATATTGATAATTGCTGTCAATTCAGAGCTTTATTAGTTATTGAGATATTGAATTTTTAATCTCAAATGTCGTTACAACTTGTATTCATCACACTGGTAGTAGTTGGTCAAGGAAACTTACTCACAAGTTGCTCTGACATAACAAGCTGAGATAAATATTTATTACTTTGAGTTATAGAAAAAATTCAGCAAACTTTTCAATTCTGACTGATGCATTGATCTCATTCAGTGGTCTTTGTATCTCGTACCTATAACAGAGTTAGTCTATTTATTTAGTATAATCTATACAGAAATTAAGCAATTTGTTCAAAGGATTGAAGGGTCTGAACTTTACAGGATAAATCAGTGTCAAAAAACCATTTATCAGAAAGGGTCACTTTAGGAGTTCTTTCCCTTTATCTGTAAAAATATTTTGCATGCCTTACTATAGGAGACCATGCTTGATATTAGTTCACCAGATTCTATTCTATTCATTTTGTGTGTTTGAAATGCTTGTTTAACAATATGCTTTGAAAATGTTATGATTTTAATCCTTGACAAGGAATGTATTTTTAAATGATATATAAAGTTACAGAGTGATATATTAGATGATATATTTTAAAATGTTATAGGGTTATATATTAGATGATATATTTCACACTGTTATAGGGTGATATATTAGATGATATATTTTATAATGATAAAGAGTGATATATTAGATGATATATAATGTTACATGGTGATATATTAGATGATATATAAAGTTACAGAGTGATATATTCGATGATCTATTATATAATGTTTTAGGGTTATATATTTAATGATATATTTTATAATTGTATAGGGTGATATACTAGATGATATATTTGATTATGTTACATGGTGATAATCATATATTAGATGATATATAATGTTACAAGGTGATATATTAGATGATAAATAATGTAACCAGGGTGATATATTAGATGATATATAATGTTACATGGTGATATATTAAATGATATATAATGTAACAGGGTGATATATTAGATGATATATTATGTTACAGGGTGATATATTAGATGATATATAATGTTACAGGGTGATATATTTTATAATGTTACAGGGTGATATATTAGATGTAAATGAGATATTCCGGGACCTTGGTGCAATGGTATACGAGCAGGGTGAACAGATAGATACTATAGAAGCCAATGTTGAAAAGGCTTATACAGATGTAGAACAAGGCACAGGACAGCTACAGAAAGCTGCAACATATCAGGTGAGTCACACATTGTTATATGAAATATCTAGCTAGCTACCGAACATCGGTGGTTCTACTCAGGTGCCTGTTTGTGCCTGAAATTTTGCATCGAGGGATACCTGAGGTCTTCCTCCACTGCTAAAACTGAAATGCCACCATATGATTATATGACTTATACAGTGTTGGTTTGTTAGAACCCAACAAACAATCTACAGTAAGGAAGTATTCCTTGTTTATTAAACTACAATAGTGTATTTGAGTGCAATTTATCAATAATTAAAGTGGATTGGTCTACAATGGGCATAATGTTCATATTTCTTTCAAATATTGATAAGAATCAATAAAAAAATGTATCATTTGGCTATTCTAACAAAATATTTCTTGGAAAAAATTTGTTCATAGAGTTCTATGTGGTTTAATATTAACATTTATATGATGAAAAATAATATTTTGTTCAAGAACAATTATCTGCTATATGTAGATATGTAATGTCTGATCACTGTCTCACACCTACCATAAACATCATGAGACATTTGTATAATTATTTGAGCCGTGTCATGACAAAACCAACATAATGGGTTTGCGACCAGCACGGATCCAGACCAGCCTGCGCCTCCGTGCAGTCTGATCAGGATCCATGCTGTTCGCTTACAAACCCTATAACAAATAGAGAAACTGATAGCGAACAGCATGGATCCAGATCAGACTGCGCGGATGCGCAGGCTGGTCTGGATCCATGCTGGTCGCAAACCCATTATGTTGGTTTTGTCATGACAAGGCTCATTATGTGGTTCTTTATCATGTACTTTAAATATCCAAATTTTTAGGTCCTGAATCATGACTTTTTATAAAAAAAATTTGTTATTGTTAGCAAAGTAGCATATGCCAGATCAATGCATAAACTACACACTAAACTAAGCAATTAGAGATCTGTCACTTTTTCTATTCAACTGTAATCAGATCTATTCTAAAAAAAACCCAACAGCTGATCAAACTTGAGACCCTTAGATTAGAAGTCAGACAATGTTACGGTAACTTAACTTTGGACAACCGCGGCCCCGCTCACCTGTGGTCAGTATAGTACACCCCGCGGGTACCGCGTCCTTGCCTATTCCGATGTAATAGGAAATTTGTTTCTTTACACATTGAATGCTACCAAATACTGTTTCCACCATTATAGTGAAAGTGGAAGTGCTGCTTTTTGTGAATTTGGATAGAAATTGTTAGAAATTTTTTCATTTCAAATAAATTCTGTCATTGATAGGAAAATCCAAAGCTGCCTGTGTGTGCTGAAAAAACTTCTTTATTTTACCCCATATTTAACGGTTAAACTTATAATTTCATATTCCGACACGTGAAGGTCGTCTGCTGAAACTGTAGTGACAGCATATTCTGTTACAAAAAATTATACTGAAGCCAAAAAGGGCCATCAATTAACATACCACGGTACCATAGTGCTCTCCGTATAAGCTCCCATTCTAAACATGGCTGATCGCGCATAGATGTTTCTAATTGAAATCATTGAGTTATTCTATGAATGACTTGTGTACTTTAAAGTCAAGATGCGACAGCTAAACACAATTCAATAAAGTAGTTAATATAAGTTCTTTTTATTTGTACAATTTGCTGGAAATAATAAGAACAGTGGTACCATAGGGGACCATCCTATATGAAATTATTATGTCTCCCCCACCTCGGGGGGAGACATATTGTTTTTGCCCTGTCCGTCCGTCCGTTCGTCAGTCCGTCCGTCCGTCAGTCCGTCCGTCCGTCAGTCCGTCCGTCCGTCCATTCTTCGTTTCCGGACGATAACTAGAGTTCCTTTTGACCTACAGCCCTCAAACTTCATAGGATGATTGGTCTTATAGAGCTGATGATCCCTATTGTTTTTGGGGTCAGTAGGTCAAAGGTCAAGGTCACAGTGACCGTTGGTCAATTTCTCGTTTCCGGATGATAACTAGAGTTCCTTTTGACCTACAGCCCTCAAACTTCATAGGATGATTGGTCTTATAGAGCTGATGATCCCTATTGTTTTTGGGGTCAGTAGGTCAAAGGTCAAGGTCACACTGACCGTTGGTCAATTTCTCGTTTCCGGATGATAACTAGAGTTCCTTTAGACCTACAGACCTCAAACTTCATAGGATGATTGGTCTTATTGAGCAGATGATCCCTATAGTTTTTGGGGTCAGTAGTTCAAAGGTCAAGGTCACAGTGACCGTTGGTCAATTTCTCGTTTCCGGATGATAACTAGAGTTCCTTTTGACCTACAGCCCTCAAACTTCATAGGATGATTGGTCTTATAGAGCTGATGATCCCTATTGTTTTTGGGGTCAGTAGGTCAAAGGTCAAGGTCACACTGACCGTTGGTCAATTTCTCGTTTCCGGATGATAACTAGAGTTCCTTTAGACCTACAGACCTCAAACTTCATAGGATGATTGGTCTTATTGAGCAGATGATCCCTATTGTTTTTGGGGTCAGTAGTTCAAAGGTCAAGGTCACAGTGACCGTTGGTCAATTTCTCGTTTCCGGATGATAACTAGAGTTCCTTTTGACCTACAGCCCTCAAACTTCATAGGATGATTGGTCTTATAGAGCAGATGATCCCTATTGTTTTTGGGGTCAGTAGGTCAAAGGTCAAGGTCACAGTGACCGTTGGTCAATTTCTCATTTCCGGATGATAACTAGAGTTCCTTTTGACCTACAACCCTCAAACTTCATAGGATGATTGGTCTTATTAATCAAATGATCCCTATTGTTTTAATGGTCAGTAGGTCAAAGGTCAAGGTCACAGCGACCGTTGGTTAATATTGAATACCTGGTTAAAAACAAACAGTTTAGGAAGCATCTTCTCATACAACCTTAACAATAGAAACCATCCATAGACAGCCTTCATTGAAGTGACTACCGGGTATTTACATTATCTTATCTCCATTTCCATTCCTGTTTCCATTCACAGTTATTCTCAGCAGTGGGGGAGACATGCGCTTTTTTACAAAAGCATCCTCTAGTTATTTTAGAGGTCAGTTAGCCTTACGTCATTTTTAATGCATTCTCACTTTTAAGAATGTAAAAAAATAATATGTTTTGTATTTATTTTTCAGAAAAAGGCGAGGAAAAAGTTATGCTGTTTAGTTTTAATTTTTGTGATAATTGCTGCGGTAATAGCCATAATAATAGCTGTTTCTGTGAAAAAATAGACTGAACATTAGACTGGTTTATCATCATCTGGAAAAAATAGACTGTGACATAAATATTAGACTGGTTCATTTTCATCTGGAAAAAAGTAGGCTGTGACATGAATATTAGACTGGCTGACTTTCATCTGGAAAAAAAATAGACTGTGACATGGCCAAATTTTCATTGGTAATTCTCTCCTAAGGCTAGCGTCAGACTGGAAATATATAAATTATGAGTATAAAAGAACAACAAGAGTTGTGCACTTCAACACCTGACGGGTTTTAGAATGTTTTAATTCTGTTGTCTAGTTTGGATCAATTTCAATTCAATTTCAATATTTTATTGAGCATATGAACATATTTAAATGTTCTTTACCCACATATATAACATGCAAGGCGGTGACATTTATTACAATGAGAAGAGCATGATTATGTTATTACAATGAACTATATAAATAACTAAAGAACAATGTTCACATGAATATATATAACCAGTGACAGCAGTAATATTGAAATAGAAAGTATAGAATAAAATTTATCATATCAAAACAAATAATTTATACAAAGTTGAAACACAAGTAAAAAAAATACAAACATTTGTAAAAGAACAATATTCAGTACCAGTACAACTTGGCCCATCTGATCACTGGTGCATGCAAAGTAAATAATACTATCTGGGGCGGTCATTGTTTTGACTTGACACAATTGATATCATCAGGATATATACAAGTACAAACATTTGAACTTGGAAATGAAAGTAAAGATGCTTTTCACATACAGTTGAATGATTGCAATTTTCGCCTCCCCTGGCCACCATTTTGAGGGTCAATCCCAAGATGTTGTATACTTAAGATGTGATAAAAATCTCTCATAACTCTATCATCTCCATAAAACCTGATAAAAATATTTTACATATTGGTGCTATAATAATATTTTCCTTCATATGTATAAAAGAATTTGACAATTCTTCAAAATCAGCTGTTTATATTGATGTTTTTATATTTAGTTAATTATATTATATAGGATATTGACCCAAAAATGGCCGCCACTTTAGCAAGGGAGGTAAACATTGTAAAAATCAGAAACAACGTCAACCTGTAAACAAAAGATAATAGATACTTTGAAATAAACACATTCATAGATACTGGAGCTTGAAAATGGAAAATGTAGATATTAAAGCTTGGAAATTGAAATATGAATAAGTGAAATTTGGAAAAAAAACATGATATTTTGAAATATTAAAAAGGACTCCAATGAGGTTTTTTGTCATGAAGGGACTGAAAATATCTTTAGGAGAGTTCTGTATCGTATGATGTAGGCCTGGAATTATAACTTTTGTGCAAAATTTTCTGATCATCCCCAAACTTTGTTTTTCAAAAATAATAAATTTTCTGTACAAATTGACACAAAAATGAAAACATTTAAATACTTTTAAAAAAATCAGGCTAAGCATCACTCTTAAAGTATTGAGTATATTTCTATACTATCTTTTGCATATCAGTCAGTTTTAAGTGCTACAGTTGATTTATGTAAGAATGTCAAATTTTTTGTTTTTTGGCTTTTGGACCTCATTGTAGCTCTTATAATAAAGAATGTAATACTCATTGGTCTTTAGATCGGCATTCGATTAGAATAGATAAGTGTATTTTTAAATGAATGCTTACAAAATGCTTGACCCTAGTTTCATAATTGATAACTTTGTGCATCTGTTTTTCAATGAGCAAAGATGAAGATAAAGACAAACATTATATTCTCCTCACCTTAGTGCAGTAACGGGTTAAGTCCTTCTAAATTGAATAGGATTTAACCAGTTATTGCACTTAGGTGACGTTCTGCATCATTCATTTAAAACATATGTTCATTTATAATGATTAAATGAATCCTTTACAAAATCACAGTATCCATGTTGATTTATTTGGTGTCAAAATTCTTGATATTTTTTTGATTTTGTGCTTCAGTAAAAATGCCATATTATGTTACTTTACTTTAGTAAAAATGCCATATTATGTTATTTTACTTTAGTAAAAATGCCATATAATGTTATTTTACTTTAGTAAAAATGCCATATTATGTTATTTTACTTTAGTGAAAATGCCATATTATGTTATTTTACTTTAGTAAAAATGCCATATAATGTTATTTTACTTTAGTAAAAATGCCATATTGTGTTACTTTACTTTAGTGAAAATGCCATATTTTGTTATTTTACTTTAGTAAAAATGCCATATAATGTTATTTTACTTTAGTAAAAATGCCATTTTTTTCATTGATACCTCGGTCTCATGAGAAGCTTAAAACTTACATTTTGTCAAACAGGGTTTAGGATCCAGTCTATGAGATGTATCATGTGATCCATGCTGTGTGTCATGTGATCCATGAGATAATGTCATGTGATCTATGAGGTATGTCATGTGGTTGATGATCTGTGTTATGTTATCTGTGAGCTGTGTTATGTGATTTGTGAGTTATGTCATGTGATCTTTGAGCTTTGTCAAGTGATCAAAGAACTGTATCATGTGATCAATGAACTGTGTCATGTGATTGGTCAATTTCTGTCATCTTATTGACTGGTTTGCACCTAGTTTTATATAGATCTATGTTGATAGAGTTTCTACAGGGAAGAAAAGTTCAAGAATTTTATATCGAGGGTTGACTGCAAAACTGCAAAAACTTTCATGAAATAAAGATAGACTTGCAACAGTCTTGTGGTCACCCTTCGATATACATATTTGTACAATAGCGCCAAACAATAATTTTCATTTGCTTTTAAATGTCACAGATTGAATGTCAAGATATTAAAATTATGTTTGTTGTGATTTTTCCTACAAATGATTACTAAGAAGAATGAGAAAAATGTTTATGTCAAAATGACAACACAGTACAGTCAATGTCTATTTTACTCAGTGCAATTGAGAATACTGACTAATACATATAATTTATATAAATAAAAAATGAAAATGAAACCTTGATCAATGCTTTAGGAATATGAAATCGTAAATAGTTAAAAGTGATGCAGACCTAGGTATATAAATCATATTGCTAATTTGCTGACATGAAGTAGTTGATATAATAATTGAACATTGTTAATATGTTTTAATGTTAAAAAAATAATTCTGTACAAAGATAAATGTGATATACATGTATGTAAGAAATTGTAGAATATGAAAATTTTTAACCAGATTTTCAGCATTTCTGTTAATTAATGTAATGTTCGGCTTTTATTATATTTAAAAGGTGTTTATTTTGGCATTCAATACAAGAATGACAGTTAAATAGTAAACAGACAAGCTTTTTATTTCAGTTATCTTTTGCACCATTTATTTCACATTTCCTTAATCAAGATTTACTACAAATTGAGATTAGAAAATAATACATGTTATTAACATAGTTGCATTCTTTAACCAAAGTTTGACCATGATTTGTTAACATTGGGTTTACTGCTTGGATTATTTATAGCCAAAAAATGCACCATGCATATGCATTCCATTATTTTGTTACAAAGTATATATTTAGATTAACAACCTGTCTGATACATTTTATTTCTAACTGCCTGAATGAATGAGCCATTTCAGATTATTTACTTCAGTTTAAACCTAACTAACAATCATTCGTTCTCTGTGAATGGCACCTGAGGTTATTAACAGCTAGCTACAATGGTTACTTAGATGGTGGGTTTTTTTTCTACTTCTAGAATGAGGCACCTTGGGGACTTCTTTTTTGAGTTTGACTTCAATCTATCTGGTCTATCTTGCTATATTCACTTAATCTTTTTAAATTGAAATGATCTCATCTTTCATTGCATCTTTTTTTTGCAACTTTTTAACATAAGATAGGCGTGGGTAAAAGTTCAGCTTATTAATCTATTTAGGTTATGTACATTGGTGAATGTGGTTCAACTCATCCAACTGTTTAGATAATGTACATTAATTATGTGGTTCAGCCCATTCACCTGTCACAGTAATGTACATTAATTATGTGGTTCAGCCCATCCATGTGTTTAGGTAATGTACATTAATATATGTGGTGCCACCCATACGTCTGTTAAGGTAATGTACATTTCATGTATGTGGTTGAGCACATCCTCCTGTTTAGGTAATGTACATTTCATATATGTGGTTCAACACATACATCTGTTATGGTAATGTACATTCATGCATGTGGTTAAGTCATAACATTTGTTTAAGATAATGTACATTTATCTAAGTGGTTTCATCCATTGATCAGTTTAGGTAATGTACATTTTATTTATGTGATTCGACACATCTTTCTGATTAGGTGATGTGAATTAATATATGTGGTTCAGTCCATTAATCTATTTAGGTAGTGTATGTTCATGCTTGTGTTTCAACTAATTGTTATATACATATAATGTATGTGCAAGAAATATTTAACAGTTGTCTCCCTTTGACACTCCTTACCTGTATGTTGTACAACAATCATGCAATGTGTTAATGGTTTAATTGATGTAAAACACAAAAACATCTGTCTATCCCAACATGATTTTCATCTGTTTAATGTAATTATAAAATTTGTAAAATCCACATTAGAGAACTTTATTGTGTATATTATTTATATTTTATATGTTATGTCTTTGATTTATAGAATATTTTCATTTTATTTGTAAATAAACAAATTATGAATTATTAGAGCTTGTGTCAGTTTCATATTTTATTCATCATCATAGTTTGAGAAGCCTCTGTGGCTGAGTGTTGCTGACTTGTGACCATTTGGTTTGAATCCTGTCAATGGTTTTCAATATTTTCATAAGCTAGGTTTAGTTATCCCCCGCCGATAGATCGGGGGATATTGTTTTGGCGTTGTCCGTCCGTAAGTCCGAATTTCGTTTCCGGACTAGTTCTCTGCTACTACTGGCTGGAATTCAACGAAACTTTATGGGAATCATCAGTATCAAGAGATGCGCATATCCTCGGCTTGTTCCGGTCTGACACTTTAACTCAGAGTTTTGGCCCTTGATTAGTTATGCAGTATGCATATAGAGTAAAAATCGTTTCCGCGCTCACTTCTCTGCAACTACTGGCTGGAATTCAACAAAACTTTATGGGAACCTTCAATACCAAGAGGAGATGCGCATATCGTCGCCTTGTTCCGGTCGGACACTTTAACTCAGAGTTATGGCTCTTGATTAGTTATGCAGTATGCATATAGAGCAAAAATCATTTCCGCGCTACTTCTCTGCAACAACTGGCTGGAATTCAACAAAACTTAATGGGAACCTTCAATACCAAGAGAAGATGAGCATATCATTGCCTTGTTTGGGTCAGACACTTTAACTCAGAGTTATGGCCCTTGATAAGTTATGCAGTAAACAACCAGAGCAATAATTGTTTCCGTGCTACTTCTCTGTAACTACTGGCTGGAATTCAAAGAAACTTTATGGGATACAAAGAGGAGATGTGCATATAGTCGCCTTGTTCCGGTCAGACACTATAACTCAGATTTATGGCCCTTGATTAGTTATGCAGTATGCATATATCTCATTGGCATTTCCAGATTTTACTATTTAACACAGAGATATGACTCTGTTATTGCCCTGAATATTTATCAAGTTCAAAGAATATTACTGTTTATGCAATGATAAATATATAAGTAAAGCCTTTTGTCTTCAGTTGTTGTGTTAGTAATAACCAGTACTCGGCGGGGGCAAAATAACACTTGGTTTGTTTAACATGCAACATCAACCTACGCACATGCAACATCAACCTACGCTGACTAATCAGTGTTGCGGACGATATCTCAAGACAAAAGTCGGTTAAACATAGTTGCAGAGGACGTCACCAAGCATGCGCTTGTTAAACACAGTTTCGGGCAATATCACCAAACAAACTGTATCACCCTCCACAAACCGGCTCAACAGAGTTATAGGTGTTATCAACGGACAGACCCGATGCAGTTTTTAGACAATATCACCCAACAGAAGAATCACTTGCAAAAATAATGCATGTATATACGAAATTGTCTTGTAATTGGTCAACATATGATATCTTTTCCTCACGAAAGTTGCAAAATAACATTTTCTTGTATATATTAAAAAGATGATAATATTATAATAATGGTTTTATTTTTAAGGTAGCACATGAAGATATACAATAATATACATAGAAATGGCACACGTAGTCTTACGGGCTAGCTGTTAATGCGCTTTTAATATACTATGTGCTATAGAGTCTTTTTTATTAACAATAACAACCACGGATTTATATTACAAATATATATATAAATATAATATATTGTAATATAAATCCGTGTAACAACAAACATGTAAACTATAACATTTGATTGCCTAAATTGTCTAACTTCAGGAACGTCTCCTAGACAAATTTAAAGAGCATAGTTGGTAAGGTTTATATAAAGACGAACTTTCATGCGAACACGGTACATGTATATATATTCTTTATAAGAAGTTTTTTTGTCTCGTAGTTGCGGTACATTCATAATTGTAGACCTGTGAATTCACGAAATACGTGCAACTTCACCATTGTTGATCAATATTTCCAGCCGTTTTCTTCTCTCATCGTCTCCAGTTTGTTTATATCTTTACCAAACGAAAGTTGACCACGACGTAACGCGTTCACGTCAACTTCAAGCTCTCCCGCCTCTATACCAAACACCGTCTTTTTTCTTTTATCTTCACCTTTCTTCCACATTTTCTTAGCATAACAACCACTAACTGCACCGTGCAACACCGCAATGATTGACGCCATCGAAGAAAGCAAGAGTGCCCAACTTGGGTCGCCGTCACTCGTCTCTGGTGCCTGAGAAGGTCTTAAGCCTGCCTTTTTCTTGTAAAATATTAAAACTGCCATTATAATGATGCCGCCTAAAATAAGCAAAACAAATAATCAACGTGTGTATAACAGGTCATAGCAATTAATCAAAATAAATCAAATCTGTTAATCTTAAAGGGACTCCACTGAGGTTCAAAAGCCTAGAAAAATAAAATTTAAATTTCTATCATAGAACAGCTGGGACAAAACAGAAAGATATGCAAAAGATAATATACTCGGAAATCAATGAAAAAAAAACGTATTTTTGTGATGCTTTACCCCGATTTAGGTGGAGTGTTGCAACACTCTTCAATTTTACGTCTTTTTTCACAATTAAAATAATTATTCTGAGAGAGTGGTGAGAAATTTTGCACACAAGTTATCGGTAAAGACCTACATATAATACAACATTTATATCGAAAAAATATTTCCAGTCACGTTACATCAAAATACCCTCAGTAGAGTCCCTTTAAAATTTAAATTTATATCTAGTCGCTATCTTTATATAGAAAGCAATTTACCCTTCAGCAAATCACGTTTCATAGCTTAATTAATTTAAAAGATACAAGAAGATGAATTAAACAATATCAAATTGAACACAATAGGTTTTATGTCAATAATTAAACATCTGTTAAACCATTTCCCCTTCGCTCATGCTCAAGGCCTAAGTTTATCATGCATGTCTATATATTACACATTGATATAAAAATATTTCAAGATTTTCACATTATTCTTGAAATAAATATCTAGTTTCTACATAAAACGAACATATGTGAAAGAGCAATGATTGCTAATGTAATCAGTTTTACAGTTTTGTTTTTTTTTACGTTTTTTCTTCGTTTTTTTTTTCTTTTGTTTCTTTTTTTTCTTTTTTTTTTAATGGCTATAGAAACAATGGGACATTCTTCTATTCATTAAATTTCTCTTTTGTGGCTAGAAAAACGAGCTTCCATGGCTAGAACAATAGAGCTGGACCATTTATTAGCCCCTATTATAGTCAGCCATAAATTAGGATTCCGTTTAATGAAACGTTATGTATATGTTTGAAATGTATGTAATACAGGTCTACTCTTAAGGAAAATATTTATGTTAGGCTTAACTCGCCTAAACTGATATCATTTCATATCCCTTATTTGATACATAATTTACCAAATTTCATTTGTCCAAAATTTTGCATGGCAAGTAATCGAGTTAGTATGTATTTTACAAAAGAAAAAAGAATTGTGGTCCCTTTGTCAAACATTTTAATTAATGGTTACCTGCACCCGTGCTTAACAGAACTCCAAGTTTCCTGAACACCAGCCCATGTTTCTCGTGCACAATGTAACAATACGTCAGTATAACAACAGCAAGAAGTAGAACGTCTGCTAGTATTATCAAAACTGCTGGGCCTATCAGCCAAGCTAGTTAAATAAATAAATTAATTAATGAAAGAATGAAAGAATGAATGAATGAATGAATGAATGAATGAATGAATGAATGAATGAATGAATGAATGAATGAATGAATGAATGAATGAATGAATGAAAAATAAATAAATAGATAAATAATAAAAAGACATTCAATCATTTGGTTCGTCTTCATCTAATGTTTGTTAATACTGAATTTATTTGTAGTTCGATAGTGTTGGAAGATGAAAATTTAATATACAAATGTATAGGCGTATAAAATGTGAAATATGGAAATAAATATGTTTAAACTAAGGTGTAAGCTTAAGAACACTCTCGAATTTGTTCCGGGAACCAATCATTACTGAGCAATTAATATTTAGTTGAACTTGCTGAAGGAATAAGGGCTTGCCAACCATTGCGATTAGGGTTCGTTTAATAGAAAGTCCTTATAGTCTCAGACTGAAACTGAGAATTTTGTTCCTAGCATTTAAGCCGCGTCATGACAAAACCGACATAATGGGTTTGCGACCAGCATGGATCCAGACCAGCCTGCGCATCCGCGTAGTCTGATCAGGATCCATGCTATACGCTTACAACTCCGTAACAAGTAGAGAAACTGATAGCGAACAGCATGGATCCTGATCAGACTGCGTGGAAGCGCAGGCTGGCCTGGATCTATGCTGGTCGCAAACACATTACGTTGGTTTTGTCGTGACGCGGCTCTTATGTTTCTGAATAGCGATGCAGATGAACATTTAAACATTGCGGATTGAAGTGCGTGTCTTTGTATTTTGTAACTTTTCTCGGGAGAATGAATTAAATAAAAGTCTAAAGTTTTACTAAAAAATGAAAATATTTGTTGGAGTGGTCTAAGTTAGTCCTAGGACTTCAGATACACTAAAAACTTTCTATGAGACACAGCCCAGCAATCCTTACATGTAATGTTATCAAACTTGTTGTCATTTTAAAATTTAAAATATTCAAAAATTTTAGATTCTAGTATTTCGTAAACAAAATAGTGAAATGGGAAAACTTTAAAGATCATTAAATACGGTTTTTGTAAAACCGTACTTTGCAATTGTTGTCGTTGTTGTCTTTTTACGATACATAATTTTATTTATGATAATATGAACAGTTTACCTCTATCTTCGTGCATCCTCGATGACGTAGTTATGCACGTGTCATTTCGACAGTCCACAATAACCCAAATACCATAATAGAATGTCAGCGTTATAGTTTGTCCAGCTCTCTCGTGCACGACCCACCAGTACGGGAACGCTGTCCCAAGCACGTGGAGAACGAACGCCACTAATCCAGTGAAAAACAATGCTGCGTCAAATAACCTAGGCTTCTTGAAGTCAAACATAGCTGCTAACTTTAAAATCAAATAATATTTTACATTTCACTAAAATTTGATTATTATGGATAATTTAGTACGAAAACACTCGCGTATACGTATGTATTGATCGAAAAAAAAAACACACAACACAGTTTTTAACGATCGTTTGGGGTAAAAAAAAATGAATAACAAAATTCTAGTTAATAACCTTTTTTCCTACTCTAATACGAGTATATGAACAACGTCTCCTTCTTTATAGAACTGTCGATCAGTTTAAGTGATTAGTACCAATTTCACTTTAAAACACAAAGATTTAAGGTAATTTATTGCTACAGTAAATTAAGTAAATGATGCTCCACTGCGACCCTATGGTCATAATTTCATCACCTGTACCTTTAATCTATGATAGGTGCAAACACAACTTCTGATAAGAATAAACATAAGTATGTTTTTGTCATTCGTTAAATTTATAACTTGTCACCACAAATCAAAAAATAAATCCAGTTAGATTATATACATTTCGTTTTTTTTGTCCATTCTTCTAATGTTCAGTGACTATTTCTGCAAACATTCCATCACCTTTAGTAGAATATATATATGTATGTTTTTCTTATTTATTTTTTATTGTTATTATTATTTTCTCACTTCACATGATTTATAATTTTAATTTTAACAAAACGATTTCAATGAAAATTCTCATCTCATATATGTAAGATCTAGTCGTAGATTTACATTTCCTAGTTCATATATAGAGATGCCCTTTCGACACACAAGGATTTTTACATCATTTTATGAAATATCCATCCGTCCATCCGTTTATATATGATCAAAACTGCAAGACTTCATAGCTGGACGTAATTTACTACATATCGTAAAAATTAGTAATGCCGAGACATGGCAATAAAATAATTAAAATTTTATTACTAAATACGCAATTAAATGCCCTGTATATTACAAGCTTGGATGTGCATTTAAGTTTAATTTGCGAGTCATAGATAGGCAGTACATGTATGTTGACGATAAAACCATAGACATTAAAAACATGTAGTTAACATTTGAAATTGTAGTAAATTTAATTGATGAGGCTAATTAGCATGGATTTCACGTACATTCACTTTGTGTGCGTTAAAATGTATAATTTATTATTATTACTATATACATGTGAGAAAAAAAAATTTTATTATGACTTTTTTTTAATACAAACTTTGGGCAATCACCCTTTTGAGAAAAATTTTAAATTTAGTTAAAAAGTAATTTTTTATCCCCAAAGTTTTTCAGAATTAGATTTTTAACGCCGTCGGGTTTGTAGGGGAAACGTCCCCAGTTTGGGGTTACCCATTTACACAACGATAGAAATTTTAATTTACCGGATAACCAAAAACCCAGCATTTCTTTTTTTTAACCCATTTTTACTTTTTGGGCTTTAATTTAATATGAAAAACAGATAATGCTTCATAATAAAAAGTGATCTCGAAACCTTTCATTTCTTGGCAAATATCCTAAAGTTGGCAAAGGTGAGTAGTTATCGGATACGTGGATCTAGATGTTTTGGTTGTTCACTGTTAAGCTTATAGTTAAAGACATATTTTGTTTTACGTTTCTGTATATTTAAACACGTACACAAAGTGGACATGCTACTAAGACATAACTGTAGCAATGTCTCAACCTCTAAATATATTAACTCAAAATTTAAAATGTTTTATACCAAAATAATCTTATGTTTTACATCAAAATATCAGTAATCGTGTCAAAGAATGAGAAAAATGTGCAGCCTGACCAAAACTTTAACCATTTGACCCTGGTTATACTATACTGCTATTGTTCGGACTGAGCTATCCTGCCACTCACATTTCTCCCTAAATTAGAAAACAGTTGTACGTAAGCCATGGCATTTTATTTATGCATTACCACCGTTGCTTAGTTGTATAACTTTAATACTGTTTTACCTCAATATATTTCTGGTTTAAACCATGACATTTTATTTGTGCATTAGTTGAATTGTTGTGTTTTTACTTTTAAATCTTTCTTTTACTCTTGCTAATAAAAACATTTTAACAATGACTTGAAGTTTTCAATGTCTCTCACTGTCCTGATAATGTTCATTCTCAGATTTTTACTTTATCCCTCACCTTTCACTAACACATCCGACATGAACTATTCCTGCCTATAACACTCGTGAGAGGGGTTGGCAGTACTCAGAGATAGATACTTGTACAACTTTGATACTGTTTTTCTTCAATATATTTCAGGTGATACATTGATAGACAGGATGCAACAGAAGGTTATATTTCTATGTTTGTATGTGAGTTATCTACTGAGTGTCTATGTAAGACGCTCAGTGACCTTTGCTTTGCCAGATATAGCCACTGCAGAATCCCTGGACAAAAACCAGTTAGGTAATTGCAACTTGTAGTAATGTAACTTCTTTTAGTCAAGTAACTCCTTTTAGTCATGTAACTCAAAACGTTATAGGAAGTGGATATCCATACTATTCATACATGAGTCACATACAGTTTATTTACTAGCTGACATGCTCTTACAGCATTTATCCCTAAAAAAATTGGGGAAAAATTAATATAAGGGCAATAACTGATGTAAATTTGAACGACAAATTTGGTTATTTTGAAAAATGTATCAACTATTTCTAGTTGCCAGACCAGTAGGTTTGTTTATACTTTTTTATTAGTAAATTGCTGGTGTATATATGTATATATATTTTAAAAAACACAAATGTTTACTTTCTTTATTAAGAAAAGTTAATTTAAATGAAAAAAAAGATTAAACCAAATTTTCATATTTTATTTTAATAACATTATTTTATAATATTCAGTGCACCTCTGTAGAGCAATTACCTCTTTACTACATTAGTTCCAGGTGGTTTCTCTGCAGTGAATGTGCTGTAGGTTAAAAATTGAGTTCAATATTTGTGTGGCATTGTTATCTTTATAAATACTTCAAATCAGCTTGTGTAAAAGTGTTTGTGTTAAAAATACTTTATCATTAAAACAGGTCTAATACTGAGTGGTCAAACTTTGGCATATGCTCTAAGTAAATTTACGAGTGGAATAATGATGGATTTTGTAAGTCCACGTTTGGCCATGTCTGTTGGTCTGATCTTGTCTGGAATCTCAGCAATTTTGTTTGCAAGTAAGTTTCGTATATAATCTCATCAGTCACATGTACAGTGAAACTTACAAACTGATTATCAATTTTGAGTTAGGAAAAAAAAATTCAGTTCTGAAGTTTTTATTAAAGTAACCTATGAAATACAATTTTGGTCTTTGTCAAACAGCTATGTTAGATTTGGTGCTCATAATCAATCTTAGAAGTATCATAAAATTTAATGTTGAATCCATTGTTTATCATTTTCAAAAATATTATGTCATGTCACCATTAATGGCAACCATAAGGAATAGGAATCTTTGAAGTGTGAGAAAGAAAATATCTGGGGAATTTTCTTAGAGACTTGACCTTCATAGAGAAAAGTTTTCTTGCTCATGCGTTTGGTTAAAATGTAAAGTAGTCTCCTTTTAAAAAATAGAATGGAAAATATTAGAATGTGTATTTATTTGTTTATACATAGTGTCTGATTTTTAGCTTAATTTATAAATTTGTACAACAGGTGCCCATGGATCATTGATGATGTTTACAATATTTTGGATCATGAATGGTTTATTCCAAGGTCCAGGTTGGCCAGCAGCTGCTGTTATCATGCGTAAGGTAGGAAATAAAGTCAGATGCAAATCTTTGATTTATATAAATTATCAAGGGAAGTAATTTTGTCTTGAGCATTCAAATAAGGAAGTATGAGTTGTCCTCTTACTTTTAAACGACTTAAAGCAGTGTGACTGATGATATCAACTCTTCTTTTGTTTTCATTTTACAACGGAATGAATCATATCATTTGTTTGAATGTTAGATTGTAAGTCTTCATGTAATTAACCAAAACCTGCTGAACTTCTTAAATGGACTTGGCCAGCTTCCATTTTCAAACTGTCCATTGTTAGGGATATCAGGATGAAAATTTTAAGTTGGTCAGTAAAGAGCTTGATCAGTGGTCAGACTGTATACAAGATATTCAGGCTGACCTGGCTATTTACTGATGGCGAAAGCTGATTACTTTTATTTCCAGCTTGTTAAGGGTTGATATATAATTTTATTATTATCATAAACAGTGGTTTAAAGATGAGCAATATGGTACAGCTTGGAGTGTGTTATCTACGTCCATGAATGTTGCCGGAACTTTAGGACCTCTCATTGCAGCATTTATAATCACCTATTCTAGTTGGAGATACAGTTTACTGCTTCCAGGTACTGTATTTATATCTTTTAACTTATTTTATTATACTGATATGATATTACATGTATCATTCTGACACAAATTTTTTTGCATGAGTGACTTTCCGTAACACTTAGTTATGTCCTATTATAACATAGAATGCATGTGATTTTATTTCATGAAGCTCGGACCATATATAAGTGGCCAAGCAGAAAATTTGCACAATTAACATAATTTACTAAGTCAATGTGCTCTGTCATTACTTTGGTTTTAACAAGAAACCCCCCCAAAAGCCTATTACTAGTATTACACATTTATACAAAATATGCACATCATATAAAAAAGGAATGTTTTCACATCATATGATGTCATATATGTTATCAATAGAATGATGTCATGAACTTTTACTTCTTTGCTCATTGTCTTTCAACACAACTTTATCTTGTGTGTGTGTGTATTTGAGTTTATTTACTTGCCACACGTTGCCTGGATAGGTGAGTCCATCAGAAGAGTATTAGTCATTTTAGATTTTGGAGGATAGTGCAAAATATAGGTACAGAAAGATGCCCTAATTCCAGAAGCTTCTCCTCAGAGTACTGGTTCTTAAACTGTTTAATTATCCCCCGCCGATGGAATTGGGAGGGGGATATTGGTTTGGCGCTGTCCGTCCGTCCGAATTTCGTTTCCGGTCAAGTTCTCTGCAACTACTGACTGGAATTCAACAAAACTTTATGGGAATCATCAATATCAAGAGGAGATGCGCATATTGTTGGCTTGTTCCGGTCAGACCCTTTAACTGAGAGTTATGGCCCTTGATTATTTATGTAGTATGCATATAGAGTAAAAATCGTTTCTGCGCTACTTCTCTGCACCTACTGGCTGGAATTCAACAAAACTTAATGTGAACCTTCAATACCAAGAGGAGATGCGCATATCGTTGCCTTGTTCCGGTCAGACACTTTAACTCAGAGTTATGGCCCTTGATTAGTTATGCAGTATACATTTAGAGTAAAAATCGTTTCCGCGCTACTTCTCTGCACCCACTGGCTGGAATTCAACGAAACTTTATGGGAACCTTCAATACTAAGAGGAGATGCGCATATCATCGTCTTGTTCCGGTCAGACACTTTAACTCAAAGTTATTGCCCTTGATTAGTTGTGCAATATGCATATAGAGTAAAAATCGTTTCCGCGCTACTTCTCTGCAAAGTCTACTGGCTGGAATTTAATGAAACTTTATGGGAATCTTCAATACCAAGAGGAGATGGGCATATCATCGACTTGTTGCGGTCAGACACTTTAACTCAAAGTTATTCCCCTTGATTAGTTATGCAGTATGCATATAGAGTAAAAATCGTTTCCACGCTACTTCTCTGCAACTACTGGCTGGAATTTAATGAAACTTTATGGGAACCTTCAATACCAAGAGGAGATCGGCATATCATCACCTTGTTCCGGTCATACACTTCTCAGAGTTATGGCCCTTGATAAGTTATGCAGTATGCATATAGAGCAAAAATCATTTCCTCGCTACTTCTCTGCAACTACTGGCTGGAATTCAACAAAACTTTATGGGAACCTTCAATACCAAGAGAAGATGGGCATATCATTGCCTTGTTGGGGTCAGACATTTTAACTCAGAGTTATGGCCCTTGATAACTTATGCAGTATACAACCAGAGCAATAATTGTTTCCGTGCTATTTCTCTGTAACAACTGGCTGAAATTCAATGAAACTTCATGGGATACGAAGAGGAGATGTGCATATAGTCGCTTTGTTCAGGTCAGACACTTATAACTCAGATTTATGGCCTTATTGCCCTGAATATTTTTCAAGTTCAAAGAATATTACTGTTCATGCCATGATAAATATATAAATAAAGCCTTATATCTACAGTTGTTGTGTTAGTAATAACCAGTACTTGGCGGGGATATAAATTCAACAAATTTGCTTGTTTTATAAGCATTCATACATGGAACCTCAATTAAAAGTCTCATCTGAAAGACTGATTAGTTATTTTAGTTGGCCTGCACAGGAATCGAACCCGAGATTATAAGTCTCACACTCTAACCAATTGAACTTTGCCGACTGACACAGATATATCAATTGTCTTTCTATTATTAGTAAGAATGTATATAGATATAAATTTTCTTGCATTGGAGTACAATAATGCAGATTTAGGGTTCAAATTGAGTTAAATCACTCAGGCCTACCTACTCAAACCATGCATTATTCTACAACATCGCATACATAATTGATATCTAATCCTTAATATAACAATATATGAGCCGCATCATAACAAAACCAACATAATGGGTTTGAGACCAGCATGGATCCAGACCAGCCTGCGCATCCGTGCAGTCTGATCAGGATCCATGCTGTTCGCTATCAGTTTCTCTATTTGTTATAGGGTTTGTAAGCGAACAGCATGGATCCTGATCAGACTGCGTGGATGCGCAGGCTGGTCTGGATCCATGCTGGTCCAAACCCATTATGTTGGTTTTGTCATGACGCGGCTCATATATATTTTTTGAATTGAAGGCGTGTTAGCAATGGTGTTTGGTTTCATACAGTATGTGATAGTGAGAGACAAACCCGGTGATTACACTGGTGATAAAACTAAGAAAAAGACAACAGGAAATAAAAGTATGTATTTGTAGTAGGTTTTGAAAGAAATAAAATGAATCTACATATTTATGAATATGAATATTCTTATAGTTGATATGTAATAACATGATGGTAAATAAATGAAATAACTTAAAGGTAAAATAAACAATCAGGAATATAAGTACAAAGTATAAACATATCCTGTCACTAAAGCATTTTTCCTTCCATGGCAGGGGCCATTTAAGGGTTGTTTCCCTGTGGGAAAATTCTTTAAAATCATGCAGTTTTCTTCTAAAATTCAATTTATGGAAAGTTTTTTTTTTCTCTTCATTTTGCAAATATTCAGTTTTATTTTTCCCCATATTTAAGGGAAGGACACCTTTCCCTTATGTGATTAAAGTCCTGCACTTGAAGGTTGAAGGTCATCTATGAAAAAAGGTTACTTTAATTTTAACATAAATGGTCTTTTTAGTCCCCTACCGGTTTACCGGAGGGGACTTTAGGTTTACCCTCCGTCCGTCTGTCCGTCCGTCCGTCTGTCCGTCCGTCCGTCTGTCCGTCTGTCAGTCCGTCAGTCCGTCCGTCCACAAAACTGGATCCCGCGATAACTTGAAAAGTACTGAAAATATTTTTATGAAACTTGGTATATGGATAGATGGCAGTATGGAGATTATGCACGTCTTTTTCTTTTCTTCCTATGTTGAAAATTCTGGTTGCTATGGCAACAAATAGGCTGAAAATATGGCAAATTTTACACATAAACTGGATCCAGGGATAACTTGAAAAGTACTGAAAATATTTTTATGAAACTTGGTATATGGATAGATGGCAGTATGGAGATTATGCACGTCTTTTTCTTTTCTTCCTATGTTGAAAATTCTGGTTGCTATGGCAACAAATAGGCTGAAAATATGGAAAATTTTACACATAAACTGGATCTAGGGATAACTTGAAAAGTACTGAAAATATTTTTATGAAACTTGGTATATGGATAGATGGCAGTATGGAGATTATGCACGTCTTTTTCTTTTCTTCCTATGTTGAAAATTCTGGTTGCTATGGCAACAAATAGGCTGAAAATATGGCAAATTTTACACATAAACTGGATCCAGTGATAACGCAAAAAGTACTGGAAATATTTTTATGAAACTTGACATATGGGTAGATGGCAGTCTTGAGATTATGCATGTCTTTTTCTTTTCTTCCTATGTTGAAAATTCTGGTTGCTATGGCAACACATAGACTGAAAATATGGCAAATTTTACACATAAACTGAATCCAGTGATAACTCAAAAAGTACTGGAAATATTTTTATGAAACTTGACATATGGGTAGATAGCAGTCTTGAGATTATGCATGTCTTATCCGTTCTTCCTATTTTGATAAAATATCAGTTGCCTTGGCAACAAATAGGCTTAAAACATGGCAAATATAACAACAAAGAGCTGAAAATTTTTATGAAATTGCATCTTTAATTCAAGAGTTATCTCCTCTTTAAGAATTTTGCTTTTAAAATGTTATATTTTGGTAACAGGGATGTTTCAAATATTAACTTTAGAGTGTCCTTCAGTCCGTCTGTCTGTTCATAAAAACTGTTTCCTGTGATCACTTTTAAAGAACTTTTCCAACAAATTTACTTAAAATAGAGAAAAATTGAAACATTAGTGAATGGCCCTTCAGAATGTTGATGGGGTTCTAACCGGTAGGGGACTTATGGATTGCTTGCAATACTATGATAATTGCTTGTTTGTTGTTGTTTCAATGTGGTCTGCTTTTATACTTTTGATTTTTGTTTTCTATAAATATCTGTGCCACCTGATCATTGTCCGCATTGTTTGCTATTCAGTCAGTTCATATTTTAAAATTGTCCCTTAAAATGATGAATGGTTTTGTCCAGATTAAAAGAGGGACAAGTCCATTTCAGATATTTAGGGTGGTATGGGTTAATGACATAATGGTAATGTAGCTGGCTTCTTTATTTGGTTGTTTCAGATTCAGAGAAGGTGTTATCTAGAAGAGAGCTGCTCAAATTACCAGGTTATCTTGGAGTGTGTATCACTTATGGTGTGATTTCACTAATACAATATGGTACCCTGCAGTGGGCACCAGTATATCTGGTCAATGAACTAGGACATTCTATTATTACTGGTATTTTCACTTTATTATCAGAGGTATTTTTACTATATTATTACAGGTATTTTTGCTGTATTATTATAGGTATTTTTACTGTATTATTACAGGTATTTTCACTATATTATTATAGGTATTTTTGCTGTATTATTATAGGTATTTTTACTGTATTATTACAGGTATTTTCACTATATTATTATAGGTATTTTTGCTGTATTATTACAGATATTTTCACTATATTATTATAGGTATTTTTACTGTATTATTACAGGTATTTTCACTATATTATTATATATAGGTATTTTTACTGTATTATTACAGGTATTTTCATTATATTATTATAGGTATTTTTACTGTATTATTACAGGTATTTTCACTATATTATTATAGGTATTTTTACTGTATTATTACAGGTATTTTCATTATATTATTATAGGTATTTTTACTGTATTATTACAGGTATTTTCACTATATTATTATAGGTATTTTTGCTGTATTATTATACATATAGGTATTTTTACTGTATTATTACAGGTATTTTTGCTGTATTATTACAGGTATTTTACTGTATTATTACAGGTATTTTCACTATATTATTATACGTATTTTTGCTGTATTATTATAGGTATTTTTACTGTATTATTACAGGTATTTTCACTTTATTATATATGATGAACTTTTACAGGATTGATTGGTAGGTCAAGTACTTGTGCATAGTATTACGTTTTTCACTTGAATGATTTTCAGCTGAGTTATTGCCCTTGAATAAAAAAATGTGTTTTGCCCTGTTAATGATTTTTAGCTCGACTTTTCTATGAAAAGGGGAGCTATCCTACTCGCCCCGGCGTCGGCGTCGGCGTCGGCGTTGGCGTCACACCTTGGTTAAGTTTTTCGTACCACCCCACTTTATTTCAGAAGTATTACAAGTATGGCTTTGAAACTTACCATACTTGTTCACCATCATAACCTCCATCTACAGACAAGAGTACATAACTCTGTCAAGGTTTTTGACAGAATTATGGCCCTTTTTTGACTTAGAAAGTGTATTGAGCTTGGTTAAGTTTTTTGTACCACCTCACTTTATTTCAAAACCATTGGAGGTATTGCTTTGAAACTGACCATACTTGTTTACCATCACGACCTTCATCAACAGACAAGGTTTTTGACAGAATTATGCCCCTTTTTGACTTAGAAAATACATTGAATATGGGTAAAATCCACTTATTGCCTTAACCCTTTGAGATATTGCTTTGAAACTTTTAATGCTATTTCACATCATTACCCCCATCTGTACGCAAGAGAAGGTAACTCTGTCAAGGATTTGTTTTAAAATTTAAGGCCTTTTATCGACTTAGAATCTTGGTTAAGTTTTTAGTACCAGTCCACTTTTTGACTGAACTGTTTGAGATATTAATTTGAAAGTTGGAATACTTGTTTACAATCATGATTCCCAAACATGTCCAGGAGAAGGTAATTCTGTCAAAGATTTTATTTGAATTATGGCCCTTAACTGTCAATGTTTTGTATTATAGGCAAGCACTAAAAAACTTAAAAAATCTAAAAAAATTCATTCCTATCCACTTGTTCACTTTACCATAAATTATGTCATAATAAAATAATTCTTCACTAAATATCTTAATGCTCATGGCCATTGTTCACTTTAAAAATACAGAGATTCTTGTATTGCCTTTTACTGCAAAAACTTTTTTTATTGGCAAGCAATAAAAAAGTCGAGCGCGCTGTCTTACGGACAGCTCTTGTTGGGTCTCCTGCTACAAAGTAGCTGCAACATGCGAATGGCTATCATGAGGCGACACATGTCATCACTGATGGCCCTTGTTAAGAAAAGAGCAAGCCCTTGTATTATGTCAGGTAAAAGTTTTATGGTTAAATGAGTAATTTTTATTTTTACATTTTATATAAACTTATGTAAACCCATGTGATATTTCAGGTAACAGTTTCACGAGTAGTTTAGAGGTCGGAGGTATATGTGGATTGTTATATTTCAGGTAACAGTTTCACAAGTAGTTTAGAGGTCGGAGGTATATGTGGATTGTTATATTTCAGGTAACAGTTTCACTAGTAGTTTAGAGGTCGGAGGTATTATGTTTATTGTTATATTTCAGGTAACAGTTTCACGAGTAGTTTAGAGGTTGGAGGTATATGTGGATTGTTATATTTCAGGTAACAGTTTCACAAGTAGTTTAGAGGTCGGAGGTATATGTTTATTCTTATATTTCAGGTAACAGTTTCACGAGTAGTTTAGAGGTCGGAGGTATATGTGGATTGTTATATTTCAGGTAACAGTTTCACAAGTAGTTTAGAGGTCGGAGGTATATGTGGATTGTTATATTTCAGGTAACAGTTTCACGAGTAGTTTAGAGGTCGGAGGTATATGTTTATTGTTATATTTCAGGTAACAGTTTCACGAGTAGTTTAGAGGTCGGAGGTATATGTTTATTGTTATATTTCAGGTAACAGTTTCACGAGTAGTTTAGAGGTCGGAGGTATATGTTTATTGTTATATTTCAGGTAACAGTTTCACGAGTAGTTTAGAGGTCGGAGGTATATGTGGATTGTTATATTTCAGGTAACAGTTTCACAAGTAGTTTAGAGGTCGGAGGTATATGTGGATTGTTATATTTCAGGTAACAGTTTCACTAGTAGTTTAGAGGTCGGAGGTATATGTGGATTGTTATATTTCAGGTAACAGTTTCACAAGTAGTTTAGAGGTTGGAGGTATATGTTTATTCTTATATTTCAGGTAACAGTTTCACTAGTAGTTTAGAGGTCGGAGGTATATGTGGATTGTTATATTTCAGGTAACAGTTTCACAAGTAGTTTAGAGGTCGGAGGTATATGTGGATCATTGCTAGCTGGATATTACTCTGATTATCTCCTCACTCAGGTTGGTCAAACAACTTCTCTACATGCTGTATATTGGTGGATACTCTGATATTGTCAAAATGAAATATAAATGATAAACAATGCAGTCTTTTACTTTGTTTCTTAAAGTTTTTCTACATCAGTGTATCCATAGATTTCAAAATGAATGGTATGTCATTCAACCCTTACAGCTGTTGGCATCTACAAAATCTACCAATGTGACCATTGCAGACAAATTAAAATTAGGCAAGCATTTGATTTTCCACACTGTCAGATCATAGTCTGCACTGTTTGTTATTAGTCCCCTACCGGTTTACCGGAGGGGACTTTAGGTTTACCCTCCGTCCGTCTGTCCGTCCGTCTGTCAGTCCGTCTGTCCGTCTGTCTGTCAGTCCGTCAGTCCGTCAGTCCGTCCGTCCACAAAACTGGATCCCGCGATAACTTGAAAAGTACAGAAAATATTTTTATGAAACTTGATATATGGATAGATGGCAGTATGGAGATTATGCACGTCTTTTTCTTTTCTTCCTATGTTGAAAATTCTGGTTGCTATGGCAACAAATAGGCTGAAAATATGGCAAATTTTACACATAAACTGGATCCAGTGATAAAGCAAAAAGTACTGGAAATATTTTTATGAAACTTAAAATATGGGTAGATGGTAGTCTGGAGATTATGCACGTCTTTTTCTTTTCTTCCTATATTGAAAATTCTGGTTGCTATGGCAACAAATAGACTGAAAATATGGCAATTTTTACACATAAACTGGATCCAGTGTTAACGCAAAAAGTAATAGAAGTATTTTTATGAAACTTGTAATATGTGTAGATGGCAGTCTGGAGATTATGCACATCTTTTTCTTTGTAAATTCTGGTTGCTATGGCAACACATAGACTGAAAATATGGCAAATTTTACACATAAACTGAATCCAGTGATAACTTAAAAAGTACTGGAAATATTTTTATGAAACTTGACATATGGGTAGATGGCAGTCTTGTGATTATGCATGTCTTATCTGTTCTTCTTATTTTGAAAAAATATTGGTTGCCTTGGCAACAAATAGGCTTAAAACATGGCAAATATAACAATATTTGTGATGAGTCAAAAAGAGCTGAAAATTTTTATGAAATTGCATCTTTAATTCCAGAGTTATCTCCTCTTTAAGAATTTTGCTTTTTAGATTGTTATATTTTGGTAACGGATGTTTCAAATATTAAATTTAGAGTGTCCTTCAGTCCGTCTGTCTTTTTAACAAAACTGTTTCCTGTGATCACTTTAAAAGAAATTATCCAACAAATTTACTATAAAAACATTAGTGAATGGCCAATGGCCCTTCAGAATGTTGATGGGGTTCCATCCGGTAGGGGACTTATGGATTGCTTGCAATACTATGATAATTGCTTGTTCAGCCTGGAATTATTTGATCATTTTCCCTGAAATGTAGAGCAAAAGCAGTACAGTTTGCAAGTGAAGTTATGTTACATACAATTGTAAAAATTCGAAAATGACAGATTTGAACAATAGCATACAATGGCCTTATAAGTTTCTTTAAAATTCAAGTTTATAACTTACCTGTGAATGTATACAGTTTATGAACATGTTATAATTATTGTTGTTGTTGTACAGATGAAAGAAGAGCCATGTCAGAATGTACGTCAGTATGTTATAGCGTGGTTTGCTAGTGGTCTGGTTGTATTCCTGTATATGCTCACATATTGTGTCTCTACATACTCTACTCTGGTAAGTCTACAGGTTGTCTACTTACATATTTATTTCCCTTTGATTTTAATTAACAGTAACTAAATAACTTTTAAGTTTAAGAGGTGGAGCATCAGATAAGTAATCCAGGGGTTGCTGGTTTGATCCTGGGTTGAGATGTAATTTTTGTAACAATGGCAGATAATAGCTGGTTATCTTCCCCTGCCACTTTCAAGGTGGCGCCACTAATCCCGGTCCATCAGCATCCTTTATAAGTCTATTGATAACATTATTCTGTATAGACAACGTAAACAATTCTTGCATAGCAGACTTGCGTTTCCGTGAGTTTTACCCATGCCGGAAATTTCATCTGGCATGGTGGGTGCCAGATGAGTCGCGTGCCAAACAACAACGTCATTTTAGCGCACTTTATGAATGAACCGCGTTAAAATGACGTCATTTTAGACGGGAAATATGTGCTTAGGATGACGTCATTTCGCCGTTGTTATTTAAGTTGTAAGTTCATACGCTATTGTAAGAAAATAGTTATGGATGAAATGACTTTAATTTTCATGAACATATATCATATTGAGGTAAACCATTTTAAATATGAAATAATATGGCAGAATATGCAAGAAAAAATATCTTTCATATGTTTCCAGTTCAGACCGGAATATCCGTCCCTCGGGAACCCGCCCATGATCCTGACATAAATTATCCCTCATATAACTGCATAACGGGAAGCAACTTTTTTTCATCTGATGATATCAGCTTTTGTAGCAAATACACTTAAGCAATAACTGATAATTTAATCGTAACTTTTGAAAAAATAAGATTATTTTAGTTTGTTGATTCATTATCAGAAATTAAAATTCACAGGTTTCAGTGCTATCAGTTGACCTTTAAGATTAACCGACTGTTCGGAATGAAACGGCGATTTCTGAGCTTTAGTCTCTTCGAAAAACTTCAGTTTCTTTTCCATTTAGTTCTAATTAACTTTTCTAATATATTTGAATATGTTACAGATGTGGATAGATATGATAGGATTTGGTTTAGGTATGACCATATATGGTCCTATATCTATATATGGAGTAACTGCTATAGAATGTGCCCCCAGTGAGATGGCAGGGACATCACATGCATTTGCTAGTCTTCTTGCTACAGGTATACTTTATTGCAATTCTTAACTCCAACTGTTTGTTAGCCTATGCTGCAAGAAAAAAGATAGGCGTGCCTGATTATAATCTTTTGGTACACATATTAAATCTAAAAAACTTATTTTTGACATTAGCTACAAGTGAAAAATCTATACTCATAATTCACAGTGTAACATAGCAAAATGTAACAGTGAATGTAACAGGAATTGTTTTGATGTTAGTTAATAATATAGAAATATTTTTTGGTCACAACACAATGTATGACTGGCACATGCTGCCCTTTATTCCTCTGCCTAACATATCACTTTGTATTGTAATATCAGCCATTTCTAGATATTTAGCAGGTTTCATATATATTTTTTTTAAATTTTTATACTCAAGAAAGAAATTTTGAAAAAAAAGTTATTGAAGAGGTAATTGCTCTGAAGAGAGTCACTCTGCAGAGGTTATACTATTAGTTATAAAGATTCATGACAGGTTATATGGCCCTATTTCAATGTTTGTTTGTATATATAACCTGAGCAAAGATTTTTGAAAATCGTGCAGTATTATAATGTAAGTTATATGCTGTTGTTGTTGTTTTCAGTGGGACAATCAGTGGCTGGACTACCTTTAAGTTATTTTGCCAAGTACTGGGGCTGGAGAAAAATGTTTATTACAGAAATGTTACTGGTGTTAATGATGGCTGGATATCTATTTGTCCAAACAAAGAGTTGCCATGGGAAACGAGAAAACGTCTCCAAGCCCAAAGCTGATTGATGTTTGACCTTGTTCAAAACAGTTTTTTGAACATATTTATTTATTTTATAAGAGATACATATCGTCACTTTAGTGCAATAACTGATTAACTCTTATTAAATTTAGAAGGACTTAATCTGTTATTGCACACATGTGACGATAACTTTTGAAATTAATATTTTCATACTAGTCTAATACTTGCTGACAATACACTTTAAATACCCAAATAGTGTTCATTTTATTGTATTCATTTTGATTCTGATATGGTGATGTAAAGGACAATGCAAGTCCACCATTGCTAATGTAGGAGAGTAACAACTGTATCCCATATTTTTGTGTTAAATATGCAAAATTTGAAAATACATAATTCAAACTTTAAATTTTTATTTATATTTTGTGTAAACGTCTATTTATGTGCAACCTTTAACATGACATTTTTATGTATTTTACTTAATGAAGAGGAAATATTAAACTTGATGAAAAACCTATACATTTTGTATTTCTACAAGTTTTTAACACATTAATTTTCAGTAAGCCTTTCAGAACCATCTAGCTTCAAGCAATGCTGTTGAGTATCTCTCCATGTAAAACATGTAGATTCAGAAATGAAAATTAAGCATAAATACACTAATGCTTAAGGCATATGCATGTATACTAATGCTTTTAGCATAGATGTATGAAATTAATACTTTAAGCATAGATCTACCAATGTTTTAAGCATAGGTATACAAATGCTTTAAAAAATGCTTAAAGCATAAAAGTACAAATACTTTAAGCATAGAATAGATGTGCAATTGCTTTTAGTATCAATGCACAAAATTAATGCCTTTAGCATAGATATACAAATGCTTTTAGCATAGATGTACAAAATAAATATTTGAAACATAGATATTCAAATGCCTTGAACATAGATATACAAATACTTTAAGCAAAGATGTACAAAATTAATGCTTCAAGCATAGATATTCAAATACTTTTAGCATAGATATACAAATGCTTTAAGCATAGAATAGATTATGCAGATGCTATAAGCATGTTGTACAAGATTAATGCTTTTAGCATAGATATACAAATGCGTCAAGCATAGATCTGCAAATACTTTAAGCATACATGTAGATAAATAACTGCTTTAAGCATGTAATATACAAATGCCTTTTATATAGAAATATTAACACTTTTAGCTTGTTCTTTGACATGCTAGCTAGCATTGTCTCCTCTGAAGGTTATTGTGCCTAGGCTCTTTTACAGCTGTTATCAGGAAAAACTGTTAATTACATACATTATTTTTCTAGCCTTATGGATAGATCTTTAGGATTAGCAACATTTGATTTATCTTTCTCATTTTGCTTGTTTGAAATACAATGCTCACTCTCTCAGAACTAAAATAAGACAAATCTTTGAGCAGTGTCTTCATAGAGACGAAGTTTTGGTGTGTGATAATACATATTATTTACTGAAGCTTTGTTTCTATTTTAAGTCAGTAGCAAAATTAAGCATTTGAATCACTTTTTATAAGCCTGGTAAATACTTTTACCATATCTGATCCATGACAACGTGTTTTGTTTTTTTGTTCAAACTTTTGTAATGCAAATACATATGTTTAGACAATGTTTAAGAAACATCTAGTCACCTATCTATTTTTGATATTTGTAGGAGATAAAATTAGAAATTGTTGACATGATGTCTTGTTTGATATCATTTGTTGTGCTGTTTTTCTCTATGCATTTTTAAGTTACTTTACATTGTGGTTTTATATAATAATGTGAAAAATATTTCATAATTATGAACCTCAGTTGTGGAGTATATTTTACGAGTTTTGCTAGACCTATAGTTTAGACAACATACTGGACTGAGTTACCAAGAAATTTGCCCTTAAAGGCATTTTAAGTTCTTTAGTTATAGTATTACTATTAAGTATTTGCTTATATTGTTGTAATATAACCATATGTTGGTTAATGTTTGGTTGAAACTTGACTTTTGGTGTAAGAACATTCCTGAGAACTGAACTTTTGGTGTAAGTCCAGTCCTAGGAACTCAACATTGGTGTAAGAACTTTCCTTTTGAATGAACTTGTGGGTGTTACATTAATTGTTATATACATGTTCTGGTGTGTGTTAAATTGTTATATACTTGGACATGTGGGTATTAAATTGTTATATTCTTGAACTTGTGGGTGTAAGATTGTTATATTCTTGGACTTGTGGGTGTTAGATTGTTGTATACATGTACTTGGACTTGTGGGTGTTAGAATTTTATATACTTTTTATATTTATTTAATATTAACTGAAAATATAGACATATACCGAGGTAGGCAGAATGAAAATAGTATAATAGATTTTTTTTAAAACTGTACATGATCTAAAAATATGACAACAGGAACAATTTTTAAATGCAGTATATTCCTTGGTCATGAACAGACTCAGACTCCATCAGTAGCACCAGCCACTACAAGCACTGAAGCAGCACCTGAACCTGATCCCGAAACAAACAAAGATAAGACTCAAACTATTAATCCACTAAATTACTTCAACACAAATGAAAAACGTGAAGACTTAGTCAAATTTCAACATGAATGTAAATTTTACAAAAATATAATCAATTTTAAACAAAATAAGGTACTTCCAGATGATAAAGAACAAGCAAAATTATTAGTTGCCCAATCTGACCAATATGAAATTCTTTCATCAGGTCTCCTTGTACATTTATATACCCCTAGGACCAGAGGTGTCCCTAAGGAGGACAAACTCATATTACAAGTTTGCATTCCAGCTATGATGAGAGATGAAATTCTCAAATCATTTCATGATAGTATTGCAGGTGGTATGCATCAAGCATTTGAGCGAACTTACGCAAACTTGCGACAAAAATACTATTGGCCCTCAATGTTTGAAGACTGTAGCAAATACATTCAGTCATGTGAAGCATGCCAACAAGTCAAACGTGACATACATGGTAAACCACCCCCATTACAACCCATGCCTGTTGCTGATCTTTTCCAAAGATGGCATATTGATATTCTTGGTGGACTGCCAACTAGCAAAGAAAAATATAAATATGTACTTCTTGTAGTTGACAGTTTCTCAAAATGGTCTGAAGCATTCCCTTTGTATACTCAAGAAGCGACTGAAGTAGCTTCTGTCCTTTTTCGAGAATGCATATGTCGATACGGTGCTCCTAATGTGCTCGTATCTGACAGAGGTCAAAACTTCCTCTCCAAATTGGTCAAAGCTCTTTGTGAATTATTTCAAATCACAAGATATTATACCAGTAGTTACAGACCCCTTCTAAATGGATCTGTAGAGCGCATGAATTCTGTTATTCTTCAAGCTCTCAGAACATATTGTAAAGGAAAACAAGATGATTGGCCAAATTTGCTTCCTTCGATTATGATGGCATATCGAAGTACTCCAGCAACTCAGTCAACTCAATACTCTCCTTTCTTTTTACTATATGGCCGTGAGATGAGACTTCCTATCGATACTGCCCTCACTCCGAAAACTACCTTGTCAACTGAATTTAGAACTCATCTTGCACAAGTTTTACAGCATTTAGAAATTTCCAGAAAAATAGCAGCTGAAAATATCAAACTTGCCCAAGAGAAATACAAAACACAATATGATAAGCGCAGTCAACCTGCTGACTTTAAACCAGCTGATAGAGTATGGTTATATTGTACCAAAGTGCCAGTTGGTATGGCACCCAAACTTCACAAGAAATGGTTAGGTCCATACTATATAACATATAATGGCCCTCATAACACATACAAATTAAGAAGATGTTCTGACAATCGTGAAGTCAAGGTCATGGTCAATGCAACCAGGTTAAAGCATTATTTTGATCCTTCAGATAGGCCAACAAACCCACCACCAGGTTATGAAAATCTGACAGAATCATTAAATGCTGAAGAAATGCCCCAGATTGATTCTGAAGTCCCTCCTACAGCTCAAACTAAGACTCCCGATGAGAAAATGTCAGAAAAGGATAAACAAACTGACAAAAATAAGAAATCCAAAGCTAAACATAGCAATAAAAAGACAAATAAAACTATCCCTAGATCTGATACTGTTAACAAACCCCAGGAACAACAAGTTCAAGGTCAAAGTACTTCATCGGATGAGACAAATAATCAGCCAGATCCAACACCAAGTACATCAACAGAAACAAGCCCATCTGATAATCAAACTCCAACCTCCAAATCAAAACTCTTTTCTGTTGATTTTGAAAATCTTTATGAGAGTGACAAACTATAACCATGTTTAGTATAACCTACTTATAGCTTATCACATTATTATGTATTATATATCTAACATGGAAAACTGAAATCTTCATGAAATTATAAATTGCAATAATTTAAAAGTGAAAATCAACACATAGAGATGTTTTATAGAACTGGCATTATACAAAGCAAGGTTTCACATGCTCTTTATTTTAATAACCATTGTACATTATGATATTATTTATGTTTCTATGAATATGTAATGTTTTACATGTGTTTTGCAATCAGGTATCGTCACTTTGGTGCAGTATCGGGCTAAATCCTATGAAGTCTAAAAGGAGATAGCCTGTTACTGCATTAAGGGGACTATATGTGATGAATGGTAGTTTGTTTTAACACTATATAATAGTACAGTAGTATTGTGGGTGTACTTTTGTATTGTTCTTTTATACTGTTTAGTTATTTACTAGGTGTTTGACGTCATATATAGTGTCACAGTTATTAACTAGGTGTTTCACATCATATACAGTATCACAGTTATTTGCTAGGTGTTTGACGTCATAATTATACAGTTACACAGGTATTTACTAGGTGTTTGACGTCATATACAGTATCACAGTTATTTGCTAGGTGTTTGACGTCATAATTATACAGTTTCACAGGTATTTACTAGGTGTTTGACGTCATAAACAGTATCATAGTTATTTACTAGGTGTTTGACGTCATAATTATACAGTTTTACAGTTATTTACTAGGTGTTCGACGTCATATACAGTATAATAGTTATTTACTAGGTGTTCGACGTCATATACAGTATCATAGTTATTTACTAGGTGTTTGACGTCATAATTATACAGTTTTACAGTTATTTACTAGGTGTTTGACGTCATATACAGTATAATAGTTATTTACTAGGTGTTCGACGTCATAAACAGTATCATAGTTATTTACTAGGTGTTTGACATCATAATTATACAGTTTCACAGTTATTTACTAGGTGTTCGGCGTCATATACAGTATCATAGTTATTTGCTAGTTGTTTGACGTCATAATTATACAGTTTTCCAGTTATTTACTAGGTGTTTGACGTCATATACAGTATCATAGTTATTTACTAGGTGTTCGACGTCATATACAGTATCATAGTTATTTACTAGGTGTTTGACATCATAATTATACAGTTTCACGGTTATTTATTGGGTGTTCGGCGTCATATACAGTATCAGAGTTATTATCCCCCGCCGATGGAATCGGGAGGGGGATATTGTTTTGGCGTTGTCTGTCCATCCGCTCGAAGTTTCCGGACTAGTTTTATGCAACTACTGGCTGGAATTCAACGAAACTTTATGGGAATCATCAATATCAAGAAGAGATGCGCATATCGTCACCTTGCTCCGGTCAGACACTTAAACTTGGAGTTATGGCCCTTGATAAGTTATGCAGTATGCATATAGAGTAAAAATTGTTTCTGCGCTAGTTCTCTGCTACTACTGGCTGGAATTCAACAACACTTTATGGGAACCTTCAATACCAAAAGGAGATGCGCCTATCGTCGCCTTGTTCCGGTCAGAAACTTTAACTCAGAGTTATGGCCCTTGATTAGTTATGCAGTATGCATATAGAGCAAAAAATCGTTTCCGCACTACTTCTCTGCAACTACTGGCTGTAATTCAACAAAACTTTATGGGAACCTTCAATACCAAGAGGAGATGCGCATATTGTTGCCTTGTTCCGCTCAGACACTTTAACTTAGAGTTATGGCCCGTGATTAGTTATGCAGTATGCAACCAGAGCAATAATCGTTTCCGCGCTACTTCTCTCTAAGTACTGGCTGGAATTCAGCGAAACTTTATGGGAACCTTCAATACCAAGAGGTGATGTGCATATAGTCGCCTTGTTCCAGTCAGACACGTTAACTCAGAGTTTTGGCCTTTGATTAGTTATGCAGTATGCATATAGAACAATATTTGTTTCTGCGCTACTTCTCTGCAACTACTGGCTTGAATTCAATGAAACCTCATGGGAACATTCAATACCAAGAGCAGAGATGCGCATATTGTCGCCTTGTTCTGGTCAGACATTTTAACTCAGAGTTATGGCCCTTGATTAGTTATGCATTATGCATTTAGAACAATATTCGTTTCTGCGCTACTTCTCTGCAACTACTGGCTGGATTTCAACAAAAGTTTATGGGAATCATCAATATCAAGAGGAGATGCGCATATAGTTTGCTTGTTCTGGTCAGACACTTTACTGTTTATGCCATGATAAATATATAAATAAAGCCTTATGTCTTCAGTTGTTGTGTTAGTAATAACCAGTACTCGGCGGGGGATATAAATTCAACGAATTTGCTTGTTTACTAGGTGTTCGACGTCATGTACAGTATCAGAATAAACGGTGTGCAATTATTAATTTACCATTTCAGCATCTTTTAGTTTGATATTGTAACAATCTTCATGAAATGATGCTAGTACTTAATTTACATATATTTGTTGTGGCTTCTTACCTTGGTGAAATTTTTACTGCAAAATAAAACATTTTAAAAGATTTATATGTGTTCGTCAAACCCTATTTTAACATTACATGTTCTGATCGGGAGGTCGAAGGTTCGAGCTCCACGGTGAGCATTAATTGAAGGATGAATGTTTCTCGTGGAACTCATTCCGAAATGGCCGCTTCGTGAGCCTCCAGGTAGTTAGAATGAATGGTTACCGATTTCTATCCGCCTGGCATAGTGGTAGGAGTTGGGAGGTACATGGTATGCAAGCAAAAGGTGTCTCATAAGTCAGAAATGGCTGGCCCTTTCAGTAGGGGAGACACTATAATAAAAAAGACCTTTACCCTTTTTTACTAATAAAGGTAGATACTGTAACCCTGCGATTGTTACAGATGACGTCAGAGTCCTTTAAGTACAAAAGTAGAAGATGCTGACGTCATGTCATCGTATAAAAGGTTGAGACGTAAAGGGTTTCGTGTCAACATATATTAGAGAACTGTGTAATTCAATTATCAATGCAATCTGATTAAAACCATCGCCACTGTAGGAGAATGACTACATGTAAGAAATAAGTAGACTTGAACTTAAGTCAGATTGGTTATAAATGTCTTATGGCTATTATAAGTACATCAAAAATATGTTCTGCGTACGAGCCCGAACGTAGAACTTGTGGTACTGAGAGAATCAAGTAAATGACACCATTTTCAATCTCAGATTTCTAAGTCTTTGAGAGGGAACACCCCTGCCACATCCACCCCATTGACACGTACAAGATAATCAGAAGGCAAATTTTGTTCAAAGAACGCAGAAATAACGTGCATTTTTACCATCCATATGTCAGTACCCCAGCCAGTCCTGTTTTGTATCCGCCCCCCTGGAGATTTAGATTAAATAAAAGTATGCAACAAAAACATTCTAAAATAAGCGATAATTTCATTTGCGTTAAATTTCCTTTAGAGTAGTAAAAAAATAAGTTTAAATAACCGTTCAAGAAAGTCGCCGATCCGATTCAGCCCGAGTTTTTTTCTGCCAATATCCATTACCAAAAGTGGTAGACACCTTCAAAATTGACGAATATTTCTAGATGTTGACAGATAAGTGCCATTAATTAAAGAAAGTTTGTATCTGAGGCCTGATATTTCAGTTAAGTGGCACCCAGTTAGACATTTACCGAGAAGATATTGGGATTGACCTCTATTAAAACTGGACCCGCTACATTGTAGCAAACCAGTTATGACGTTATTAAACTTTTAGAAGGATTTTAAAGAAACAAAATTTGAAATAAAATAATGAATTTATTAGCCCTAACTGAATATATTTGTCTAATCAAAAATAATGTCCGTATTTAACTGAAGCAAGTATTAGTCCTTGTGAGAATTGATTTGTAGGCGATTTGTTTCCGACGAAGTTCCTCTTTTAAGTTGACGTATTCTTGCGCAGTGTAGTTCCTGGCCGACTTCGGCTGCAAAGACAAATATTTTTCCTATACATAAGGTTAATCATATACATTATAAACCGACTTGCAAAGGTCATTTATTAGGATCAAGTATGAAATAGAAGTATACGCACATGATAACAGCAGATTTGATAAAATGAAGTAAATTTTGAAAGCATAAAAATTGAGAATCGTAACTGAATGCTACAATGAATGCAAAACCAATATCATTTCTTTACATTTTTAATTGCAACGATTCTGTTACTAGCCACCACTTTTATGGCATTGGCTTAACCAACACAATGATGTTATACCATTTACTTCCCCTGACGCAATGGCAACATGTAGTTCCAGTTACCTTCCCTTTAATGCGATTTTAACACGTTCTGAATTCAGTTACACGTCATATTCCAGTTACCTGCCCTGGCTTGAATAAGGCTGTATGTTGGATTAATACACTTACCCTTTTATTAAGTTGCACAGGAAGACCGCTATCATGTATAGATTTAGATGACTGTGGTCGATTTTTGATACATTTTCGGAAGCCGGTGTCTGAAATTACAAGTGGATAAATTAAGAATTTTAAAGCAGTTATAAAGTATTTATTATCCTGTGATATCAAAGCACCATATTTTAATTTACTTATTCTATTTAAATATGTTAATTATCACGTACTAAACGAATATTTTTTTGTTAAATATACATGTACTTATGCTTAAGATTAACACTTGTGCTTTTCATTAAGATATATGTTTTATAAAATATGAATATAAGATACAAGCAAAGGCTTACAATCACATAAGATTTAATCTCTGGCATAATGAAATGAACTCCAATAAAGTATGCTTAGCAGATATTTCGATATTATTCAAATACAGATTAAATTAACGAAGAAAAGTTTGAACATTTTGTAAGATCAATACATGGTGAAGACGCTTTTTTTGCCTAAACCTGTTAACTAATAAAAAGGAAATTGGATATAAATAAATAAATAAGCCCATATATCACCAATGACCCAATCAATTGACATTAACCAATCACAGATAAACAAGATAATTCACAACATTCAGATCTTTCAGCAATCAGATTCTATAAACTTAAAGTCTATTTTGACTACAAGTCTATCAAAATATCAGAATCACCTATATTATATTTGATGTTAAGTAGCTAAAAATAGACCACTCACAAAATTTGCCATAATCTTAAAAGATCTGTTAATAGATTTGCCTTTTCTATTATATGAATAAATTACTTATAGAAGAAAAAAAGATTATATAAACTAAACAGAGACAGAGTTATAAACACAAACATGCATGCGCTGTATGTCTTATAATTATCCCACCAAACAATATATAAAGATACACAAATCTTACATTTTTGTCACCTGATCAGCTTTCTTTATAGAGCCATGAGATTATCATATAAAGTCACTTTCCGTATTTGACAATGACAGCTACATTTTGCAGTAATTTTGTGAATTTTCTTAGTCGTATTGACGCTTTAAGATATCTATTAGTGACGGAAAATGAAGGAATATGCAAGACAGATTAAACAAACCAAACCCTTAGATCTCATCACAGCATGTGGAACGTTCTGACAGATATTTGATTTTAGGGTGCGTGGACGATAAGTCGATAGCTTCCGGACAAGAACAGGCTCAATTAAACCAAAAATGCATTATTTTTAATTTGGCCATTTCAGGGTTTCTTTACTTTAGGATATATTTTAAATTAGATTCACCCGAGTTACTGTAAATTCTACAATTCATTGTGGTTGAATACCTTAAGATTTAATTGAGTGCATTAATTTCAAAAATAAGAAGTTAATAAAGAAACAATACATATTAGTAGATGTATATTTACAGAAAGAAAGAAATATGGAAATAATGCAGATGGGCATCTTTATATCAGTGGGGGTGGGGGACGAGTTAAAGCATAAGAGTACATGCTAGGAACCAGAGGTTCGAGCTCATGCAAAATGCACCACAGGTCTGTTGTTACAGTGGAAGCCCCACAACCACATCGTGCAAAGCAATTAGAATTTGTCGACTAAAAACTGCAAAAAGTGGTAGAAATATCTATCTTTCTATATAATGACTGATTTCTATGAAACTTTCAATGCTATAGATCTAATTTAGTACAATTTTGTACAAAAGTTATGCATTCTTGTTCTTTTTTTTATTAAATGGATGAATAAAATGTATATATCTATATCAAAATGAAGTCTTTTGTAAAACATGTTTTTCTCATTTTTTTGCAGTTTTTGACAACAACAGCAGCTATGCAAGCCAGTCCATGTGTAAATGCAAAATCAACTATATAAACAGACCTGTTTCATCGATCCATATGTCACGTGATTCAAATGGATCATGTGTCTCAGAATCACGTGACAACCCTGCGCTAATTGAGAAAATAAAATATTACAAATATTGAACAAAACAAAATGAAACTTAAAAGATATGAAGACGTGTTCAGAATTGTAAGTATTCACACTTTTATAAATCAATTATATATACATTCACATTCAATACGACATGACGTAAGTGGATAGAAAATAAAATTTGAAGAATTCATACAAAAAAAGTAAAACGTGTATTAGTGTCTGAATAGAGAATTCAAAAACGATTACTTTATATAAGTATGAATTTAAAGATGACTGGAAATAAATCATTCACTTCTAAGAAAGTGCAAGCAAAATGGCAAATGTTAGTGTCAAACTGAAAACAAAATATTAAAATTAAAAATAAATGTTTTTGTTAAAGGGACTCCACTGAGGTTTTTTGACATGACGGGACTGGAAATAATTTTTTTGGGATTATTACTCCATTTGATGTAGATCTATATTAATAACTTATGTGCAAAATTTCAAATCATTAGCTCGCTCCGTTTTCCAGTATAATTATTATAATAGTGAAAAATGACAAATTGAAAAGCGTTTAAACGCTTTTCACACAACTCGACCTGAGAATAGTATTAACATATAATTTTCAATGTATTTCTTGTGTATTTCTTAGTTATATTTTATTTATATTTCTGTTCAAAGTGCCCATGTTTATCTATGTGAAAAATTAAAATGTTATGTTTTAGGCTTATAAACCTCAGTGGAGTTCCTTTAAAGATGTCTTGTTGATTTTTATGAGTATTATTACATTAAATAATGTTATATTTATTTGTACTCAGCAAATTGCTTACAATTAAAAAAAACCCACAAATATTGTTTGTTGTAACATGTTTCTTTTTGTATTTACATGAATTTTAAATTACGGCTGATTGTGTAACCCTGCTGAATATAATGCTATATAACGGATTTACCCGGCTTTAAATTTGGAAAAGTTCATTAAAACTTTATGGTACTCAGTGTTGAAAATTGAGTACCGCTCAAGTCGTTGCTATGGTGCATGAGGGATGTTGCAATTTTTCATTATCTCTGATGCTCAGACTCAATCAAACCTAGTCTGCAATTTTCATGTAATTTTGTTGTGATTAATACATTTTCCAGAAATTTATGGGATTTCAATATCAGAATACAAAACTGAAGCTACCAACTGTATAGAGCATGGTTAGACTGGTTGGATGTGCAAGCTGACTTGTTTCTATACTGGTCACTTCCGGTCAAACTCGCGAGACAACTCCTGGCAGCAATGTTCCGCAATTATTGCAGATAGAGACCGCCAAATGAATTACTTAATGACAGACACTCACTTCCGGTTAAACACGCGAGACAACTCCTGGCAGCAATGTTCCGCAATTATTACAGATAGAGACCGTCAAATAAATTACTTAATGACCGTCAGACATATCATTTAATTGATTTTTAAAGGAAAAATGTTTACAATTTATATTATTGATAAAAAAAAATACGTTTACGCCTTTAATTGTTTTAGGAGGAAAGGTTTCAGTCCTTTTTGTAACAAGTCTTCCAAATTTTATTGTTTAGTGGATATTCTACGATTATTTTAGCATTTTACCAATATGCTGCTTGTAATGTATTATACACTTCTACTTGAAAGCCGTGTGCAGAAGTGCGATATTTATACTATCTTTTATTTCTATTTATATATTCATATATTAACTGTTATTCTACTAATATCATTTGAAACTATGGTTATCATTACAATTATCATTATCATCATTATCATCCTAATCATTAGTACAGACTGTGTGTATGTTTTACCGGTGTAAAATAAGCTGAACAGAATGGCAAAAAGGAAAACAAATGAAATAAATCAAATCTGGTTACACTTTAAAGGCTAGGTAAAAAATGAATAAAATATTAATCGAAATTGTTATTAGAAAAATTGAAAACATGCCAGGAAAATATCCACTTACCTGGGTTCGGTCGCCGTTGCTGGAGGCGACGTGCTCTGGTTCAAAGCATCTATAGCCTCCAGGTGTAACGTCAATGCAGTAGGTTTTGGACGTAAACGTGGTTTAAGAATTATCTTTTTACCTGGCAAGGGTGCCTTGCTTTCCTGTGGGTATTAAAATATATTTTCAAAAACAAAGTTATTTTGAAACAATGCCTCTAATTTAGTCACCAGTTTCTTAAAGAGTTTTAAAAGTTTACATAATATTCATCTGAGTTGATAAACAGTCCTTCATATTTCGCCGACTTTTTTGATGAAATGGATGTGATAAAGTATCAACATTTGATACTTATATACGCAAAGATTTTTTTAAAGTCCAGTTAAAATGCTTCAATTGAGGTGATGAATTAAACACAAAAGTTTAAACAGAGACTCTCAAACTGATACAAATGACATAAAAGGTAATATTCCTTTACCTCAGCATTATATCTATGGAGCTTTACAAGATGTTTTTTATCCGCCTTGGAAGGTCTTGTTTCCTCCAACTTGTTTACTTTCCGATGCCATTCTTCTATCTTCGTCTCTAGCCTCGTCAACGCCAACTCGTTTAGCTCATGATTCATAAAATCATCAACTGAGCAACTGCTTCTGGTTTTATTGCTTTTCAGACCTCTGGATTTCTTCCCGTCACACATAACCCTACTTCTCCTTGAGCTTGGGCTATCTGTATAGTCCATATCTAAATCACTGTCTGAAAGTTCATCCTCTGTCCCATCACTGCCATGTTTTGTTAAAGCAGATTTACTCTCAGATACACTTTTTACAGTCCCAGTTTGTGCATTGATACTGAGGTTAGAGCTCCTGAGGTCACCTCTCCGTGACAAGTAAGCACCACTTTGGTTTTTATGCATACTACGTGTTATGCCAAAGGCCATACCGGAAGGTTTAACTCTTTGAGGTCCGCGTCTAGACCTAGCTCTCATTCGTATAGTGTAGAAAACACTGCCCGGTCCGAACTGGTCTATTAAAGGACCATTGAAAAGTTTGCCGCTTTTCCAGTAATCAATAGATTCTCTAAGATCTCGTTTTCTACTATGCTCCTTCAGCTTGATCAATTCATGTCGCTTTCTCTCGTCCAACTTATACAGGAAATATCTGAACAATGGTAGATTTTCCTCCTGTGCCCATGACATTCGTAGCTTCAGTTTCTCGTGCAAGGTGTCACGCATGATTTCAAGTGACTGAGGATTACGTTTTTCAATAAGTCTTTCGTAATTTTTCTGGTCAAGTACAAATACTTCTGCGGCCTCGGTACATTGTGTAGTTTCAGCATATGAAGGCAAGCCAAACGCCATTTCTAAATCTCCTGAAATGTAAAAAGAAATATACACCGACTTGCACTAGCTTGAATTTACTGTTCGAATCGCCTCCCATTTTCATGACTGTTTCACAAAAGGCAGTAAGCCATTCGAGATGTGATAACATTTCCCCCCTTAATTTATAGACGCCGATAGTTTTAAAAATGCATTTTTATAATTATTATATGGAATCATTCCTTCATAATTGGGGATGATTACTTATTAATTGGTGTCTGGTTATGATATATAATGCTTATTTTCCTATACAAATGAAACACAATTAAAACAATTCAACCATGGCTTATGATTAATGTAGGATATACATGTACAGTTTCTGCATCACATACCAATAATTTCTATAGCACCAATTACACAGACTTCTGTTGATTTATGTTGTCTTTTTCTATCAGAGACACCGGGCGAACGTGGTCTACCATATATATATTTCTTTTCATCTGTTCGAGGTACAGCCATATTCATTTCCCTGAAACATGTTTGTATTAAAATGTTATGACACCAACCGAATGACACACAAGACTTTAACTATTTAACATTTAAAAGTATAAAATAAACCTCAAACCAATGGATTTTTTTAACAGCTAACCTGCATAAAATGCATTTGCTCGGCTTTGAAAAATCCATCCAAAGTTTAAGGGATACAAAAAGCGCCGCTAACAATATAGAGTCTAGTCAGACTCCTTATATCCGTTAATTCTCTTAAGATACTTTTTATATGTCTAAAGAGAATAATGGTATTCATTTCTTGTAAAATAGAAAAAAATGAAAATCTCAATGAATGCCCAAACAGCCTAATTGAAAATGTTACAGGCTCAGTTAGATTTGGCCTGTTCATGAACTGTAGTGGTAAATCAAAGCTCCGTCCACGCCCCCTAGCACCGGTAAAAAACAGAATACAATATTTCAGCGTAAAAATGGTTAAATATTGAATGAAGAAAAGCATCCGCAAGCCAAAGATAAAATATAAATTCACTTTTAATACTATGTATTTTACAAAGTACAATTTCTTACATGTTTTTATCTTTGTTATCATGTTGCGAAGCTTATCATATTTTAAAATTGTATGTTTCAAACAAATATAACGTGAAACTTTCGTTTTCATTGCTGTTGTTTTACATTTAAATGTTTCCAACGAACATACTACCTTCTTATAGATTCTCTGGCTTCAACTTTCTCTAATTCGGCAATATCTGGCAGTGGAAATCTATCAGGATATTGTATCTCCTGTTGTACTGGATCAACTAACATTTTTGCTTGACCACTGAAATACATCATAAATATGTACACTCTAATGGAGGTATTTTATCTATAAATCTACATCATAATCAGTTGAAGGCCCATTTAGCCTAAAAATGGTGAAAATGCTATTACCTTTATTTCCCAAAAGAGTTTTATTTTTGGTGCCCTGGTTAAAGTCAAAACAAGATGTTAATGTTTCATACAATGATTTGATATAAAGACCTCTTATATAATTTATAAGCAACCAAAGATGTGTAATAAACACTATTTATAAGCGTATTTCTTGCGAAGCCCATTTTTACATCAGGAGGACGAACAAAAAAGTCCACAGTGCTTTACAATGTTCTTTGATAGAACACAGGACACTACTAAATATGATTCTGTAATAACTTTTGTTCTGTTATAATTGAATCATGCATGTGATTTATATGATAAACACATTAGTCCTAAATCTGTAACTAATTATATGTATTGAGATGAAGTATGTGCACGTTAAATTAAGAAACTTACCTTAATAGAAAACATATCCCATCTACAGGACAACCTTGCTTTGTAATAATACCATCAAAACAAATCTTCTCCTTTCTAAGACTCATGGCAATCTGTTTCTTGTAACGGGTGTGCCAACCTCGGAACAGAAAATATTCCTCAACAAACGTCTTTTTTTCATTGAACTCCTTTTCTTGGAAAGCCTTTCAAGAAGATAATTTTCAAATATCAATAGTTCATGCATTAGAGTTAATTAGAAGGGTGAAGGGTAAAGTATAAGAAAACATTAGCACTTTAGTTACATTGATTTATTAAGACAATGAGGACTTTCTACAAGTGAACAGGTTAGCAAAAATAGTGGTCCAGATATTGAAATTTGGGCAAATGCTTGCTGAAGTATGAAAAAAATCAAACAGATGACAAACATCAATTTATAAAGCTGGATGCAAATATCAAGTTAGAAAAGGATAAAACAAAGCAATCCTCTAATTTTCGACAATGACATATTACAAAATGTACATGCTTTTATAAAATACAAATAATGAAAGCATTTTATTGAATACTTGTGTATTCAATTGTTAGTGTTATTAAATATATATGCAACAGATTATAATACATCAACAAAAATGCATACGTCTTTTGGTATAGTTTGGCGCAAATTTAGGGAGCCAAACAGGGACTGCGCTTTGCAGTCAAGAAATGGGTAGCACCGGGGTACCTTCCAATGACTATTAAAACTTGTTTGTTTTTTTTTAAATTAAATACATCAGTGTAAACCATATAACTCCTTTAATATGTATATATTTATCACATGTACACAATTTTATTGATTTTCGTCGGGGAGTTTTCAAGTCCACGTATTTTTATCCACCCTCGTAGTTCCTTCTTGAACAAGGTTGAGCATATACATTCACTAGTATTTCCAATTTACTTGACATTTATTTGTGTACAGTTGAATAAACAAAATGAAATGAAAATGAATGATTGTAGATTATTAATCAGATAGATAATCAAAGATAAATGGAAGGTGAAATCTATCTTTATATATGCTGTATGTATGTGTACCTTGAGTGAGCGGTTATAAAGTTCCCTGTTGACGATGATCAAATCTGTGGCCTCGTCGGCAATAATGGAAGCGTTACGGACACAGTCGGCATTGATCAAAGCTAACTCACCAAAACTTCGGCCAGCCGCTGAAATATTAATTAACTTTTCAAAAATACACAAGATTAATCAAATTACTTTTGTCAATGTCAAAAAATTATTGTATGATTTGCTTAGATAAAATGCACGTTACATGACAAGTATATTTCCAAATTTGTTTTGTAATGTGTTTCTAGATTTAATATTTTACTGATATTTCAATCACAATTTTATATTACACATTGACAAGGACTTTTTTCAAGCACATTGTAGCACCTGGAACGTACGACATCAATAATTAAGTCGTTTTCAATATTTTATTCTTAAGTGCTGTTATATTCATTTTTCTTCATAAAAATACTTACGAATCTTTCCGACAAAGTGTCCAAATATAGACCTATCAAGTTCTTTCTTTTGTTTATTGCCGTCAGACAATCCGTCGCCTTCATCCTCATCGTCGTCAGAGGGCGGATGATACGTTATACCTTCTTCTCCAAGATTAGTTTGAATCAAGATTGCCACTGATCCATTGAGGATAATGAAAAAACTGAAAGAACGGACAAAAAATACAATCAATGTATAAGATAGCTCGTATTAATTTCATCTTATAATTATCTATAAGATGTGCGTGAATTTGTTTTGCTGTTGGTCATATAGATGTTTGTAAGGCACAGAAAGTAACAAAATATGTCGAAATTTCATTATATGTGGATGTTTCTTCAACAATGGTATAGTAAAGACCAGCGACATGCTCTGGAAGATCATTCGTATTGAGGTGTAGTGTCAATGTGTCAATAAATAACCTTTGTATTTCTTTCTTTCCATTGCTATTTTCTTCATCTTTTTTGCCCGTTTCCAAACACACTTTTTCTATTCATGATTAACAAAATTAGAAGATTACATTTTGTCTTATGTTGTCTGTGACATTTGAATGGATTGTTACATCAATGGAGTTCTTTGTTTTGTTAGAGGAGGACACACAAAAACGCCAAAAATTAGGACATTAAAATGTCTTCAAACCAAGGCAAAAAAAAATGTTTCGGTTCGATTTGATGGCTTTTGCTGACTGAAGTTAGCAATTTATATGGGCTGCTAAGTCTTTATGTATGATTGTATGTGATACAAATTTATTATATGATTCTACTTACCAGTCGCCTTTGTCGCCTTGTTTAATGATGACAAAATCTTTCTTACATTTCATAAATTGGCAATTCTTTAGTATATCTTTCACAATTTCTGAAATAAATATAAACATTACTTTTATTTGATATACATTCTACACATTCGAACTACATTCACCTTTTCCTATGTCTAATATTTTATTAAATATCGTAAACTGGGTGCAATAAATATAAACACAGTTTAGTACTAGATGAATAGGGCCGACATAAACAAAGCCAAACAGCGGGATGATTACAAATAATTTCTATACATTCCCTTTCTATGCTAGCCTTGTAGTTTAAAGAATGACGAAAGTGTTATGGTACGAGTCACAAATACAATATACTTATACTAAAGTATTGATAAAAGACAATCAGATTTTATCAACACTAAATCGAAAATTTATGATAATATGTTTTAGTGTCAGTACGTATGACCGAAAACTTTTATCACCTTTCCACAAAACCAATAACCTTCCCGTGTTTTTTTGAAAATTTCAAAACAATTTAGATACGATTCAATTATTTTAATAAAGTTCAATTTGAGAAACAATCACACGGTATGTTCTGACGTATTATAATCGTAAAATGCGGCGAGATTTGCTGACCAATCAAATATCATTTCTATCCAACACACAATTTTAATTAACGAGCAACCACAAAATCATATACAGATGCAACATTCTGACTTTTATGGCGAAAAATGAATGTGATATCACCACAATTTAATATGATGATTCGTTAACAAAATGTATATAGAACATATTTTTCGACATTCAATAAACTTTATTATTCACTTTTTTTACGACATCATGTACTTTGTCATGAACATAAATGGAATATAAATTATATTTTATTCATTATCATTACCAAGTAGTTTGCTCATATGATAACAGAAACGGACCAGCAGTGAAACAAAGGGTGCGTTTTACGTGTTACATGCACTTTAAAACAAAAAGATATAATAAAAAACTCTTTTAAATCTAAATTTACTGCAAGCTCTTTTATCTTAATATAACACAATGCATGCGAACAGTGTTTTGCAATATTCAATAAACTGTATTCAACTTTTTAGCAGAATCGTTAACAAGTAGTTTCCTTAGCCGCCTTTAAATCTAAATGCACCATATGCCCTTTTATCATTTTTGTTTCAACCAGAGAAAGTATGTTGATTACAAAAACATTTGCGATATATTAAAATGAAATGGTGATACATTTAAAATATATCGGATTTTATTTTATTTTCACGTATGCTATGGTGTTTTACACCTTTAAACGAAAGCAATATATCCTTTAAAGTGGATAACGCTTATACATAAATTATAACCATGCTTTATGTAACATTCGTTTTAAGGACAAAAACATGAAAGAATGCATAGAATATGCAAAAAGCACGATGATAACTGTTTAAGAGCATGTAAAATAAAATCCGTGAAGGTGTCAAACTTGAGTTCTGTCTGTACTGATATAATATAAATTTAACATGATTTTTCAAGTTTAAGAAATTCTGATACAGAAGTGCATCCAATTACAGGCTAGTATAATCTTTAAACAACACTATATCGTATCAAAACGACCAAATTTAAGCAAAACATGTCACCAGAGACTCGAAAATAACGAGAACAAATCTCCATAGTATCAACTGAAATGAAAAATTTCAGCATCAAAATCAAGAACCGCAATTTCGATACTTGAATAAACAGAGAGACAGAAGTCGAAACAAAACGTTCCATAAGAAATACAATTTCCCAGAAAATGCTGTCGGGCCTTTGTGTCAAAGGATAATTTATATCATTCTCTACAGTCAAGACCACCCAATAACATAATGCACAACATTTGTAATTAACAAATTGTGTGTGCTTTTTAATAGGCTGTCCAATATCAATCAAAAGTTTTTACCGCACTGCCCTTGTTAATTGTCATACATCTACATGTGTTTTATTTGTAAACCAAATATACATTCGATAACATATTCATGAGGACTATCATAAATGACTGTAAAGATTATTTGTTAGTACTCAGTAACATTTATTATGATCGTAGACTGAACTCGTCATATCACTTTAAGAACTTTTATAAGTGTAGTTCATGGTGATATTCAGGCCAATCGGGCCGTGTGCCTATTTTTATGTTTACTTATATATATGATATGTTTCTTTGTAATTATGTTAATGTACATGTCACTATAAAAATCATTTACTTACTTACTGCATTTTCTACCAGTCGTTATAAATTTATGTTCTGTTCTGCTCTTTTCTTATTTTTATGTAAATATTGACAAAAGAACAAAATAATAATAATAATATTAATGATAACACTAACAATGATAATGATGATGATGATGATAATGATGATGATGATGATGATAATTGTTGTGAACCTTTATTATGTTATTAACTGACTCATCACTTACTACGTTAATGAGAAATAAATAAAAAAGATTAAGCGGACATTGTAACCGCTTTAATAAGCAAAGACACGAGAAGCATTTATCTTTTAATGAATGAAACTAGTTTGAAACTAGTCCAAAACATGATTTCATTTATCTTCATTTTTTCCTCCTTAACAGGCGTCTGTCCAATCAGAAGCTTAAAGTGAACACTATGCCCATCCAAGTGTATGTAGTGAGTGAAGAGGGTAAAGTTAAATTAAGTTTATATATTGCCATAAATACTTTTCAATTTAATAATTTACTTCGCATTAACGATAAATAACTCAAGTGGCCACATGAAAGTTCTATAAACATCCATCGGAAGTTATCTGTACGCCTAGTCTTTTTGATTTATTAACTATTGGTCAAGTCAACATTTTGAAATATATAGTCAATTCAGCTGAACTTGACAATCAAACAATGAAATAAATATCACTTTAATAAACTCCAATTGATTTTGTATATTTAGCTATCATAAAGATGGTCTAATGTATCATTTTTACGATTTGACGATCGCGTTATACACCGTGCATATCCAGTAACGCAGGAATGTGCAATTATCGTAAAAGTAACGCAGAATCTGTGCAACCCTATTACACAGTAAGTAAACGAACCAAACGAACCAAAACATTTTATAAAAAATCAAATTAAAAGAAATGCATTAGCGCATACGGCTGCTACTACATTATACTTTAACCAGCATTACAATTTTTTTCAGGAATTTGTTTACTTTTTTAGATCATTTGTGAGAAAGACAACCTGATTACCGTTTTGAAGGTGTCTTTTGTGTTTCGTCAATTTAATATGTACATTTAACACATTTAAAACCTTATTGTTTAGACATTTTGTATACAAGACATTTGTCAAACCACAAGTGTCGTATAACAATAGAAGGAAGCTGGGAAAATAAGAATTAGCTACTTTTAATGAGAGATAAACGCCGCCGCTTCATTGCTTCATTCACGAATTCGGAATGCTCTCAATTACGTTTTATGTGCTAAATTTAATGGAATATGGCACGCGCAGATTGGAAAATATCTCAGGTACACCGAATATAAAAAAATCATAAAGTTATATGTACGTAATTATATTGAAAAATATCAACGAAACAAAAAATCGCCGTCAGGTTTTCATTTTCACGAATATTTTGAAAAATGAACATTATCATGGAAATATTTTTGATGAGGTTGAAAGTATAATGTCTCAGCAACCGTATGCGCTAACCCATTTCTTCCAATTCAGTGTACAATAAAAAATATTGGTCCATTTACTTATCGCGGTGCTCGTTTTAGCCACTAAATTGCACAATTTTGCGTTACTTTTGCATAATTCCTGCGTTATTTGCACATTCCTGCGTTACTGGATATACACGGTTGAAAAATGTTTTAAAAAAGCATTGATAGTTTTATCATATGTAGGCACAATCAGACTATCCTCACATGTGGCAGTATCAGTGTTTGGACACCCCACCCCTATCTGCCCCTGGACCCCTACTACAACCCTGAAAATTTTTTTTCAACACTCTAAGGCTTACTTTAAGGTACCAAATACAAAACCACCGATGAAATTATATATATAAAAAAAAAAATTTCCACTATCAAAATTATAGTTATAGAAAGGTGAAAAGCCTACTCTATGTTCATTTGTCAAACAATGTGGAACACAGGAAATCGTCGTTTCGGTGACTGAGGCGCATTCCGGCAGGATTTCGCTGCATCATTCATTAACATTAATAAAAATAACTAGAATTCCACAGCTTATCTAATTCAAGTCTTACGAATATCACTATCATTGCGATTTTTTCTGTTTCACGGTATTTTTTTAATTGTCGTAGCCATTTTGCAGTCTGATACCTGGGTTGAAATACGCTATCTGATTGGACGAGCCAAATTTGACGTCCAATCAGATCGCGTATAACACACAGGTATCAGAATCCAAAATGGCAGCAACAAGTCAAAAATTATCGTGAAATAGAAAAAAATCGATAGAATATTGATATTCGTTAAACTTGAATTAAGTAAGCTGTGGAATTCAAGTTCTTTTTATTGATGTAAATGAATGATGCAGCAAAATGCCTTCGGAATGCGCCTCAGTGGCCGAAACAACGATTTCCCGTGTTTCACATTGTTTGGCAAATGAACATATAGTAGGCTTTTCACCTTTCTATAACTATAATTTTGATTGTGGAAAATTTTTTTTTTATATATAATTTCATCGGTGGTTTTGTATTTGGTACCTTAAAGTAAGCCTTAGAGTGTTGATTTTTTTTTTCAGGGTTGTTGTAGGGGTCCAGGGGCAGATAGGGGTGGGGTGTCCAAACACTGATACTGCCACCTGTGACTATCCTCGGATATTGCGTCGACAATAAATGGTATAATTAATATAACTGCCGTCCATAAACTGGGTCAATCTATTTGTGCAGGAATTTTTTTTTTGCCATGATAGATTGCCATCGTGATTTTTACTATTCTCTTTTAACACTGTTAACTCTTTGGTCAAAAACTATTGCTGTACGATTCAGTCCAATAAACAGACTTCATCTTTTCGGTCTTCCTGGTTGTTTTGTGTTTAGAATATTTGGTTCACCTGCTCTGCATTCAGTTCTTTCTCTCCCTCTCTCGTTATTATTTCTTGTACCTGACCGA